AATATATATGATTGTATGTCAAAGAATATCAATCAATATATTGTTAACAATTCTTGTCATAAAATGTTTGATGCACAAGAATGATTTCGAAGAAAAGTAAAGCATCAGATTGCTCGTTAAGCAAAAATAAATTGTGCGAGACATAATGTGGGTGTAGTGTTATTATAAATATGATAAGAACAACTGGTTTTTCTTTATTAGACTTGCATCGATATTTATTCCAATAGATTGCTTAACCCAATTGCGACTGATGTCATTTTTGCTTTTTCTTTCCTTTTATTCGTTTTTTTTTGGGGGGTATTTATCGCGTGAGAGAAAGAAGTAAACGACTAAATCGAAGGACAAAAAACCTGCATTTATATGTATATGGAAGAATAGATGTGTTTGCGTTAATATATATGTACATATTATACAACGCCATTTACATTTGTCTTTTGGCTCTATTTTTCGGTTGTAATTTTGCCTATTTGATTTCATATATGAATCATAAGAGATCACTTCTTTTTTTTCTTTCTGAGTAGATTTTCATTTTGCATTTCTGTCACTATGGTGTCATCTGACGCATAAAAATTAATTTTATGATTTTTTTTTGCTATTGTTTTAGTATGAAAGCATAATGTGATACAAGAAAAATTTATCATAAACAAAGATGATGGGATGGCGTAGAACGGCATCAATGATTAGTAGTACAAACGAATATTCATGTTTAAAATGGCCATTAACATTTGCTAGTGTAATAACTACACTTTTGGCTTTTATTCTTTTGTTAAGTTTTCGTTCTGATTTATGGTTTTCATACGAATTAATTCATAGTAATAATAATTCAACACTATCTAATGATGGAAGTTATTCTCAAATGGTTGAATATGGCTCAATAGGTTTATGGACAATATGTAATAGCCATTATGATGATCCTAATATAAAATGTGATGTATGGACAAAAGAAACTCGACCTCATTCCTTTAATGTTATTATTGTATTACTTTCATGTGCATTATTTCTTTCAAATTTAACAGTTTTTCCATCATGGGGTACATCAATCCTTATACTTTATAATTCAAATAATCGTTATATTCGTCATATTGTTGGTTTTATTTGGATACTTTTACTTCTTACATTATTATGTACAATTGTTCTTTTACTTGCAATGCTACTTACAGCATTAACACCATTTTATTCGCCTGGTAAATTTATGATTAATACTGATCGTCTTCATTTTCGTTCTGATCATGGTTTATTCTATGCAGGTCTTGGTAAGTTATGACTATCTATATATTTTTTTTTGTTTAAATAATAAATCAATTTATATTTTAGCAACATTTTTGGCTTGTGTTTGTTTAATATTAATAATTACAGCATTAATATGGAAGAAAATGATTGATATGAGATTGAATGATGTTGAAAAAGATCTTTTAAAACAAATATCTGATGATAATTATAAACCTGGTTGGCATAGAATTGTTATGGCACCACGTACACCTTTAACGAATGATCGTGTTGGTGCACCACCGCCATATGAATATTAATAGAAAAGAATCAATGAATGAATGAAATGAATCGTGCAAATATTTATTTTATTTTTGTTTTCTCTAACAAATAATATCTAGTTATATCGGTGATTTGTAAAAAACATTTATATTCGCTTTTGAATGATTATAATATACATATTTTCAATAAATGCTTTAATCAATAATAATTAGAAAATATCTTGTTTTTATCTCTGTTGTTTTGTTTTACTAAATAAACAATAAGTCACATCACCGTAATATAGAACACGACAAAAACACAGAGAAAACAAATTTTGAAATGAAAAGAAAAGAAAAAAACAATATATGATCAGCTAACTAAGCGCGCATAGCTGTCATCTACAAAACACACACAGTGTACAAAGAAAAAATGCAATCGACAAAACTGAACAAAAAAAGAAGAAGAAGAAGAAGAAGAAAACGAAGCATTTTTTTTCCTTTTGGACGGATACAAGACATACATACTAACAATAAACGAGACTAGGCTGATTTAGAAAAGTTATTTACTGATGACTTTTCAAGCAAATGTACCAAATCAGGTAAACATCGTTTTGGAATAATACATCCAACTATTTTAAGAGGAATTAATTGATTATTTATTGGTGTTGTTTTTATTCGTATCATTTGAATTTTTCCTTCAGGTAATATACGTTCCATCTGTGACCATAATGCAAGTACACTACCAGAAAGAACAAAAAATCGACGTGAACGTAAACCAACTTCACATGTTTGTTGACGATTTGATGATGAGATTGGACAATGACCTTGTCTATAGATAAATAAATAGATAATCTTATCAAAAGAATTTCAATTTATTTTTCTATTTACCTAATAGAATGAATACATAATGATGCAGCTTTATGATACAAATCTTCCCAATAAGCTTGTACTTGTATTGGAGAAATCTGTAAAGAAAAACCAATGATAAAATTCAATTTTTAGTTTTACTCATGATTACTTTATCATATTTTTTTCTTAAACTTTCTAATGTTTCATGTCGTTGTTGTAAACCTGTATTTGGACGATATATACGAAATAATAGTTCACTTTTTCTCATATTTCCAACATTAACATTTGATGTTGTCGATAAAGCAAGTACTGGTAAACGACACAAAGTACGACCTTCATTTGACACATAAAATCCATCATCAAAATGAACAGATTGTTCTTTTAATTGAACCGCTTTACTAAATGCAAGACCACGTTCTACGACAATCTAGATTAAACAAAAAAAAAGAATAGATCTCTATATAATATATTTTTTGTAAAGAAATTACTTGATGTAATTCAACTTGAAGAGATGTAGTATTTGTTTGTACTGTTTTTAAGAGAAATACTTGTGTTTTTTCAACAGAAACTGTTTCTTCGCCTGTACCAAGATCTATAAAATAAAGAATTTTCTCATAAAATACTAAATCCAATGAAGTTATATAGAAATTATTACCAAGAATTCCTAAATCCCATGAACCACTTCTTCGTGCATCAACAATAACAGCATTGAGTACATCAGAAAAAAATCGAAATAATAAATTTTGCATTTGAACACGAATTCCAAGTATACGATTAAGAAATCGACTCATACTGTTATGATCTAATTAAAAATTCTTCTACACACAAAGCAAAAACAAAATTGAAATTTACCTTTTTCTGCAATATAAATAACTTGTTGTCCACTTGTTATACGTGATATAAGACCAACATTAATTAATGCTTTACGTGCTTCAGTTACAAAATCAAATTTCATTTCATTATTGATTAATTTTGGAAATGGTGCCCATGGACGTTCTAAATTACATATTGAACGAATAACATTTTCAAGTGCTTGTCTGCCATATTTATTATCAATATTAAATCGACTTAAATCACGTGTTTCAGCTGCACGTCGATCACCATGTGTTAAAGCACCTAAACATTCTAATCGTTTTGCTACACTATAAACGAAGAAGAAAATGAATATATTAGTTAACAAGATAATTCATACGTTGAAGCAAAACGTTTTTCTCCAGCTAATTCAGATATAACAAAAACATATTCAGGTGCTGAAACTTGATTTGATCGATGTGTTCGTCCTAAAAATATTTAAATTATATAGGAAATAAAATAGATAATTAACAAACCAAATTGTTGTACAGCTCGATCAGCTGACCATGGTAATTCAAGTGTCACATGAACACGACGACGAGTATTTTGACATCGTCGATCAGCTTGTAGGGATATTCCACTACTAGCTGCTTCGGATATGATAGCAACAAGTTTTTCTCCACACATAAATCTTTCACGTTCAGAAATATTTAACATTTCAAGTGGAACATCAGATTCTGAACGTGATTCATAACCAATTTGCCCATCGGCATGCTGAACAACTCGACCTTTACGACCAGTCATCTAAATAGAAAAATAAAGATAATAATTTATATTTTATTTAAATAGAATTATCATACTTCAGCAACTTGAGCTGGTCCACCAAGTTGATTGATTAATTCGTCTAATGTGTTTGGTGGTAAACTTCTACCAAGTAATTCAATATTAGTTAACAGATCTGTTTTCATATTAAATAAAACTTCAATAATTTCACTAGTTGACATTTTACGTTTATCATCTTTGAAGAAAAACAAAAAATATCAATGTAAGACAAACAAAGAATTTAGTTAATTTTTTTGCTTACAATTCTGTACATTTGATGGAACTTCTTTTTTCTGAATTCGTTTAACTGGTAAACCACCATCAATATCTGTTTGTCCGAGAATTTCTGCGAATGTATGTTGTTGTTGTGAATAGTCTTCTTCAATTAATACACTTTCACAACTATTTTCATTATCACTATTATGTATTTCATCGAGTTGATTATTATTGTTTTGATCTCGATGTTTTGTTGTTGCACGACGTTTACTTGTTGGAACAAATGATGAATAACATTCAACATCGGAATCATCCGAACTTTCATTTGTATCACATGATATTGATCGTGTTGTTGTACGACGATGAGTTGATTTACGTTTTTTATTTTGTCGATTTTTATCTTCATCATTCTTTGGCATTAAATCAATTATTGACATTGTTTTAGGTTGTTCAATACCAGTTGGAAAATGTTTTTCAACAAAACTTTGAATCACTCCTTTTGCAGTCGATACAAAATCATTTAATTCTCCTAATTCATCCAATTGTTCTAATGTTTTAGCTTCACCTGTTGATTGTAAACCAATTACAACACACTATAAAATATAGTTTCATATTTTCTTCTTCTAAAAACAAAATTTATTTACTTTGCCATCTCGAACAGCTTGACGAGATAGATCAACAACTTTTGATACTTTACAAGCAATACATAAATATTTAAAATATCGTTGATGACTTAACCAATAACGTGCTATGACATGATTACGAACATTATTTGATGTATCAGCTAAATCAAATGCTTGTAGAATTTTTTCTTTGATATCAATCCACTATAAAAAATAATATAAAAAATCTCTTCAGATAAATATAAATCATTTACTAATTGAACAGATCGATCATATGTTTGAAGATAGTCATTTGTTAATGAAACATCAAGAATAGAAAAATGTACACCAGAAAAACTTAATTGACGTGCAATATACATTCCACGAAGTTTCATATCCATAGCAACAAGTTCCATAGCACCAACACCACGTTGTTCAATAGCTTGAATAAAATGATTAAAATCAGTAAATGAAGTACCTGGACCCCATAGACCAAGTCTAGTCATATAAGCCATATTTCGTGGTTCAGAAGCACCTGTTGCTGATGCATAAATAATTCGTGCATTTGGTAAACGTGCTTGAAGATCAAGAACAGCTAAACCTGTTTTAGAAGATTTCGCTGTTGGACTTGGTGCAAGATTTTTTGCTTTATGACATTCATCAAACACAATCTAAATTAAATTAATAATATACAAATGATATAATACGGAAATTGATACTTACAACACCATCAAATTCATCACCACCTAACCATTGAACAAGTTGTTTCATTCGACTATTATATTTAGCTTTAGTTAATGCATTTTGACTTTCACTTATTAATGATGAATATGTTGCAAAGATGACACCACGTTTTATTCCACCATTTTGTGGTGAAGATATTTTAGCATATTTTAACTAAAAATAAATTTAGTCATTCGTTTACATCTCTCTTCTTTTTATACCTTATTCAATGGATGAACATCAATAAATTTAGCACCAATATCACATAAATCACGTTGTGCATCATATTTAAGATCATTTGAAACACTCAACCTAATAATGAGAATATTTTATTATGATAATTATTTTTCTTCTATAATACCATAAAGATTTTCGTCGTCCAAGTAAATAATTTTCATAAATAAGACCAGCAATTGTTCGACCTTTACCAACGCCAGCTCCATCGCCTGAAACAATTCAAGATATACATATTATATATTTTTATTTCATAAATTTACTACCAATAAGAAAACCAGATCTCGTTCCATCCGATAAAAATGTATTATGACGTTGTGAAGCATAAACAATTGTTTCAAGTTGTAAAGCTGATAATGCATTTAATTGAATGTTCTCATTTGGTATTGTTAATTGATAAGTTATATCAGGTAATTCAACAGAAGCAAGTGAAGATGTTTCAACAACTGGATCAGGATGTCGATCACCCAAACGAACTAAATAAAACATCAATGAAATTATTTACTTTTATGAAATACGAATTTACGTTTAAGTGGCATATAATCAGAATATGTATCTGCTGCTTGTGCACTTTGTTGTTCTTCTTCTTCATCTTCTTCTGTTTCAAGATCTGCTGGAATTTTTGTTGGGAATTCCTAAATGAAAAAAAAAATAGGCTATACTGGGATATATGTATATGCATGAATAGTATACTGTTGGAGGTGGAAGTGTTGGTCTTAATGCTGGAATAAATTGATGAACAAGAGTCGTTGATGAAGATGGTTGTTGTTGTGTTAATTGAGAAAGTGTCGAAGGTACTGTATAAAGACCCGATGGAATTGTAATTGGTCGTTGTAGTCGAATAATAGGTGGACTTTGCACTGGTGCATGAAGACCATGTAATATAATTGGTCGTGTTATTGTAATAGGTGTTGGTGGACGTATAATTAAATTAGGAAATGACTGTGGTTTTGGAGGTATAGGTGTAGTTGGAGGTGGTAAATCTACTGAACGTTGCTAAAATAATTTATTAAAATGATTAATAATTGATGAAATTAATAAAAAAAAAAGAAGAAAATATTTACACGTGCAATTTCATCTGCTTGACGATTTGTTTCTGATAATTCTTTAACAGCCATTGAAAATGGATCATCTTCTTCTTCTTCATCATCATTTTCATTTGTTTCGTCATTTACAATTAAATCATCTGCTTGTAGATCCATTTTTATTGATTATCGTCTAGAGAAAAAAATTGACTAGTTGTAGTTGAATTATTGTCTTGGTAAAATGCTTGAATCCAAATATCATTCTATAATTATATATATTTCGATAAAAATATCATTTATTGACAATCAATGTCTCATATGAGTACATCATCTAGAAGATACATAGTCAGTAGACTTAATGACATTTTCATTTATTCGCTTTACATGTGACTGTTCTTCTTCGACTTGTCGGTATTTATACTTTTTTGAGAACCAATGATCAATGATGTTTGTGCCATCTGTCTTTTGAAATGATTGGTTAAAAACTCAAACGAGATTTGGTTGCGTATTATAGTTGCTTCATAGTTTCAAAAACTGTTAAACAAATATTCGTCAACCACACAAGTTTTTTTTCGATTCTTTTCAATTATTCCATAGAAAATATGATGAATCATTACAAGAAGATTTTATGATTTGCTAAGTAAATTGAATATTTCTTTTCTTTTCTTTTTATCAAATACTAAATTCTGAATCATTCATATAAATGAATAAAAACTAGATATGAAAATTTAATTGAGAATAAACTTTCAATTCAATATATAATAACTCTCGATAGTTAATCCACTATATTGATAATGATCTCCATCATTGCCAATATTAATCTTGATTTACACATCATTATTAATGAATGAGTAAAGCTGAATGATGCATGATTTACTCCTGATCGCCTGAAAACACAAATCAACTGAACTAATGATTTCCATTAGAATAGTCTTAATATACAAGTAATAATCTAATTACAGTAAAGTTCATGAAATAGGAAAATATTATCTATAGAAAAAAAAATATTATATTACTCTCTTGTGAATATTCCCACATCATGATCTGTTATCTTTTCTATTTTTAATGGATAAAGAAGAATGAATATTCTTCTAAATTACTCAATGAGAGATATTTCTTGTTCTTTCTCATTTAAATATAATAATTATCGTTATGACATCTATGGTTGTTCATGATTGGTTAAATTTCATACTCGAATCGAACCTTTATACATTGTAGAATTTGAAATTAATAAACATCTACATCGATACATCATATAATCTATTTTCTTTGACAAAGAAAAATGTCTGGATCAATTGAAAATGCTACATTATCACCATTACTTGATACAATTGACATTCTCAATCAAACAAATAGAACAAATACAACACAAAAAGAGGTTTTTGTTGCAAGTAATGAAGGAATGCTTTTATCATATTCATTCCTTCTTATTGCTGCACTTTTATGTGTTTATTTTGGTTCCTATCGTTCAATAACACGTAAAGATAAGCAAAAAAAATCTGGTGAAAAACCTGATGTACTCACAGCAAAAGATGGTAAGCATTTAAATATTTTTATAAAATATTATTAAATTTCTTTGATATTCTTTTAGCGGCTATGTTCCCATTTATTGCTAGTGGCTTTTTATTTGGTATTTATGTGGTTATATTACTTGTTTCAAAGGAATATATAACATTTGTTCTTAATATTTATTTTTTTCTTATTGGTATAATTGCACTTTTTCGAGCAATACATCCAATTGTAATGAAAATTCGTTTACCATTATTGGATAAAATTCGTGAACGACAATTTCATATATGTTTATCAGAAAATAAACCATCAGATAATACTACTACAACTAAATCAACAAAAAAACCAGCAGATTTAATGCATATAGATTTAAAATTTGATCTGATTGATGTTGGAGCTTTATTTCTTTGTGTTCTGGTTGGTGTTTGGTATTTACTTACACGACATTGGATTGCAAATAATATATTTGGTATTGCTTTTTCAATCAATGCCATTGAAATTCTACATTTTAATAAGTAAATAGAATTACTGATGGCTAAAATAGATCTATTTCTTGTTTTTTTATGTTTGTAGAGTTTTAAATGGAATTGTTTTACTTAGCGGTCTTTTTGTCTATGATATCTTTTGGGTATTTGGAACAAATGGTATTTATCTATTTTTGTTTTAGTTATTTAATAAATTATTTGTTTTTAGTAATGATTACGGTAGCAAAATCATTTGATGCACCGATTAAATTACTTTTTCCACAAGATTTAATTGAAAATGGATTATTAGCTGCAAATAAATTTGCCATGCTTGGTCTCGGTGATATTGTTGTACCCGGTGCATTTATTGCATTATTATTACGTTATGATATGTCTCGTAAACGATCTGGTAAAAAGAAGGCATCAACACTTTATTTTAATGTTTCATTTATTGCTTATATAATTGCATTGGTTGTTACAATTCTTATACTTCAAATATTTAAACATGCTCAACCAGCATTACTTTATATCGTACCATTATGTTTAATATTTCCATTATTAACAGCATTAGTTTGTAAAGATTGGGGAACAATGTTTGCTTATGAAGATCATGCAACTGAAAAGAAAAATGAATGAAATTAATCAAAAGAAGAATCTCATCGAATTTAATATAGTCATCTTATTGTAGTTTTATTTTTGTTTTTTTGTTATATTATATTTATTTATGTTGTATTTTCGTTGGACGGAAGTAAAAAAAAGAGAATCTCCATCATCGTGCAATAGATCTTTGTAGTAACACAAAGAAAAAGACAACAGGAGATTTTAATGTTGTTTGTTTTATTTATTTATTTCAAAATATATTTAAAGAATCTTAAATATCAAAAAGAAAAACAATATTTTATTTTATTTTCCATAGATTATGGGTACAAACTATAGTACTCGTAGTTTTATACAATGTTTTCAATCAATTCTAACATTTGTATTTGTCAGTATATGTTTATTCTTACTTTCAATTCTAACATATTTTACATTACGCAAACATCTAATGCCAATATCACATCTTGTTATTCCAATTTCTTTTGGTTTACCAAAAAGTTTTGATCCAAATAATGATTCAAATTTCCTTAAATCATCAACAAATTTTCCATCATATTTAGCCAGTTATAATAATTTAAGTGATCCAATGTATGATAAATCTCCACTTGATATATCTCAACATACATATTCAATTGAACTTATTTGTAATTCACCACGTTCATATATAAATCGACAACTTGGATCCGGTTTTGTTCAATTAATATTATATTCAACATCAAATGAAAAAATTTTTGAACATTCACGTTTAATTTTATATCCATATCAATCGGAAATAGTTCGTTTAATTCGAACAATTATTTTTTTACCTTTATCAATCCTTCATATTGATTATGATCAATGGTATTTAAAAGAAATTTTAATTGAACGTTTAAATAATTATGATATATCTAAAGATCCTATTGAAGTTATTCAATTAAATATAATTCCATCATCATTTCAACTTGATCGTTGTTCAATACATTTTCATATACGTGATTTAACCGGTCTTGTATATTCATTTATAAATTATCCAATATTAACTGGATGTCTTTCGATATTTGTTTTATTTTCGACATATATGACATTTTATTTGATTATTACTTGTTTAACTATGTTAAATCAAATGTCAAAAAAAGAATCTTTTAAGAAAAACCTGTGATTGTTTTGTGTGTAATAGATTTCCGTTTATTTTTCTTTTTTAGATATATGTTAACATGAATGAATATAAATGTAAAGGCTGTTTAATTGATTCTACACATGGAAAATTACAAAAGAAAAAAGAGGCTTTACTTGAATTTATATTTGCTGAAGATTCTTTATGTTTAACTGTAAGTGCACAAAATGTGAATATAATGGCATATACATTAAGTAGAGATACAATTGCAACAGTCATATTAAATAATGACTTACTTGTTATTAATTTAAAAGAAAAGAAACAAATTAAAATATCAGCTATAGGAAAAACTAAATTAACTGAATTAAAATTAATTCTGGATTCTCTTTTAAATGAAGATGTTAATGGTATGTAAAAAAAGAATAAAATACAATAAATTTATTTTTTTGATTTAGCTTATCAAATATATATACAAGATTTTCGTAATAATTCAACAAATATAAGCCAGGTATCACGAAATTCAATATCAAAAACTAATCATAGTATGAATTCAAGTATAATATCCGATACATCAAGTAAAAAACCACAACCAAAAGCTGATAAAATGAAACATACAAATCAATTTTTGGAAAATGATGAGAATTCTCAACCAGCATTATCTTATTTACCAAAAGAACATGAAAAGAAAAAAAATTCTCTTCACACGTGAGTTCCTATCGATAATATATAAAAAAAAAATTCCATTATATATAACATGTTTTTAATAATTTATGTCTAGTGCTTCTAATTTTTATCAACATGCACAGCATAGTTCTATTGATGAAAATACTGATCATACGATTCAGAGTCAACAACAATCGTATGTTAATTTCAGTATAATTAGTTTTTCATGATAGAAAAATTAAATTTGAAATTTTTTAGTCGTAAACGAACAAGTGAAAATCAATTTTCTACTTCAATAAATCGTTTTGAACATGCAACAAATAACGCATCACCTTATTTTTTTCATAGAACAGAAAATAAATTAAAACGAAATTTATCCAATGGTGAATCACGTATTAGTCCATTAACAAATATTCATTCTAAACCACTAAATCATACACGTCTTTGGGATGATGAGAATGAAAAATATTCATATGATTGGCGTGATTCACCATATTCAACAAAAAGAATTGATAATCAATCATCAACTGATATATCATTGTCTAAAGCAGTTACAACAACTATGAACTTACGAAAGAAAGGGTAAATAGTATGATTCATTATCAGTAGCAATCATTTTTTTCCCTCGAAATAAGAATGAATACTTATTAACATCACTTAAGTATAACATGAATAATTGTTGCTATTATCAACATACATTCTTCTTTAATATAATCCCATTTATTTTTTTTTATTAAAAAAAACTAATAAATTTCTATTTTCTTAGTTTAAAAAATATTGGTGCTACATGTTATATGAATTCTATACTTCAATGTTTATTAAATATTGATCCATTTCGTTATGATCTAATGGTTACTAATTCCGAATTAATAACCTCATCATTATTAGAAGAAAATACAATTTATCTGTAAATAATTTGTTTTTTCCTTATATTAATCTATCACACACACACATACAGAAGAAGAAAAAAAAGCTCCAAATATATTTTTTTCATAGTTGTGTTTTACAAGTACTGTCTCTGTTACAAGATCGTCAATCAACACAATCACAAAATAATACAACAACTCAATTAACTGACGATGAACGAACAGTTGAATCACAAGCATTAATTAATTTGAAAAAAGCTGTTGAAAAACATTCAGGCATTTTTCTTGGTTCACGTCAACAAGTAAGATTGATATATTAATACCGATTAGATAAACGAGTTTGTTTCGATTTCGGTTGTATAGCCATATTTACACGTTGAAATGAATAGTGTCGATCAGATTTCCAACCTATCCATAGAATACCTGTATTAAATGGAACAAGTCCATCAGAATGTGTTGCAAATCGACCATTGAGTTGTACATGTCCGCATTCTATACCTGAATGATACCACCATCCACCTCCGCCATGTTTTTGTGGACAGTTGGTATTTGTAGCATAATGATCATAGGTAGAAAAACGAGCATTATGATGCCAACGAGAAAAACCTGTGAAAAAGAAAGGAAAAACAATTCAAATCTAATTAACCTTATTTATTAATAATTTCCTTTTGTTTTTCTTTTCAAAAAAAAAAGAAATGAGAATTATAACTGAAAAATTTTCTTACTATCAATTTTATTTGATACTTCCATATCTCCATGGTATTCGCTAATTTTTATTCTATAACCATCTTGTTGATTAGCTATACGAAATACTTCGTATGTAGCTGTACGAGTTTCATTATACCAATCTGTTACTTCGATTTTTAAACGACATGAATATGTACTTGTTAACCAATGAAGATTTTCATTTCCAATCCAAAAATCCGTTCGATTACGAATATTTCCAAAACCTCTTCGATATTCAATCCAAGTTCGATTAAAATCGATGGAATTAGTTTCACGATTTTGTATTGTTAACCATTGAGGATAATCAGTATTATGACAAAAAACATTATCGAATGTTTCTGTTAATCCAACACGTAATTGTAAACAACGTGTTGTTCGATTTCGTTTAGGATGTAGAGGAAGTTGATGTAAACAATCAAGATTGGACTCGGAATGAGAACTATGGAAAGAAAAAAAGAAAAGAATAATGTATTATATGACAAACAGATTTGCTTTGTATAGTTATTTTTAAAATCATGAAAAATGTGAAAGAGTTATTTAGTAAATGAAAGAGACAGATTCTTAATTTCTTTAATGTATTATTATGAACGAGATGCACCGGTAGTTTTTAGGTAAGTTTTTCTAAGGAACTTACTGATTATAATTAAGTAAATGACGTTGAAGTTCTAGATGGAGAGTTAAATTATCATTAGAACGTAAAGTATGAAGCATTTTTTCTTGTTTATCAGTAAATTGTTCGAGCCTTATATAAACAATTGTAAGAATGATAGCATAAAAAAGTACATGAATGAAAAGAAAACAGCACCGTTCAATAGTAATATTTGATGGCATTCGAGTTAGATTTTGTACATTTAATAAAGGAACTGCTGTATGATTAATTCTTGTAGTTGTTGTTGTTGTGGATGATGCTGTTTTAGTTGGTGATAACATATTAAGATATTTTGAAGATCAGAATTTAATAATTGTAATGAATTAAAATTAAGCCGCTTAAGAGGTACTGTTCTCTAAACATTTTATGTATGTATAAAACACTTCTTTTCTTAGATATGAGTGTGAACATGTTCATTCTATTGTCGTTTTTTCTTCTTCTTGTTGAATGTAGGAGAGTATGCTAGTGAAAAAAGAAAACGAGAAAAGCGGGAAGGAAGAACGACCGAGGTAGCACGCAATTAGATAACCTCAGGCATTAGTATTGCCGTCGAGAAAATGAACAACATCATTCAATCATTTGTTTTTCTTTACTATTATATTTGTTTAACATTTGTTAAAAAATAAAATAAATCATTGCTCTAATGTTATTTTATATGAATAAATAAAGACTATGAAATGATATATATATTTAATTCTTTTTTCTAGGATTCACATGAATTTCTTAATCTTGTGATTTCACTTATAACTGATGAAATAGATGCGATTAAAAATCAAATAAATGACCAATCATTATTATTTTTACATAACATAATCGATCCAACAACGAATAATTTTCAATTTTGTTTAGCTACAGAACGTTGTTGTGAAATGTATGTAAGAAAGCAAAAAAACTATATATATAATATATCATTTTACTTTGGTTAAAAGCAATTTTCTCTTCAACTTGAAATAAAACATATTTATATTTTCAAGAGTTGTCAGAGTAACTATTTTCCAAGTATTATCAGTAAATTAAACAAACTTTTATTATTCTTTCATTAACAAAAAGAAAATGCCCTTTTTTCTTCTCTTTGAACCAAAAAAAAAAGAATCATCAAATCTAACAATCAAAATATTCCTCAAGGTTATGTTACGGATATAATATTTCCCTTCTATATAGCTGTGGTATGTCAACAATCAAAACTGAAATTCATACAGCTTTACTAATTCATGTAACAGATGAAGAATTTAAAACAACTAAAACTAATTCTCTATCTGATTTACTTGAAAATTATTTTGCATCGGAATCAATGGATGGGTGTTATTGTGATAAATGTCAATCAAATCAACGAAAATATATAAAATATAGTCTTGAAAGATTACCTCGGTAATAGGATAAGAGAAAATCAAAAAGAAAACAAACTAATTTTAAATCTAGAATTTTTATTTTTTATTTAAAACGATGGCATATAACAAAGAATTCTAATGGTGAATTACAATCAGTATCCAAAGAAGATCATCCTATTGATTGTACACTTGATATAAATGTTTATCCATTTTGTTCAACAAATACTTTACAACCACCAATGATAAATTATTTAGAAGAACTACCTAATTTAAAAGATTTACTTAAACAACGTGAAGAACTTATAAATACTATTGAACCAAAACGAGCAAAATTAGAAGAAACTAATTCAGAAAAAATGGTAAGAGAACAAGAAAAAATCTATTAATAATTTATAATAAAGTGAGAACCCTTAGAGATTTATTCGCCAAGAAGAAGAAAAAAAAAGTAGAACTTATGAATAAACTTTCGTTTCTATTTTTAGGAAATGTACGAAGAAGAAAATGTTATCTCTACTCATGCTAATTATCGTCTTTTTGCTGTAATTAATCATCATGGTGGTTCAAGTGATGTTGGTAAGAAATAAAAAATTTTCTTTTTTTTTTCTTTGTCTTATCATAAATATTATTTTTAGGACATTATACATCAACAGTTTATGATGCTAAAGGGGATACATGGTGGACATATGATGATACATCCGTTACATCATGTACTGAACAACGAGTTTTAAAAGATTTAGCTCCTGATGCTTATGGTGTCATGTATATGCATAAGTAATTTGAGAAATAAGTTTTTTTTATAAATTTATATGTATCTATTTTTATAGAGATATATTGAAATTATTTCAACCTGTGATTGATAAATCAATGCAGTGAAAATGATCTATTTTTTATTTCTATCTACAAAACTTTTTCATGATAAATCTCGCATTTGTTCGTATTTTTCTCTAGTTCTCGGTGAATCAACACCGACCGTGTTCTTTATATACATATAAAGTTATATTTTTTTTTTGTTATATTCCTATATATGAACGATAAAAAAAAATAGTAAATTGATATTATGTTCTAAGTTGATTCTTTATTTTTTTTTTTCAAAACATATAATAAACAAAACAATGAAGTATTTTAACATAATTTTGTTTATGAATTCATTTATGGTAATATGTGTCACAGAAGATCATGACTGAATAATCAAACATTGTTAATAAAAAATAAATGAATATTGTTCTATAGAGACATGTCTCCATCCTAAAATATATATCAATAAATTATTTAAATAATATTTCTTTGTAATATGACAAAGAAAAGTAAATTAATCTTGATGACAAAAGATCAAACATTGTCTTAAAAAATAATTATGTTCTTATGATTGCATACAATATAACTATTTTCTTCTTGTTTTTATCATCATAATATATTTCTTAGCTTTGAGTATTTGAAATATTAAATATTTATAACATATGGTAACAATAAAACAAAATCAACATAGAACAAAACTATAATTGATTTTCAAAGGTTCGTGTATTCATACTTCGAACTATTCGGTTTAATCATTGCACATGTAAATAAACGAACGATTGAATCAGCATTTGTACAAAAAAAGAAATGTCTTGACAATACCCTAACAAGATGTAGATTCAGGCAATTTTACAATTGGTTGTTTTATTTTCTATGGATTCATTTTAACGATGTAGACATTTTTTGAATTGTACAAAAAACGGATTTTTTTTCTTATAATCCAATATTCATACTTAATTAAACTAGTCATTTCTCTGGCTAATTATCTTCCTAATTAAGATAGATATACATGAAAAGAAAATCTTTAGGTATTAAAAATCTCGACAGATCATGATATATATTAACCTTGCAGAAAATCAGGTCAAGTTATTTACTTCCTCTTAATTTTCAATAAAATTGTTTTTGAATAGATAATGAATTTATAAGAAGATAAGTAGACATTTATCATTTGAATTGCATATAAATATTCGTTGTACTAAATTCATATGCATGATATATGATCATCAAATTTCAATAACGATGATTCCAAGTTAGCCTTCGATTTTAAAACAACAGAAATTTAATACTAATTCATTATACATATGAAATTGATCGTAAAATCATTCGTCAATATATAATCTCATTTTTCTCTATTCTATTCTCATTTGTACATTATTAGTTTATTTATCAAATTAAGAAGAAGAAAAACAAAATACTTTTGAAATTCAAAGAAATAGTGTCTTTCATTTTGTTAATTATAATGATTTCTATTATACACCAGATCCATCATGTAATTTACGATAAAATAAGTCATCAAGAATTTCAGCAACAATAATTGTATTCGAATTAGCTCCTATAATCCATAGAGCAAATAGATTATCAATAGGAAAATATCGTAGAAAATGACGAAATTGTATTTCTCTTGTTTTATGAGTTTTAATAATTAATTCTAAATGTTGTACAACAAAAACATTACGTGAATGACGAAAAAATATTCGATAAATAAAACGTATTGTATCCATTATTGTTATTAATAATAATATCCAAAACCATATCCAAAGAATAAAATACATTTTTTCAATAAATATATTAATAATAAGTATACATTCAACTGTATAATGATGACGTTCACCTAATTCACGTATTTGAAAATCACATAATGTAATTCGTGGAAATAATTTACTTTCTGGTAATGAAAAACCAGATATTAATGTACCTAAGACATTTAAACCATATTGAAGATAATAAACATCATGATAACTAAGAAAATATTGTAGAAATACAATTTGAAATATTAAATTGATGATGTAAAGAAATTTTATAAAAAAATAAAAGTAAACAAGTGAAACGCCCGTACGACCTTGACAAAATAAACGACATTGTCGATTTATACGATGAAATAAAGATGATTTATCATGCTTGTGGGGATTTACATATTCTTCATAACGTTGTAGACTGTCAGCAATATATTGCACAACTAATCATATCAATAAAAGATCAACATATGCAAAAAAAAAAGAAATGTTCGTAATATGATCCATACCTGCACCACGTTCTTTATCAACATCTAATGATTCGTATTTATTAGCTGCATCAACAAGATTTCGAAGTGATAAACCAAATTTATCATTAAACGATTGCCATATTATACGTGGTAAACTAAAGAAAAGTGCTTGTAGTAAAAGAACAAAATTAATCCATTGATAGTATTTTAATGTTCGTTCACGTCGTAAATTATAATCTTGTGGAATGGATTGATGTTTTGCTACATGATATGTATTCTGTAAATAACATAATCGATTTGTATATGCTTCATAATTTCCAGTAAATTGAGCAGGTACCCAACATTGTAATGGGTCACCTAAGAAAGATAAATAAATTGTTTTATTTTTTTTTCAAATTATGTCGTTTTCTTACCAGCATATTGATATGTCGAAATAGCTAAACAAAAACAAACTAATGCGGCAACTGTATAACGATTATGAAGTCGATCTACAAGTCGATCATCATACGAATCGTCATCACCACCTTTCTTTCTACCGGCAAATCGTTTGGCATTATCAATGACTGCAGTGAAATCCATTGATTTAAATCAATATTGTTCTTCTCGTTCATATGTAAGAAAGTTTGTCTGAAATAAATATTAGATATCATTATATTAGAAGACATATTTATAAGAACATAAAAAAGAATCCTCCATAGAAAAAAAACCAAAAGGTTACCAGATATATATACACAGCTTGTCGGCGACATCATTCTATGATGCAATCATCATAGTGATAACGAGCTAAGACACCAACATATATGTTTATATTGGTTTAAGAAAGATCATTAGATAGTATGAAAACCATACTTGTTTAGTAATCAATCAAATAAAAGACAAAGTTAGAAATACAATACATGGTTAATAATTTGTACAAAGTTTGTCTTATTAATGTTCTCTTGAATGAAAAAAAAGAAAGAGTTATGTACTTACAATGTATAGTCATAACCGCAACACAAAACATCGAGCGCTTTTTTTTTGATTTACGTGTGAAAAAAAATCAATGCGAAGAAAAAGAAGAAAAAAAATAGATGAAAGGTACAGAATAAATAAGAGAGAGAGGTGATCCAATGTGTTAATGTACGAATGTAACGAGCAGAAATGAAACAAAATGGTCACCCATTTACTCGTATACTAAGGAAACGAAAAAGAAACATTAATAAAAGAAAAAAAAAAGAGAACGCAAAAGAACAGCATATACTAAAAGTGAATCTAATGTTAGGCCACATCAGTTATTCGCTAATAAAAAAGGGACGAGTTCTATTTATTTTACATATTCAACATTTATGCTGCCAGGAATAATTAAAGAAGAATAAAAAAAAAGGGGCATACATTTTCTACTTCGAATCAATTATTGGATAGAGAAAAGAGAATCGATGATTTAGTTTTACAATGACAACAATCTGTTTTCTCTTCTATAGATATAATTGTCGGTACATGTTACAAATCTACTACGATAAAAAAAGAGCGTAGATTAGTTCGTAATGAGTATAGATAAAGATGTATTCAGAAGAAACAATCAAAAATGAAAATACTTAAAAATATATATTGTGTTTTGTCTTCGAATTGTGCATAAAGAAAGTCTTGCAATGATTACATTTAGTAGAATTATATTAATATAATTATGTATTATAAAAATAGCTAAATCAATTTCCTGATAGATATATCACACTTATTTCAGCTTTTCGTATTACTGCTTTATAATATATATAAAAACCTGAAAAGAACCAATAATTCTCCCTCAATTTTTAGAAAACTACTCGTAAAGTTCTTAAAACATGTGAGAATTGTAATTCATAAACTTTTTAACTCCTATGTGCTTCTATAATTAGACAATTCAGTGTGATTATGATAAATTAGATTGTAGGAAGTAAGAAATAACTCGATCATTTCATTGAAAACAGAGATATCACCGAAATTCGTATCTAAACTATTAAAAATATAAACCTGAAAACATTCCTATGATAACCTAAGCAGCCAAGAATTTTGGAGAAGCGCTAAATCGGAAACCGCGATTGTATCTCATTCACGCTCGGAAAAAAAACACCGATTTATCAGTTTTTGGCGTTTTTTTTCCGTATAATTTCTAGTTTTTGAACGTAAAAGCAACAAAAAAATCCAGTTTTTTGAGCGTTAAAATGCACTGCTTTCAGATTGCAGAAAATTACAGAAGTAAAAGCACGTTTTAACGCTCAAAAACTAGAAATTATATGGAAAAAAAACGCCAAAAACCGATAAAACGGCGTTTTATTTTCGAGCTTGAATAAGATACAATTGCGGTTCCTGATTGAGCGTTTAAACGCGTTTCTCCAAATTCTTGTCTGCTTGGGAATCGATTGTCAGATATAATCAAAAATTAAATACTTTTATTTTTACCTTTGAAAGACCTTCATAGATTTTTTTTCCAGTAAATATGTCACCATAAAAAAGACAAAATATAACACTACCTTTTTCTTGTGTTATAATAACAAATTATTTATTATTCACGAAACGATTATGCATAACCTTGCATATCGATGATAAATTGCATTTTTATATTTTACTATTCTACTATTTATCTATGCTACTCATCATGACCTACATCACTTCCTGAACAATAGGAAAAAAATCTTATGACCTTCGTCGTTGTCTACTTGATTTGCTTGAATAATTAACCCATAGCATCATATTTTTTTGAATGCTAATAAGTTAAACAATATTACAATGAGATGATATATTGAAAAATAAAATATCAATAAATATTTGTATGTAATTTCTATACTCATTAATCTTTCAGAAATTATATAATCAATACAAAATTTATGATTTATATGAACAATGTCGCATTGATTACATACTAAATCATTTTCAATATAACAGACAATTAATATATTTCATTTACTTATAATTCAAAACATGAATTTCTTTTAATATCATTTTTGATTTAAAAATAACTTTTTCAAGGTAATAATTACATGCTGACATATATCTGTTAATATTATATATATGGAAAAAAATTCATTAACACTAGAAACTAATATGAAATAATGAAAAACACCTGGAGTAAAAATTTATTTCTTGTATATTTTCTAAAATATTCATTTTGAATGAGTTCATTCAAGAAAAGAAAAACTTTATGCTTGATTAAAAATTTTGCAAGTAATATTTATGACTATAATTATAAACTATCAACGATTATCACGAAACTTATGTAATCAACAATACGGTTTCTTGTTACATTATTCTTTCAATCAAATACTATTCTCTAGATCTTGTAATAATTATGCATGCTTATTAACGTTTCATTTCCTCAATTCAATGAAATTTCTTGTTTTAAAACGTAATCAGAAAACTTAAAAAAGCGTAAAAATTCAAACATAACAAATTACTTGTATTCTATTCTAAAAATATCATTTCTTTCCAACAATCATTAATACATATTATATTTTTTTTGTATTTGAATATATTTCCAAAAAGCAAAGACAGTAACTACTGTTCTCATGAAATCCATTGTTAGCTGTTAAACCGTCATAAAATGAAAACATAGTGCAAAGAAAGAAAAATAGACGTGAACAAATAAATGAAAAACAGATAGATAAAGATAAACATACACACAGGCACAATAATACATATATAGATAATCAAGAAAGAAAAAGATTTATTTAATCTCATCAATTGAATAACAATTAAAAACAAAAAGAAGTTAAACAAGAAAGGAAAGATCTACAATAATGTTAAAACTAAATGTGTGCAGGTATGCATAGACAATATATGAAATAATGAAAATCTCCATTATTGCATATATTTCTCCATGAAATTAATATTCTTATAAGCTAACCATAAGCAATTATTCAAATCAAAAAAAAACGAGAGAAAGGAAAGAATAAAGAAAACATTAATTTCCTAGATTAATTATAGTTATTATTTTCTTTCGCTTTTGTTATATGTATTTCATGAATCACAGATGCGCAACGCCAGAAATAAAAAAGGATATATATATATGTTTATATATAGAAATAAACGAGAAAGAAAACAGAACCGTATGATAAAGTCTTTTTCACTTGTTTCTTTTCCCCCTAGGCATACTAATGTATATATATACACAACTTGATTGTTTAACTTTGCCATGCAATATATCCATATGCTTGAAGACTTGATAATGTTAAATATCCAATCCAAAGAAAAACAAAAATTATTGAACATATATATTTAGGTATTGTTGGTCCACCTAAAATAAATAAAATAATTATACAAAAAAAAAATAAAAAAAATAATCTAACCAAGTTCTGCTTTGCCAAATACACTCAAAAATCGTCGTAGTATAAGTATAGTCATACCAAGAATGCAACAAACCGAGAAGACTAATACACTAAATGATAAATCACCAGCTTTGACTGTAAATGGAAGATTCTAAAAAAAAACGAAAGATAAATTAAAAAGATAATCGATCGTAATATATTTCTCAGGAGAATAGAAATTTTTAATTAGAAAGTTTTTTTTCTTACTTTTGATTCCCAATAGATTGCTGCAACAAGCCATGGAAGTCCAAGACCGAGAAAAACATTGACACTATTCGATCCTGTTACATTACCAATAGCATCATCAGCTGATTTCGAATTTTTCGCAGCAATCATTGATGCAAATGTATCAGGTAATGATGTACCAAGTGCAACAAATGATATAGCTGTTATACTATCTTTTAATCCAACTAAACAACCAAATATAGCCGCTACATCACCAACAACAGCAGTTAGAAGAGCAATGAAGAAAAGTGAAACAAAAAATGTTAACCAACCACCAGCCATTGCTGTTGGTGGTACAAAAGCAAAAAGTACCTATTTATAAAAACAAAATTAATTATTAAAATTTTTATTTTTTGTAATATAAATATACCTTCCAGAAAAATGCAAGTGCATGACCAATATAATGACCAAATTTAGCTGTTTCTAAATCACCACCATTAACATTCATAGCATCTTGAAATTGTTGACCCCAAGATGTTTTTGTTACACTTAATTTATCCATATCAACTTGAACAAGTGACGCCATTTTATTTGCCATTGTTTTATAATCTAAATGAAAGAAATATTGTTTTTGATTTTTTTTTATATACAAAATTTACCATCATCATTAATAATTGTAACAACAGTTTTTGTATGTTTGCCTATTGTTGCACCACCAGTTGGATCATAGATTTCAACAGCAAAACTTTCATCTTTTTCAGCTTCAAGATCATTTATAATTGGTATAGCAATTATTTTTGATATTTCACCATGTTCAAATATAATTTCACTTTGAGATGCTAAAAAAAGAAAAATGATATCTTTTGTATGATAAAAAGGATAGAAGAAAAAAAAAAAAGCATGAATGTCAAGGAAGTAGTTGTCGTTGATAAGAATTAAATCGATTAACATCAGACAAAGCCTTTTTTTGTTCTTTTATTCTCTATTAAATGCCGATTGTCTACGGGCAAGAATATTTATTCGAACTATTATGTTAATAAAAGGTATTGTCAATTATTATCGAATAAAAGCTTGTTTTGTTATATATAAAAAAATATTAATGACTTACGTTCATAATCTCTTGTTGCAACAGCATCAATATCTTTTGTTCGATAATGTACACTGACACGACCGTCAGCACCATTGACTCGTACTAATTTTATTTCAGCTTTACCAACACTTTCTTTAACTAATGTAATAGGTTCTTCGAATTCAATCACACCCGGTTCTATAAAAATAAATGAATGTGAATATAGTTATTCAGTTTATGTAATCTACCATCATCATTGATAATTGTTACAAGTGCAATCGTTTTTGAACCTAATTTAGCACGAACTTCTTCACCTTCTGGTAATGATAATTTAACAAAAAATGTTTCATCTGGTTCCCATTGATTATCATCGATAACATGAATAGTAATTCTTTTTTCTTGTTGACCACGTTCCATTTTAAATTCTTCGGATAATTTAACATAATCTTCACCCGCTGTTGCAGTTCCATCAATTGTATCAAGTCTAGTGACAAAATTATATTATTAAATTTAGCGACAAAAGATTATTGATGCATGAAATGCGAAATAAATGTAGCTTTTTTTTCTAAAGAAAAAGCGTGCAAGAATTTAGCTTAAAGCAGGCAAATATAAAGCAAAGAATAGGCAGGTTTTATACAATCTATAAAAGCATATATCATGCAAACTTTTCTCATATTATCTTTTGATCTTATTTGAAAGAATACTTGAAATTATATTATTGGTTAATGAAGGGGTCAAACAGTAGGTGGATATTTGAATACAATTAGTGATGTAGGAAAATAGGTTTTCTAGTTGATGAAAACAACAAATACACCAGACGTCAAAATATAATAACAAGTATATGGACTATGTGATCGGGACCTACCGAAAATGAAGAACGGAATTCACGAAGCCGTATCTAACGACTTCGACAGTTACACGCTGTTCACGTTCAAGTACAGCATAACTGGATGAAGCAAACTCAAGTATAGCCAAACGTGGATCATCATCAACTTCTATTTTTGATAATGTTCCCTTTCTACCAAATGAATGTTCAGCCGGAAAATTCCCATCAACAGGCTGTGGTTTAATAGCTCGTTCGTAAATCTAAACGAACCAGGGTGTAATAGTTTTTTTTCTTATTTCATTCTCAAATATAAAAAGATCATAAAAGAGTTACTTCGGTAAAAAAAAGAAGAATGCATCAAATTAGTAATTAAAAGAATGTATATATATATAAATATATAGATCAATATAATTCTTTTTATGCAGCATGGCGTTAATAAAATAGCGTATATATGCACGAGTGATTAAACGAACGGAGCGAAAAAAAATAAACACCTGAATCGAACATCGACATCAATCGGACCCCTTCGTTTGACTTTAAGATTAACTTTTTGTTCACGTTCAAGTATAGCATATGTTGTTGTAGAAAATTCAATTAATGCTCGATGATCATCAGGATCAATAGTATCATCTTCATCACCTGTTCTTGATACTAATGATGCTCGTTGATCAACCACCAGTGAATCACGATTATGTACTTCAGAATAGATCTGTTTGGATAATTATATATAGATAGATAGATAGATAGATACGTAATAAAATATTAACTTAGATAATTAAAAATCAAAACATATTTCTCCTAATTAATTAAATTATTACAAACCTCTTGTAGTTTGTCAGGCAAATTAAGAAATAAAGATTTGCCACCGGTAAGCATTCGAGCACCTTGAATACGATATTGCATACGTGATCGATGCATACTTTCACTTAATTTAGCTGCAAATAATTGTGCTTTATCTTCTAATGATAAATTTGTTGTTTGACCAAGATCCTATAGAAAAAGAAATTTTTTCATCAATATTGTTTACAATATTAATTAAAACATACACGTAAGAATTGTAGAAGTTCATCTTTACGAAAATTACGTGGACTACCATTTTCGTCACGTTCTGGTGGTGCTAGAAAAATAGAACATTAGATATATGTCACGTATATAATCAGTGTTTCGAAAATATTGACAATATACATAGGAAAAAGAAAAAGCCTTGACTTACTTAATATGAGTGTTTGTTCCTCTTCGTCCATGTCAATTTTCTTTGAAGCAAAGAAATTTTTTTCAGCCTAATAAAACATCAAGATCATTTTGCCTTTGTTTTTATCTAAACGTTCATTTACCAGAAATGCTAAAATGACAACCAACGGAAACATGAGAAATGTAATGACAGCTTCCCAAAGATCAACAACATCTTTTGATATAACCGATAAGACAATGAACATCCATATATAAGCAAAAAATCCAAAGAAAGATGTGATCTATTTTAATATATAATTACAGATTTATATCTTAGAAATATTTTCAAAAAAAGCGTTAATTACCATAAAAACACTGTACAATTTAACTTTCCTTGTTTCTGGAGCCTTAATAGCAGAAATACATAACGCAGAAATCATTAATAAATTATAAGCAGCTGAACCAACAACTAAAATAATAAATAAAAAACTGATTAATAATATTGCTCTTTTTATTTCTTAGAATGCTTTGTTTTTTAAGATCACCACAAAGGGTTTCCGCAAAATACATCTAGTCATATATATAAAGGTTAAAATAGAATATCATGACCTTATCATCTGCTAATCTAATAAAAAAAAAATATATGTTTCTGACATTACATTTAGAAAAGATAATTTATATTCTTATTTTAATTAAGTGCAGTTTTTGATAGATGAGATCTTCTTTAGTTGAAAATCTAATTAGATTCTTACTAGTTCCAGGACCAAGTTCTCCAGCTTCAAAACGATTTCCAACTATTTCAATAATTGATAGAAGAATTTCAGGTGAACTTGAACCAAGTGCCATTAATGTTAAATTAGCAACAGTATCATTCCATGTACGAACTTCAACAGTTAAATATTTATCTTTTTCACCTGGATCAGGATAACGTATTTTTCGTCTTTTTGATGTTATAGTTTCAATTGAAGACATAAATATATCGGCAATAATAGCAATACCAAGAAAAAGATATAGTAAAAAAATAAAATATAATACTGCTCGTAATTTTATTGGCATGCATGCTTCAATACCTATTCATTAATAGAAAAATAAAACAAAAGAAATATTAATTATTTCACGGTTAAGAAAAAAATGATTACCAAATGGTAATAAAAGACCACGAGCAGAACATTTAAATTTTTGACAACTGACACCAGTAAAATTAGCAATTTCGTCTGTCATTTTGTTTGAAGATCTTTGTATTTAAATTCACTTGTGATCAATGTTCACATGTTAGTTATGCAGAGAGGACATACTAAAACCATATACAAGGTCATCAGGTCGCCTTTTTTATGCTCTATCTATCTTTCTCTCTCTTTTTTTTTCTTTTTCTTCGCCTTCTCCTCCTTCTTCTTCTTCTTCTATTCCGTCAAAAATCTGTGCTCTCGTTCCAAAGAGAAAGAAAACGAATAATAATATTAGTTTTTCTTTTCTTTTTGCTCTTTCTTTCATCTTCATTCTCTTCGAATCGGAGGTGATTAGTAAAAAAAATATTAGATTGGAACCTAGACTTTTTCTGTCTAGAATAGCTTTCATGTTCAGACTCTATTAGCCATTAACAAGCTCCCGTCTATTTTTTTTTTTGGAATTTTTGTCTCATGTTTCTCGTTCTGCTCGTTTTTTCTTTACAGAATAATGAAAGTAAAAGAAATGGGTTGAAAATCGTGCAATCGTTTATAAAGTATAATGATTCTAGTAGACAAACCAACAGTCAAAAAAAGAGTGAAAAAGAATCGAATTTCATCAACATGAGATGTTACACTTTACACCTTTACCTCCTTATCATTGTTGACAACGACTACCATAGCTTCTCTTTTTTCCTCTTTTTTTTTCCTTTGTAAATATGTGCATTTTTGCGTGTATATATATATATATATATGCGTGTTCATTCCGTTTTATTTATCTCTCTCCCTCTCTCTCTCTTTTTCTCCTTCGTTATTTGAAAAGCTTAATCGGGAAGCGAGATTCACCGACAAACGGAAGGCTCATTAACCAAAGTTTTTATTATATTAATTACGGTGATTGAAAAGGACTGGTACATATAGGAATTCACTTATTCTTAAGCATTCTATGGTAAATAATAAAGAAAAAATTTTCTTTTTTTTATATTAAAAATTCATTATTAATAATGTTCGACATTTTTTTACTTAAAGAATAGTAACCATTAAATAATGAAAGCTATATGTGCATAATTGATTAGTTTTTTATTTAAAGTCATTATCTCAATAGATTTCTACATAAATAAACTCACCGATTATGTTAAACAAAACAAAAAAAGGAGTTTTCTAAGTCTTTACCATATGCTTTTTCTCATGTCTTATTCTTATAAATATTAGGAAACGATGAGAACTATTGAATATGTATGTATTTATTTATCTATAAAGACTATATTCATTTTATATTCTAATATATGAATACATAAATTAATGTGAATGATTAGAGTTTTGATCGATTACAACTTTACTACTTACGATAAAGAGACTTCAAATGAAAATAAAAGAATAGAATAGAGAAAGACTTTTTTTGTTCATATTGAAAACTAATTGGAAACCTGTCAACAAGAACGAGTATGAAAGATTCATTGAATAGACTAATATGCTACAATGCACAACCGAACACAATACTGCTAGTCACCCACCGAATAGCAGTACTGCTAGAGACTGAGTGCGAGCGAGAAGTGAATAATCAAGCATGAATTATAGATGAAACGAGCATATATGCCAAAATAGCTTTTTCTCGTTTCTCTTCTCTTCTCTTCTCTTCTCTTTTATTTCTCGACAGCAGCGTCGACACTTCGGCTATGTCGAGCAGCAACAGCACATGTGCTACGGGTTTCTCTCGTTCTCTCAACTATTTGCTCTCTACGTGCAATAAATGCATGGCAGTACCGCAAACCTACGATGAAGCAATGAAGAGAAGGAAAAGAAAGAAGTGTACTCTTCTAGTTGTCACCATACAGCAACGGCAAAAGAATAGGGAACAGTACTACTAATAGAAATAGCAGTAATTTGCTATCGGTGTGTATATGTAAATGTGTGCATAAAACTTCTCTCTTTTTTTTTCTCTTAAATACTGACTACCTGCTATGCGTTGAAGGACAACGAGAAAGAGAAAACAGGCAACTTCATTGATGAAGATCAATTTTTCGATAATATGAAACTCGTAGTCTATCAAAGAAATACTCGACTCGCATGGGTGGGCGATCGAAGTAATCGCAATTAGTATAAAAACACAAATGGTAGTTATCTATACTTGTTCTTCCTACACATATAATTAAATATCAACATGCTTGATCTAAACAATGTTTGGCATATCAATCGCTATATTATTAACGAAATAAAATAAGCAAAAGAAAGAAGAAGGATTTATTTAGAAATCGATTATTTGTGAGATGATATATGCATTAGTCTATGAAAAAAAAGGAAGAATATGCTGCTTTTAACTCGTTCTTTTGTTTGAATATAGATATATATAACCCTTTTCTTTATATTCAATATGGTCATATAACAATAATATACCTCTACAATATATCTTATTGACGTCCAAAATATTTTTTTTCTCTTTTTTCTTTACTAGTCATTAGCGTAGAGAAAACACTCGAGAGATATATTATACTAAAGATTTACTTCAGCCAAGCAAGCAAAGCTTCATCATAGCGTTGATGTAGAATGAGTGCTTATAAAAAAAAATATATAAATGAATAAAATTTCTTTTTTTCTTCTGCTTCTTCTTCTTCTTCTTCTTTCTATCTCTTTTTTTGTCATTATAAAATGTTGGTTGGTGGTTGTCTTGTATATAGCATGATTCGAAATAGAGAAATGTCTACTAAAAAAAAACTGATAGAAAAGTTATATATAATCTTAAACATGAAATCTAAGTAGGTCTTCAAATGATATAAATCAGTATGACTTCGACATTAACTAATTAAGGTTTTGATATGTTTTCATAACATATGATAATATAATTTTTTTCTTTTATCTTATTTATATATAATCAATAGATGATAAAACTTATATTATTGTATACCATTCTCATATTAATGTCAACATCGATCTAATTATCAGTTCTATATATAAAACATACTTGAAAAATCATAAAACTTAAAAAATATAATTCCTATTTATTTTTTTGTTTATTGTTTAAATAGAATAGCATCAAATGTCGATCGAACATTTATATCGATCCATAATAAATCTATAATTGATAGTGATCCATTACAAATTGCTTCCAGTTATCTTTTATAGAATTAGTTGTCACAAAAAAAAAGAGAATTCTATCATATGAATATGAAGAAGCGGAAAAAGATTTTTTAGACTTGCGTCAGATCTTATCTCCGATCCGGAAGAGAAGATATTATAAGAGGTATATATGTAATAGAATTCAATTAGTTGAACACTAAAGAGTGTTTTCTACTTCAGCTATTGTGAGTACTTAATAATTCTAGTGATGCCTCATTCAAGCCGTATTTCATAAACCATACGATTTCCGGTTCTATGATCCCATAAATGATTAGGTCTGTTTTATTTCTCTGACATCAAATATAAATATATAATTCTAATTTTATCGATTTCTTTTTTTTTATTACTATTATTAGCCTTGGGGAAGACGAAGTATTTATTAATTAAAATTGAAATCAGTAGAGAAAATAGAATTTCTAAATAATTGTTTTCAATCTATTAAAATGATTAATAGCGTACATAATTTATTCGATCATTCTTAAGCAATATTATGTTGATAACAACATTGTCAATAAAAATATATTATGTATTGACAACATAAATGCTCGCTCTCATTTGATGACAATTATAAACTAAAAATACTTCAATCTATAATTATATTCCAAGCATACGAACCAATAAATACGATGATAAATATATCCATAGAATAAATTAAAACATATTACACCAAATGTTTATTTAGAACTAAATTTCTTGGTTATCCGATATCTTTTAATGATTCACATATTTGCAAAAAAAAAGTCCTATCGTCAATATTTTACTAAGAATCTTACTGAGAGACGATCGTTGAGTGACATATTCATATATACCGATTATCTCCTGAGTAACCAAATCTACCTTGTGCAATATATACTATAGATGAAATAACAGTACCTATTTATGGCAGTCAATATTTACTAGTTGGTTTTTTAAACGATTTCATATTTTTATGATTATTCATTGAATCGAAAATGTACAGAAATGATGAATATAGAATACGAATTCATAACAATCATGAAAAAGACTGTTTTATATCTTAGACATTGACTTTACTATTCTAAAATCAATCAATAGATTTCTATGTGATAAAAAAAAGAAATTTTTCTTGTGTCCTTCATCCACATCTAATAAATTTCCATCTGATTGGATTTTGTATAATCAAGGATTAATGAAAGTAAAAACCGAATCGAGAAATATGTACGATAACTTATAAATAATGGTCGTATAAAAAAATATTCTTGAAAGTAACATATGAAGAAATGACATTGTTTAATAGAGAATTTAAAGCGATTTCGAGAAAAAGAAAATAAAACGAAACATTCGCTTATCTATCAGTATCATCCATTTCTTGTCAGATATTCATGCAAATATCAACGTTCAATATCTACATCGTATTATAAGAATGATAATAGTGGGGTACAGAGACTTAACCGAAATAAGCAACATTTTGAGACAGATAATGATTTACTAAAAAATATTTTTTATAATTAGAATGAAATCTGATCTACATTTTTAATTTATTTAATGGTTTCTTCTGTTGATTCTATATATGACATATAGATAAAAGTCTTATTCTATTCATTGCTCTAAGCTAATATAAATGTTTGATGAAATAACATAGTTAATAAGTTTTTATACCCTTGAAGTCATTCTTTTATTAATTAATATCTTGTAGCATGTAAGCCTTGACACCAAGTGTTTATTTATAATTTCTCATAGAATTTATACTAGTTGTTTGAAAAGAACTTCATATCTATATTTTCTAATTAAGAAATCTAATATAATATTAGTCTTTTCACAAATGTTATTAGCTACAAACTCAAGTAGAAATCTTTGTGAAAGTTGTCAAAAAATGTCAGTCAATACTTAAATATTGACAACAGTATGTACCTAAGTACTTTCCTTGCATTCTAAAATAAATTTTCTTCTTATTCTCATAATAGTTTATGAACTATTTCTGAATGAAAGAAAACATACACATACTTTTTTTTCATCTCTTGAGAAGTAAATCTCTCTGTTTCTATCGATATAGATTTTTTGTTTCATAAGTACAATATTCCATGATGACTATCAGATACTTGAACTTATTTATCTAATACATTGTATTTCATTTGAGTAATAAATAATTACACATCTGGCAAAAAGAACACACACACATATATCGTTTTCTATTTCACATCGTTATCTCACATAAAACAGAATAAACAAATTTCCTTAGGGAACAAATGTGGTCGGAAAATACCATAAATCCACTATCGTAACGAAAAAAAAAATATACAAATTTAATCTTTAATTTTCTTGATAATAACTTTTAGTCTTTTTTTATGTAAAAAAAAAAGGGAAAGAATATATATAAAAAAAAATTACACACAGATATACCGGTATCATTTACAGCACTTTTAGATTGTTATTATTCATTATCATCGTGTGATGGTGGAAGTGGCAGTGATGGTAATTGAGGATAACTTGGTTCGCCCATTGCAGTATCATAAGTTTGATCATTAAGAGGTTTATCGTTTGTCAATGAACTTGCTGTGCTATCTTTTCTTAATAAATTAGATGAATAAATTCGTGTGGAATTATCAGCTTATAAAATCAAAAAAAAGAAAGAAATTCAAAAATTTATTTATTAAACAACTAACCAATAGAATTATGTCTCTCATTTGAATTTTGAGTCATTTTAAATAAAAGATATTGATTAATTTTTTTACATTCACCACCATCGTGAGTATTTATTTCATAGACACAAACGACACCATCATAACCAGCAACAAATAGTTTCAATGTTTTATTCAAACTAAAATAAATTATTGAAAATAATTAAAAAAAATAATTTCGAAATCAATTACATATTCATAGCTATAATGGTTTTTGTTCCTGCTGATTGTAAATGTACAGTTGCAAATGCACGATCTTGTGTTAAAACTTCTGATGTTTGTTTTGGTAAATAATACGCAACATCACCTAACATACGACTAAATGATCCCATCCATGAACTTGTTTCCTCAACTGGTCTAGAATAAGATTAATGAGAAAAAAATATGAATTAATATTAAATCAATATACTTTTCTTTTTGATTCATTAATCGAAATATATGTATGGTTCCTGTATTACTCGATGCTGCTAAAAACATTGAATCAGGACTGAATGCTAATGAATAAATAGTTGCAACTCTAAAGAAAGAAAAAAAGTTATCGATGAGTTCAATAAATAAAAGACAAGTTAATTTAATATACCGTCGAACACCACGACGAAATTCAAATAAACGTGAACCATCAAGTACATTGTGAATACGAATAACTGTTCCCTGTGAAAATAAAGTCATAATTTCATAAAAACTTCTTAATTAAAACTATAAAAACATACTTTATTTGAAGCTGTTGCTATTATAGAACCAGTCGCATCAAATGCAATTGCACCAAGTGAACTTTCATGAGCACTTATCATAATACCTGGTTTCTATATATAATAAAAAAATGAATCAGTTATATGAGTTTAAATTTAGATATTTTATTAACTAAATTGACAGTATCAAATATTTGTATTTCACCCGTTATTGAACTTCCTGGATAAGCTAAATAAGGATTACTATCATTGGATGATAATGCACAAAGTCCATCTGAATTTGTTGGTACATCACGAATTGTATGTAATACTTTCATATCACGCATATTATGAATATAAATACTTTCTTCCAAACAGACAACAAGTCTCTAAAAAAATAATAATATTTTTATTTTCTTAATAAATTAAATTCAAATATTTATTTACCGAACGATTTAATTTAACAGTAAGAATAGAATTCGGAAATGAATATGCACAGATTTCTGTACCTTTGTTAAAATGACACACTTTTAATTTACGTGGTGCTTGATTACTAACAAGTGCAATTAATGAACTTGAAAATAAACGTTCAATAATACGAACATCATCATAAGCTATTGAAAGAAAAATATTTCATATATATTAGCAAAACGAGATCAGTAAAATCAAATACGCATTGATAGATTTTATTTTTTTATACTTACCACAATCATGAATTTCATCAAATTTATTGTCTTGACTAATCGTATATAAAGCATATGTCTTCAATGTACCCATAGCCAATGATCTATAAATTAGAAGATAAAATCATCTATTAACAAATAATAAACAAATCTTACGTGCTATCTTGATTAAACGTCAATGTGAGTATTTTATATTGCGAAGGAACAGTATTATCCGATGTTCCATCACTATTACTCGCACTACCAATACTATTTCTATTAGATAAGGCGTTCATTAGTTCTTTTATTAGTAGATCATTGTATAAGAAAATAAGTTTATCTAAAATGAAATACTCTTGACTTTATTATATTATATATAAAACTAATATAAATTTAGTATAAAATTAGAATAAATTATTTTTTTTCAAATGAACACATATCACATTGTTGATGTGTAATAATATTGAGATAAGTACATTGCGGACAAGACCATTCAGATAATTGTTCTTGAATATTGATCGGAGATAAAGGATTTATTGATATTTGTGGATTACGAACTAAAATTATTTTATATTTTTAATAAGAAAACATCATCATACTAACATTCTATTTGAAGAAGTTGAAGAAATGTTTGCCAATGATCATTGGTCATCCATTTTTCAACCCCATTCAGATCCTTAGTACGTAATGAATCCAATAATGGATTCAGTTGATCCTAAAGAGATTTTTTATTTTACATAATATAAAATCTATTGTCTAACTACATTATTCTCTTCCGAATAGTTAATCAGATATGTCTTAATCTAATAGTATAAAGTTAAAAATGAACAATAGTTTTCGATAACGTTATTGGAAATCAATCATTAACACATATGGTCAATTTATAAAAAAAATAAGGTTATTCTAACTCCGCTAAATTGTTAAGACCTAAAAAGAATAATATTTATTCTTGCGTGGTTGCGTTGTTTGATTTTCTTATCATATTATCTAATCTCTTATCATTCTTTTCTACACATATTCATAATACATAATTCTCCTGGGAATTCGATTTGTTTATTCAACATAATGAAATTAATCATCTTTTCCTTATTTCATTAATAAATCTACTATTCTCTTACCATTGAAAATTGAAAGATATCATTTACGACAAGATATATCAATAAATGAATATCTGCTAGAATATCTGTAATTTTATATAAATTTGATTTTGTTACATCAGGCTCTAAGAATTGTTGTAAATATAATGTAAATGTATCCATATCCTATTGTAAGAATTTTTTTCGTTTTAGAATTTAAAATCAAATAAAAATATTTTACCTGTAGTTCACCTAGTTTTGCTCGATTTTCAATACAAAATGGTGTTTTTATAACTGAACAATTATCATTAAATGTTGATTGTATTTGAGAATTAGCATTTGGAAAACCTGTTGGAATATCAATTATTAAATATTCTAATGGAAATGGTCGAGCTGTTTTCATAATTTCATTATTATAAGAATCTTTGCCCTAATAATTTTAAAATTGATTACGATAGAAAAAAAAGAATATTTATTTTACTTTATAATAAACATCTGGAACATATTGCTCCGGACTTGTTTCTTTAATATAACCAAGTTCGGGCGCATCATATGTAGGTAATAAAACTTCTGATTTAACTAAAGCCATGCATTGATTTGAGACTTGATATCCTTCGAAATTTATTTGTCCGGATTCATCACCAGTAACAACAACAGTAACAAATTTCGAACCAAAATAACCATCCGGAGAATATTTATATGCATTCAAATGTTTATTTTGAAACCAACCACTCATAATACATTCTTGGGCAGTTAAAAAAACTATATTCTATTAATAAATAATTCATATTAAAACATAAAGATTAATAATTGAATTATTGTATACCATATTTCCTCGATGATGAAGTACAGAACCAGTACCAGCTCTTGTATTATTCGATATCAGATCGGTAAATATCCATCCAATACGACGTATACCTAAACGATGTGCTAATTCATCGACAATTGTTTCATGAGGATCAGGAAAAATTAATTGAACATCATCTTTTGAAGTATCCTATAAAGAAACAATCAGTTTTTTTTTCAATCAAATAAATATAAAACTATTTTCAACCTGTGGTGGTTCGTATATAGCAGTAACAACAGCTCGAACACCAAGTGGAACACCATCATAAACTTCATATCGACCATAAAGAAAACCAATACGTTGATGATCTGATGAACGCCAATAATTTAAAAATCGATTTACTATATTTCCATTTTCAAACATTATGTTATCTACATGACGAAATGTCTACAAAGAAAATTTAATATGAAATCAACTACTTTTAACTAAACGAATAACTCTCAGTTATGAAAAACTAAACCGTCTATGGCATATATCGCATTTATTACCTGACGCATTAGAGTCACTGGATTCGGTTGACATTTAGTACAAACTCCTGTATGTATATATTCTATTAAAACTTGTATTTCTATTAATTAATTATTTACCTTTTGGCCATGGAGCATGACCTGCAGAACAGGTGTCTTTAATAGAACAATTAATATTTTCCAAACTTGAAAATGTAGTTCTATTTAAAAATAAAACACAGAGTTAAATAATATTAAATTTATAATAAGTTTTTACCTATCACCAGTTGTTGTATTTTGTAGTTTTCTAATATATGCTTGAAATGACATATGTTTTATTGGTGGATTATGATTTTTTAAATAATCTTCATCATATGGTTCAATTGGTATACAATGTAAACATTTTCCATGTTTATTATGATGACATCTAAGTAAAAGAATAGTTTAAAATATTTTCGATTGAATATATTTTTCATACAATTGTGGATCTTTTTCACGAGTAATTCTTCCATGAATTTTATCTAATTGTATATCAACATCATCTTCTTTTGTATCGATTAATTTCGAAATAAAATTGTATTGTAAATTTGAATTATTTGTTGTTCTATCAGACTTAATCATTAATGGAGAATTCTTTTCTTGTTCAACAGTAAGATAAATCATATCACCATGTCTATAAAAAAATTAATCAGTTAATATTTTTCTAGTTTCTATTTCAAACCGAAGATCTAATTTTGTTTGTGATCGATCTAAAGGTGATTTTTTATTCGGTTCTTTATATAGAATAAAATTATCCGATAATGAAAATGCATGAACAACCTAAAAACAACGAAAAATATTCGTTTTTAATAAATTGTTTATATTACTTTTTCATGTAATGTTTTATATGTATCTTGAGAAGTAATGTCAATTCTTTTTGTACCTTCCGGTGATTGAACTCGTATAGTCTAAAGTGATTTTTATTAAAATAATAAAACTAAAAAAAATATTATTTATATATTTACTTTTGACATCAAATATTTTTCTATCCTATATTGGAAAAAACACAATCTAAAATAGAAAATGTCGTCTTAGTTAATATTATGTTGCTTAGATAAACTATCAGCTGAGATTTGATAAAGGTCATATACTGAAATTTTATTGGTGAATTGAAATATAACTAATAGAAAAAGCCAACGAAATTATTTCTAATTTTGTGTATTGAATATGACAGACACAATTAACATTAATTTGGTAAAATAAGTTAGAAAAATCTTTGTATATCGATATAAAAATTGAATAGAAATATAATTAAATTCTGAAATATCATTATCAAGTGCTATTATAGGTTCAATTTATTAATTGTTAAATGTAGCAAATCTAACTAAGGTCGGAAATAGAAAAATTACTATATTGAAAAGATCAATTTCAATATTTTCTTTCTTTCTTCCAATGAAATGTATTCATTCGTTAAAAAGGTAGAGAAACAACAGAGGTAATATGTGAGGTCGCAACATGATTATAATTTTATTATTTAAAATAGCAAATTTTAAATACAAGAAGAAGAATATTCTTCTTTATTATTATAGACAAAAATAGGTTTATCTCCTTCAGTGCTATAAACTACTTGATTATATCCTCTTCCTCAGGCATTCTCTTCTCGTTTCCTTTATATATTTTCTATAAGCAAACTCTTGAAACAGAAATGAAAAGTAAAACATTATTCTCTCGCCATAAAATATGTTTTCCAATAAATTCTATTATGATTTTCCAAATGAAAGATATCCTTTTCTTATTGGAATTATGTAATTATTCAAACGATATTCTTTATATATCGCTGATGGTGTTTATAGGTATAAGCCATCAGCCGATTTTTGCTGAAGTCGACGGCTGACAGCTTCCGTTTTTGCTAGAGCCGACGCAGGTCCAAGCCGATGGCTTACAGCTCTCATGGTATTTAACTCCTTTCTGCCAGACTATATGTAAAGTGCCGTGACGCCTACGACAAAATATTGCCATATAACAATGTCTGAACGGAAAAAGTTAATAAATAGAATATTTTGTTACATTCAGTATTTATCATAACTTCCTAATATTATTTTTTTTATATTACCTGTTTTGTCTATATAACGTTATTTGAAAATGATAAATATTAATTCACGATAAATAAACGTGACTATATAGCAAAACAACTTGTACAATATTTATTCTATTTCCCTGAAAAAAAATCTCTCTATATATATTACTTCTCAATTCAAATACAGCCGATAAATTATCAGTAATTCAAATTGGAAGAGACAACCGTTTTTCCAAGATAATGTACAATTCATTTATGAATAATATTATAAAAATCGGACTCATTTTCAACTTTTTCATTAATGGTAAAAATAATTTTTACAGTATAATTTATTTGTCAATTTATTTTATAAAATATTTTAGAAGCTGTGAATGCTCGTGTGACAACAAAATACACAAATGGTTTATATTCATATAGTTCAACATTTGTTCGACCTAATGGTTATACAAAAAATTACTATTTTCATGCGATCAAAGTAAAAGTTTTTACAACTGGCTTATATAGTTTTACAAGCAACAGTACTTTCGATACTTATGGATCTATTCATCATTATCCTGTTGAACTAACTAATCTTTCTAAAAGTATGATTGCATATAATGATGATAGTGGTGGTGGTGGTCTACAATTTCAAATTAATCTTACTTTACAATCCGACAAGGCTTATGTTTTACTTGTTACCACTTATTCTTCGAATGTTACAGGATTGTTTACAATCATAGTTGAAGGTCCAACTAATGTTGAACTCATTCAGAATGATTATTTCGTTTTAGAATCAACGACAACAAGTAAGTTAATTGATTCCCCCAAAAAAAACGTAATCATTACAAATTTAAATCAATATCTTTATTTTAGCCACAATTTCACCTATGATAACATCTACCTATTTGGGCATTTTATCATCTTACAGTTTGAAATTCTCTCGACCATCATATAGTCCATATAATTATTATTATCAAGCTAGTAAAATAACAACTACTATGAGTGGTACATATAGTTTCGTGAGTAATAGTTCAATCGATACGTATGGTTACTTTTATGATGGTTCATTTAATCCATCTAATCCTAATTTGAATTTAATTGCATCTAATGACGATGGTGGTGATAATAATCAATTTCGTATTAATGTTACTTTACAATTTCAATGCAAATATATTTTGGTTGTTACTACATATAATTCCAATATTACAGGAAGTTTCTCAATCGAAGCAGTTGGTCCATCACGAGTTTATTTTTATTCAATTACATCAACAACAGGTAGATTAATAAAAGAATATATCAACACAAAGTTATTTCTTTTTTGTTTTAACATAGATCAATATCAATTATGTAATAGTTATACACCACTATATCCAAATAAATCATCTGTGAAGAAAATCATTGTTATTGTTATTCCAATTTTGATTGTATTAATTATAATTATTATTGGTTGTTGTATATCTCGATGTAATCGTAAAAGAATGTCTAGACATCATCAAAATGCTCAAACAGGGATATTATCTATAACAAATACTCAAAGAATTGAAATTGCTGTACCTTACACAATTTCATTGACGAGAACGTCTGATCGTTTTGAAGAACAACCACCATCCTATGAATCAGTTATATCATCGATGAGAATACAACGCTAAACAAAGTTAAATCGATTTTATCTAAAATTTCATGATTTTCAACAAATATGTTGATGTTGTCTACTATTTTGAAAAATAAATTTTTGCTTTTAAAAACTCATTATTTTTATATAGCTTGTACATCTACAAAATCTTACCGTGTCTATTTTTATCTATCAGAGTATATGTGACGTGCTCACTATACCATCGAAACTTCAATCCAGACCACAAAAAGTATCAGGAAGATCACTCAACGATTCATTCGTTTTTATTCATATATAAGAAGTGTTTTGAGATCAATAGCTACTTTATTTCAGAAATACTTTGAGGATATGGGTAATGAATGAAAAGAATACACACACCCTTCGATAAGCAGTTCGAATACGAAGATAATTATTGAAAATTCAGTGTAAACAACACATAGAATAGGCTTGTTGCTTGAAAGATTAACTGGAAACCTCATATAAAGCAAATTATTAAAATCAGTAATGCACAGTTCAATTCCATCTTTATCTCCTCTTTCTAACAGTGAAAACCACATTTCTTTATCTTGTTTCTATGTAAAGTTATTCAAGTTCATGTTACAAGCACATGTGCGACAAAAATAGATCTTATGAAAATGTTATTATTATGATATTAGTTGAATAGTGATTAAACAGCATGGAAAAATAGAGCGACAGATGCGCTATGTGCTCGTAAAAAAAGAAAATTTGTGCAAGCTTTCTATACGAAAACAAGGTATCTGACTCACTACTTTTGATATGTCATAAGTAAAATAATCATAATATTTAGTACAACTTATATTTTCATTTATTCTGAATAGAATTAATGTCTACATGTTTTCTTTCATGCATAAATTAATTTTGATATAAGAAAAAAAAAATGTCTCGTTGGATAATTCCCAAGAGAATTTGCAGCAACAAAGCCGAATAATATATACTGTCGTCAATACAAAAATTCTTCATCTCTTTTCATTTTGTTGAGCTAAGAAGAGAAGAATGTTATTTGAATCTATTATTTATGCTATTATATTTTCTTTATGTTTTGCTGATTTCGATGGTATATAAAATATATTATTTTATTTTTCATGAAAAACATATTTTCGTATATTTAGAAACACTTATCTATTGTAAAACTGCACCACCTAAATTAATTAATGGATTAATAAAACGTGATCGAGTATCATATTATAAAGGGCAAGGTTATTTAGGTAGTATGGAATATATGTGTTTACCAGGTTTTAATCTTAATGGAAATAAAATTGTTACATGTCATAATGGAGTATGGTCAACAATGACTCAATGCATTCGTAAAGTTTTTTATTATCTATATGTTGAATATTATATAGATTTTTTTTTGAAGCTAAAAGACGATGTTCACCGATTAAATCTTATCCATTAAATACTGTCGTTGGATTAACTAATATTAGTTTTTTTCAAAATGATCCTCAACAAATTGTTGTTGGTTCAACTGTTACATTACGTTGTATAGATAATTATGAATTTGATCCAACATCAAATGGATCTCTTATTATTCAATGTCAAAATGATGGTACTTGGACAACAATGCCTAGATGTCGAGGTATATAATTATATTAATTTATTCGTATTATTGTAATAATGAATTTTATTCTAATATAGATGCACAAGCAATGTGTGATTATACGAAATTATATTTACCATCTCGTTCACGTATTACTCGGATGAATTTTAAATTTTCGGAAAATAATCGACAATTTCATATGGTAAGATCTTGAATAGATACATATGTCATTAATGTTCTATTTTAAGTATGACTTGTTCATCTTATGTTTCATTTGATTATAAATATTAATGCTAATTTTATCTTATCTCGTATTATTCAATAGCTTTGCGTCGATCGTATATAATCTATCTATTACTATACATAATTAATCATATGTATGTTAATTCCCTTTAGTACATATACAGAGATAAAAAAAAGTTAATGTTAAAATATTCCAAATTAGATAAACACAAATAATACTTCGATTTATATAGAAGACAAAACTTTAACTTTTCTTTCAGGTTGGCAGTAATCTTGAATATACGTGTGAAGAAGGATATCGATTAAATGATGGTACAACATCTCTTATAGTCGAATGTTTAAGTTCTGGTTTATGGTCTTCATTACCAGTTTGTGAATGTGAGAAAATATATTTTGTTTTTGTTTAATGTTTTTATATTTTAATTTTTTTTTGTTCTAGATGTTTATCAAAATACACAAACTGTTCGATGTAATTATCCTGTTCATGTTGAAAATGGTTTTATTACTGTATATAATGTTACTATTTGGGAAGATCAAACATATACAGGTACAATTACTTATGAATGTAATTATGGTTTTGAAACTGTATATGGACGTGATCAAATTATGACTGAATGTTTAAATGGTATATGGACAAATGTTACTAGTTGTCAAGGTAAATATGAAATTAAAATAAATCAAAAAACAATTTTTTTGTTTTTAGAAATTCCAACATGTCCAAAACAAGATTTACTTGATATTGAATCTCAAGTTGAAAATTCATATGTTTATAATGGTAAAATTCATAGAAAACAAAAAAAAACAATATTATTTGATTTTCATTTAGTTTCACTTCAATATATTCGTGATCCATTAGCATTTGTTTATAGTTCATATGTTCTTCGTACTTGTTTACCAAATTTTGAACATGATCCATTAAGTCCACCATTAAAAATTCAATGTCAACGTGATACTCATACATGGACTGGAATACCAATATGTCGAAGTAAAATAAAGAGCAGTTTTTTTCATTTATATTATCTTATTTTTTTTTATCAGAAATTGAATCAATGACAACTGAAATGACAATAACTGAAAATAATGAACCATCAATAGAAATTGATAATTTAATAATGTTAAAAGAAAATTCTACCAATAATCAATCTCAGACAACAATAGAAACAGAAAGCAGTACTATTGTATTTGATACGACTCATACTATTGTTTGCTATTCAAATGAAATTCCATACATTCCAAATTCAGTTATAATTCAATTACAATCAAATATAACATATGATGTTGGTACTACTCTAGTATATATATGTCAACCAGGATATGAATCTTTATTTAATCAATCAAGTTTTACTACTTGCTCCATGAATGGAACATGGTCTATCGATACAATTAATATAACAATGTGTCAATTGAGTAGTATCACTACTGAAGAAACTTTTTTCAATACGTCGACAGTTTCATCAAACATAACAGATGAGAATAAAAATATTACTGTTAATCTCGATGAAAACTTACCAATTATGAATTTATCAAATGAAACATTAACGTCAGAAATTCGTTCAATATCGGCTGGTGATCGAGAAGTACTTCATATTATTTCATACTGTAAAGAATTACCTCAAATTGAACATGCTCAATTATTACGTGATGATACAATAAAACATAATTTCAATAATGAAATAACGTATAGTGGTTCACTTGAATTTATTTGTCAATTCGGTTTTATAAGTGAAAATAATAAAAATGAACCATTTCAAGTAACTTGTCGAAATGGTGTTTTTTATCCGAAAATATTTTGTATTGGTAAGAAAATGGTTTTTTACTTAAAATATATCGTTCTTCTATTTGTTTTTTCTTCAAAAAGAAAAACCTCGTTGTTTACTTCCACCTTCAATTGATATGTCTAGAAATACAATTATTAATTCTGCAATAAATGTATTTGATACATCAACTAATGAAGCTATTCCTGGATCATTTATTCTTTTAAAATGTTTTGATAAAACTAATGATGAAAATTCAAATTTTAATATAACTTGTCTAGAAAATGGTCAATGGTTATTACCACCATCATCTTGCATTGGTTTGTATGAGATTTAATTGATAATTTCATATTGATATTTTTTCTAGTTCCATTTCAACGTCGTTGTCAAAGTGGAATTACTATACCAAATGCTCGAACACGAATCAATGCGAAATTAACTACGGATGGTTATTACAATGATGGAAGTCGAGCTGCATATCAATGTCTAGAAAATTTTGTTCATGATCCTCAATCAGGTCCAATTCATATTCAGTGTAAAAATGGTCGATGGGGACCACGACCAAGATGTATTCGTATGTATATAGAATTTCTTTGGAATTTTATTATTTTCTATTGATTTATATAGCAAATGGTTGTACTGAACCAATGTCTGATACAATTGAAAATGGTTGGAAAAGTGCTGAATCTTTTATTATATATAATGATATTAAATATTATAAATTAACAAGATATTCTTGTCGTGAAAAAGCAATTCTAGTTGATTCATCATCTCGTGTTATTGATATTGAATGTCGAAATAATAAATGGGAATATAAATCTTTACCTGCCTGTCAACTTGAAGAATAAATCAACTTTTATTTAGATGAAAATTGAATTACAAAAAAAAAAACTATGTTAACTTTCTATTTATATTAAATGTTGATTTGTGCTCGTTGTAGTTTGAAAAATAGTTGAAGAAATAAATTCATTTTTCCTTGAAAAAGAAAAAGAATTTTTCGTATAACTGTAGAATTTTAGAAATAATTACTTACTTATAAATTGGAATTCGATTTTAAGGTAGACAAATGGATAATAGAATACCAAACCAAATAAAATTATAATGGCTGCAATAAGAAATACAAAACTTGGAGATACAATTAAAGGAACCAGAACTAAGTAAATTGAAATCAATATAATAATGATGATTAATGGAATTGGTATCTAAATATTAATTGTTGTTTGTAGTTTTATTTCATTAATAAAACAAAATAACATACGCTAATCGTTCGTGGTGCATCTTTTTTTGTAAATTTACAACAAAGTGTAGCAACAAATACTAAGCCATAGAAGATCCAACTAACAAAACTAACAAAATCAATTAATCCATAGATATTACTTGGAATACAAAACATAATTGCTAGAAGAGCCTTTAAAAAATGAAATAATAAAATCATTATTATTTAAAAATTAAAATAAATGAAACAACCTGTAGAACAACACCAGGTATTGGTGTTAATCTTTGTGTTTGAATACATGCAAATACTTCTGGTAAATATCCGTATTGAGCACCAACCATACAATATCGAGCAGCTCCAAAAAGATTTCCATTAGCACTACCCAATGCACTGATAGAAATTAGAATAGGCAAAATACGAACAATAGGACCTAATACAGCTTCACCCCAAGTCTATATAAAATTGATAGATTGAATATACAATAGATTGTGTTTACATACTACAGCAACAGCATTAGAACTAAGTAATTCTGCTTTGTTCATTACAGTGAAATAAGAAATATTAATGCAAACATAGAGCATAATAACAATAGGTACAGCTAATGAAATAGATAACCATAAATTTCTAGAAAAATACAAAATTTATTTATTATATTTAGTTTAAAAAACAAATATACCTTTTAGGATTTTTCAGTTCTTCTGTTACTGAATTCAAAGAATGCCATCCACCGTAAGCAAATAAACCTTTATAAAATGCAAGTGCAACACCGAATGGTTTATTTGTTGTGTCTAATCTTAGCAAAATATAATGTCATTTCTTTGATCATTATAATAAACAGTATCTTACCAGCAAAACCATTTTTTAAATTTTGTGTATATCCTACATAGAAATTAGTTTTGAATGTCTTAGTATATGGACGCAATGTAAAGGAAAACAAACCTTGTCCTATTCGTACAAAACCAATTATTGCAATTGTCAACATAGTCAATACTTTGCAAATCACAAAAACAATATTCAAACGATTAGCTGCTGATACACTGATTGAATTAATATTCATAAGTATTACTAGAAATAAATCATATAAATATCGCTAGTCTAAAATCATGATAGACATACAAATAATGAAAACTGCTAGCATTTTAACAAGTTCTTCAGATGGTCCACAATCTAAATATTCATTAAGATTCAAAAAATACTCATTCATATTTAGATACTAATTTACTAATCATAATGCCAGACAAAAAATATCGAGAAAAAGTAAGAGATAAAACTGCAATAGTCGCTGGCTTAATAGTAAATATATCTGCCCAGACAGACAGATATGCTAATATATCTCCCGTTCTTTCATGAACTGATCCAATACCTATAAATAAATGTTAAGTTATAAAAAGAATATGACTTCTCCATTTTTTTAATTCTATATCATACCTTCCTTCATATAAGCTACTTCAGCACCATTTCTTGGTATCACCGTTCCAATCTCTGCAAAACAAAGTGCTGCTAAAAGAGATATAAATCCACATGCCATCCAAATAATTAAACATAATCCAACTGATTGTGTTTCTTGTAGAACACCTTTTGGTGAAACAAATATACCAGAGCCTATTTGTTTTCAAGTAATTATAGTTAGAATCGTGAAAAAAATATAAATATCTAAATAATTACCAATGATGATACCAATAATATAACAAACTCCAGAGAATAAACCTAGATGTCGTTTAAGTGCAACATCATCAGTTGATGTACGTTGATGTTTAGTAGTAGAAGAATGAACATGACGATGATGAATAGAATCAGCATCCGCTAGAAAAGAAGATAACGAAACAACAGTTCATGTTTACAGTAGTAAAAACATAATTACTTTATATTATTATGTTTCCGTAATCTATAAAAAAACTTACCAACAGTTTGATCAGGTAATGTGTTGAATAGCATACTAATTTAGAAAAGGATACTTGTAATTTTACATATTGTTTGAATTATGACATTTTCGTTCTTCAACATTTATTATAACAGAAAAAGATTATAAGACCTTTTTCTTCTTATCTGTAATCTCTGTAACCGTATCAGTTATATGTTATTGGTAGAAAAATGATCTTTATTATATAAATTGATAGAACTGAATGTAATCTTTTCGTTTTCTTCAGTATATTTAATTTAAATCTATATTAATTAACAAATGAAGATATTTCTTAAATTTTGAGTATTTCAATGTGTAAAATATAGATAAATTATCAACAAAATTCGATTTATTGGAGTGTGTGTTAGTAAACTAAAACAAATTGATTTTTACTGTAGAGATAGATACATAAATGTTTCTCACCGAGGAGCATTTAACGCGAAATATTATTCATCAAAAACTTAAAACAAAAATTAGATTTCGTCATATCTTCATTATGTCCAGATTCATCAATACATCATGAATAAATGATCATTCTTTTCATTTGTTTCTCATTAATGATCAATAACAACTGATTGATTCAATTAGACCATGTCTTGGTGGCATATCGATATATATCTATCGCAGTTTTCTTAACTTTTTCTTCATCATGCGAGGCCCCATTCAACACTATAACAATTCAATTCTAATGAAGTTATTCCTTTTTAGATTATTTTATTTCACGACCACTATTTCAGGTGATTTTTTTTCTTTTTTTTCATTACATCGAACATTTGTAAAGAATTAAAAATATAAATATATCTTAGAACATCATGTATACACATGTATGCACGTGTATTACCTTATCAGTCGGCTTTGTCCATTACGTTTCTGTTATTTACAAAATTGTTCTCGGTACACGTGCGTGAGACAATAGAAAATAGAATTAATTTAAAAATAATTGAATAAAAACCCTCTTTTATTTATTTATCAGCTATTCTTTATAATTTCTTCTTTTACAAATTTCAATGATCGCTTTCAGCATTTCTATATCAGGATCCGTTGGAGGTAATGAACGTTGGTATATATCTAGAGCACATTCATAAAATGATAGTGCTTTCGAGTATTCTTCCATATGGTTATACACCAAACCGATGTAGCTGTATGAAATAGCCAGTGGCGGATTTAGGGGGGGCGATCGCCCCCCCCCTTCCGAATTTTTTTTGATTTTTTACAGCAAAAATGAGCGAAAAAATAGGTTCACACTACTTCGGTTGGACTCAAAAAATAGCTTTTAGCCAAAATCGCTCCCCTCCTCCCCAAGTATCGTCCCGCCATACTCAAAATAAAAAAATTCCCCACCCCCTCCCCAGGTATCGCCCCTCCATACTAAAAAAAAAAAATCCCCCACCCCCTCCCCAGGTATTGCTTCTTAATACTAAAAAAAAAAAAAATCGCCCCCCCCTTCCAAAATCCTAGATCCGCCACTGGAAATAGCCAATGAAGGATGATTTGTAGGAAGAGTTTTTTGTTCAATTTCAAGTGCTTTTTCGTGAGATGAAAGTGCTTTTGAATACTCTCCCATTTGGGCATACACACTACCGATGTTGTTGTATGAAATAGCTAAATCAGGATGATTTGAGGGGAGAGTATTTTGAAATATTTCAAGTGCTTTTTCGTAAAATGAAAAGGTTTTTGAGTACTCTGCCATGCTGTCATACGCTCCACCAATGTTGTTGTATAAAGCAGCTAACAAAGGGTGATTCGAGGGGAGAGTTTTTTGGTAGATTTCAAGTGCTTTTTCGTAAAATGAGAGTGTTTTTGAATACTCTCCCATGCTGCTATACACATTACCGATGTTACTGTATGAAGTAGCCAATGAAGGATGATCTGAAGGAAGAGTTTTTTGTTGAATTTTAAGTGATGTTTCGTAATACCAAATAGCCTTTTCATATCCACCCTGGTTATTGTTGGCATATCCCAGACAAAAATAATAAAACGCTTTTTCAATGTCATCAGATGTCTGTTCGAGTAATACGTTGTAAAGTTCTTCAACGTTATTAAACTGACCAATTTTAAGCAATAATTTGCCCAATCTCTGCCATCCAGTACCACCACCAGCTTCTTCTCGTATCCGATTGGTGAGTACTCGTAGTTGGTGATCATCATCTGCCGTTAATTGTAATTCAACTTGATAAAGTTGATTCTCATTGTCTATTTGTTTAATTCCGCTCACTCGAAAGACGGTGTTCATGGTGAAGAGAATTTCTTCTTCTCCCCTAAAATAACTCATCTCTTCGATGGAGGCAAATGGTGCTGATGCAATACAAGGATCAATGGACAGTATAAAGAGAATGCCTATCATATCCGAATTTGTTGAAGCACATCGAGCAAAATTGAGGGACACTTCTATATCTGTATTCGTGGACAAGAAATTGTTAAATGATATTAGCCCACCTTTTGTTTTCTGAAGTTTTTCAAAGTCTGATTTCATAAGACCTTGTCCTCGATAGACTAAAAAAGATTTTCTTCCATAACTATCAACCTGTTGTTCGTACAACTGTTGTATTTGTTGATGCAGGTGACATATAAAAAAACCCATAGTAATAATTATATCGGCGCCCATTGTTCGAAGAGCATTATTCAGCATAGAATAGATAAATGATGGGCAAGTATACCATCGAACAGCGGATTGAGCGTGGTATTCTTTCTCAAATTCATCAATATTCTTTGCCGATCCGCAGTCATGATGTCGACAATAAGCAATAAATTTTCTGATCGCCTGTTCATCATGGTTCATATCAAGAATAATTTCCTTGAATAGCTGGGTATACATAAAAGTCGGCTCCAATTGATTCAAATCATTCGTCGAAACCACTCCATTTGTTGTGATAAAACTCATGGCTATTGAGTCTTGATTGAACTGCTTGATACCGATTCGTAATGCTTGACATAGATCATCGATGTTGGTTTGGACGTTTTTGATTTTTTGGCATTTTTTTGTCCATTCTTCATGTAGGGTTTTAATATCAATGAAGATATAGACATCATCCAGCTGAGGAATATCATTTATAAGGGGCATTATTTCTTGAGACATAGTATCCTTGACAATGAGAAAAAACGTGATGCCTTCTTCAGCATCTGTAAGAAAATCGATACATGCATCTCGTTGCGTAAAGACATTGACATCACCAGTAATAGTTCGTATTTGTTTTAATGTATTTTCATAATCTTCATTTCCTTGGTCGATGCTGGTATCTACCCATAGAAGAAGGAAGTTTTGTCCCATACGTCGTCGTGGTTGATGAATATTCGATAATGTCGTTGATTTGGATGATGTAGCAGCATTTTGATTCGATCTTGATTCGCTCATTCTGATCTTGTTATAATTTGTTGTTGAAGCTGAACTTGTCGGTAGATAGTATTGTTTGAGTGAAATGAAAGATCACCGTTCTTCTTTAGGTAGACAATGATTGATTTTTTCTCAATTTTTTGACGACTTCGAATGCGCGTGTTTTTTCCCTGTCACTCAAGGACAAACTTCACGTGGTTACTTTTGAAAATAATATTATGAAGAGGAAGTAACAGGTAGAATGAAACAAATTCGTCGATGCGAAACTAGAAAGACGGCCAATTCTATTTCGAATACGGTCGATCAATCCGAAAAACAACCACAAAATACCTGTCCAGATCCATAAAATACCCAATATCTTCTTTATTTACTATTTTCCATCTGATTCTTTTTTCGATCTGGATTAAAATAAAAAATAATTGACAGAACTTTTCTGATAAAATATCTGATAATATAATTAATATGTTGTTGATATGTGGTAAACATATAGACGGTTATTAAAAAGAATAAGCTTCTTAAATTACATTCATAGAAACTATAATAAGTGTATTTTCAATGACTAAAATTGCAAAATTTTCAACTGAAAAAGAAAGACTACTTGTGGTTCATAATTATTTTACATCATCATGAGATTTGGTGTGAGTGGGGATATCTAATCTACTCGCTTACCCACATTTACATCCATACCTTCAAAATATGTCATCTTTTGATCAATGTATTGTGGTACTATATTGAAAGTAAAAATACTACGATGCATACTGTCAAAATAAAGAATAAGAAAGTAAGTATTGTTACAAACGGATTTGAAAAAAACATAAATATTCTTTTTTTCGAAGGCAGGCTAAAATGAAAGGATGTTTTCATTTTGCATCGAAATGTTCATGTGATACAGAAAGGTATAGATAATTATATTTTTTCATAGATGATATATTCTCTTTCTCAGAGGGAAGAGTCTTGCAAACATATATTGTCTGCTTGTTTGCCTGTGTCTCTAGACGAGTGTTACTTGTGAATAATTGTAGAACAAATGAGAAGATATTGTGAAATTACATAGACAATTAGTTAAGTTATTGTAATGAGAATATTGTATAAGAATACCAAATTAAAAAGCGAAATAGTTTAAGACAGTTTTACTAGAATTAAAAAAAAGAAATTTAATTCATCTAACAAAAGAAATTCAGTCTTTTTCTTTCTTTGGGATCAATCCATGTACGTGCTTCCTATTCGCCGCTATAAATAAATTTAGATTATCGAAAATTCGTAACGAATAAAAACGGAAAAAACTAACTTACGTTATAATCAAGTATATTGTATTCTATTCAACTATCGATTTTAGTATTTTTTTTCTTCTTTAGAAAATCATTTACATTTCATTATGGAAAATTCAAATGCTGATAATGGTTACATCGAAGTTTTACATGTTCCCAAGTCGATGATTCCCGAAGCAGTACCGCTTGGAACCGAACACATCCCTTCAACGGGATTACTGCTTCCCTGAAATCTACAGAATACCACGGAATCGGCCGTTTCCGTGCCGTATTGTTCGACCTGGAAAACTCACTAATTATGTGTTTTTGTTTCATCATTGATTTTATTTTTAATGGTAAACATATTGTATTCTTGAACATCACACCAATGCACCTGATGAACCAACAATGCCTTCGTCGGAAATTTTATTATGTTATTCGAATCACATTTTGCATTTACCCATATCGGTGATTCATGAAGCAGCATTCCATGAATTTTCGGCAGGCACCCTGCCGGAAAATGATAAGAATTCAACCCTGAAATCGGTTCCGGCCACCGGATCCGTTCAACAGAAATATTCCGACCGTTTCCGTGCCGGATTGTTCGACCTGGATATGATCAAAATCGATCCACAATTAGTAGCATTTCTTTATTAATCAGCGGTGGTTGCGTCGATGAAGGCATTAATATACGAAATGCATTCTTACTTCTTAGTTTAGATAATATTTATATGATTAATGACAATTACAAAAATAATGAAATTTTATTTCTATATAATCAATTAAAAAATAATGTGATGGTATTACAACCTGTGACAAAGATGTTGAAGCATAAAGACGAAAAGAAACGTTAGTTATTTATTATAGTTCAATCACATATTCTAATAAATATTTATTTTTGATTATTTTTAAGCGAAGACAAAAACGAAATCGATTTTTCCATATAAAAGCAATATTAGAGTATTGGCTCTTTTCTTGATAAAGACAAAATAGTTATTGAAAGTAAGATGAGTTACAGTACACTGCAACGAATTGACCTATGACCGATGAACTTATGTCAGCTTGAGAAAGAAAACAAAACATTGACGAAATATATCAGTTCTTATTCTAATTTATTTATGAAAACTGTTTGTATTCACCAGATTCTATTTTGTATTCTTAAATTATAGTAAAGAAAAAAAAAAGTTTACATTAAATTTTCACTTGTGCTCGCTGTAATCCAAAAAATGTTATTAAAAAATTATTGGTTTTTTCTAAGAAAAAAAAGAATAAAATAAATATCTTTATAAACCAAAATATGTCTATCTTACTTATAAATTGTAATTCAATTTTACGATAGACAAATGGATAATAAAATACTAAACCAAATAAAATTAAAATACCTGCAACAAGAAATCCAATACTTGGCGATGATATTAAAGGTGCGATAACCAAATAAATCGAAATCAGAATTATAATTACAAGTAATGGAATAGGAACCTAAATAAAAAATGATTCCCATTGTTTATTTTTTACAATTATTGGTGAATAATGATTTACACTAATAACACGATCAGCACTTTTTTTTGTAAATTTACAACAAAGTGTGGCAGTAAATGTTAATGCATAAAACATCCATGCAACAAAACTGAAAAAATCTATTAAACCATCAACATTACTTGGAAGACAGAAAGCAATTGCAATTGTACCCTTAAAAAAAACCATTAGATTATCATTGATGAATAATTAAATAGATAATACAACCTGCAAAACAACTCCAGATACTGGAGTCAATCTTCGTGCATGAATACATGCAAATACTTCTGGTAAATATCCATACTGAGCACTAACCATACAATATCGAGCAGCTCCAAAAAGACTTCCATTAGCACTACCCAATGCACTAATAGAAATTAGAATAGGTAAAATACGAACAGCAGGACCTAATACAGCTTCACCCCAAGTCTATATAGAATTGCTAGATTGAATATACAGAAGTTTATTTTTACATACGACAGCAACAGCATTAGAACTAAGTAATGCGGCTTTGTTCATTACAGTAAAGTAAGAAATATTCGTAAGTAAATAAAGAATCATAACAGAAGGTAAAGCTAATACGATGGATAACCATAGATTTCTATGAAATACAATATATCAACAATATCGAATTAAAAATTAAGTCGAAAATGAACAAACAATCATGTTCAATTATTTATTAGACATTAAATTCATTGTTAACACACATAAAAATAGCATACCTTTTGGGATTTTTTAGTTCTTCTGTAACAGAATTGAGACTATTCCATCCGTCGTATGCCCAAAGACCAGAATAAAATGCAAGTGCAACACCCAACGGTTTGTTGGTCGTACCTATTACAATACAATAATACTTTTTTTAATTTCTTTTTTCTCATCGTCAACAATAGGAACCTACCAACAAAACCATTTTGTAAATTCTGTGTATGCCCTAGTAAAAATCATAATCATAAATAGTATTAATTGATTCATCATTAAAAACAATAAACAAAAACCTTGTCCAATTCGTACAAGACCAGCAATAATTACTATTGCAACTGTTGAAACTTTACAAATGACAAAGATAATATTAAGACGATTAGCTGCAGATACACTAATAGAATTAATATTGATTAGCATGACTATAATTAGATAATATGATAATAATATTATAAAATATAAAAAATAAGCATACGAATAGCAAAAATTGCCAGCATTTTGACAAGTTCTTCGGGTGGTCCACAATCTAAATATATATATATAGAACTATGCAATATGAATAATAATCAATAGAAGTTAGTTTACCATCCATGACACCAGATAGGAAATATTGAGAAAAAGTCAGAGATAAGACAGCAATACTTGATGGTTTCATAACAAATGTAATTGTCCAACTGAAAAGGTAAGCTAAAACATCACCTGTTCTTGCATGAACAGAACCAATACCTACATATAAATATATTTATATTGATAGAATTTTAAAGAAAAGTATACTGTCTGCTTTTTAAAATATACCTTCTTTTATATAAGCTACTTCTGCACCATTTCTGGGTATTATTGTACCAATCTCTGCATAACAGAGTGCACCTGAAATGAGTATTAAACTTATACATAAATATATATTATATAACATACCAAGTAAAGATACTAATCCACAAGCCATCCAAATAATTAAACATAATCCAACTGATTGTGTTTCTCGTAAAACACCTTTTGGTGAAACAAATATACCAGAACCTATTTATTTTCAAGTAATTGTAGTTAGAATTGTAGAAAAAAAATATGAATTTTTAAACAATTACCAATGATGGTACCAATAATAAAACAAACTCCAGAGAATAAACCAAGATGTCGTTTAAGTGTAACATCATCAGTTGGTGTGATAGGACCTAATGGATCTGGATGTGTAATTGATGCAATTGATACACGTCGATGTTCAGTAGTAGGAGAATGAGCATGACGATGATGAAGAGAATCAGTGTCAGCTAGAGAAGAAGATGGTGATACAATAGGTGTTATTCGATTATTCTAAATATGAAAATGAAATACATCTATTTTTTAGTATACTTTATTGATGAAGTATATCTTTTCACTACACCTGTGACATGTTGTATGTAAGAAAGAAATCTATGTCTGTTGTATTTTTACTACATCAATAGAAGTGTTCTGGTTTATCTTGATAGCAAAAATGCATATAAATATTCGTATCTAAAAGAACACATTATTGTATCAAGATAAACAATTGTAAGAACATCATTATTGTATATAATTGCATTTTCATAGTTTTGTTTTGGAGACTTACTGATGGTTGAATTTTAAGGGATTATTTATTATCATATCCCTTTTGCATGAGATTATTTATGATTATATGTGTATTTCATCTCGAAACATTATTACTATTCAACATTTGTCATTGTATAAAAAAGATTATAAGACCTTTTTTCTTTTATGTTCTTTTTGTATGTGTGATAGAGAAGAGAAAAAAAAAGAAAGACATTATAAAGTACATGCATGTAAGTTGCACTTCGATCTATGAATAAATCAAACTTTCATGTATTTGTTCTCGTGTTATTTGAAAAAATGTGAAGCATAAATAACAAATAGTATATTCCAATTATGATAATAGAAAGACATGTTTCATAGTTAAAATGTTAGGAATAATAATAACCACCATGTTTTGCTGTGATAATCGAGATTACTATAGTACATAGAATCGTAAAAAGGCAAACTGAATTATATTGATGAAATCTTTTTTTTCTAGGATGTATTGCTTTCAGTTTGTTGAATGATATCATCATTTTTATATCTATCGGTATGAAATTTCATAATATTAAATATTCATAGATCACTATGTATCTTCTCTCAATTTTTCTTCACGTTCTTCTTTACGTCAAAATTATACATTCAACGACGATTTAATGCGATGCTAAGCAAAGCATCACTGTCTTTTTCCTTTTAAAAATATCGAGATCGAACTGATAGGATGTGGATTCGATTACAGTAGATATGATACACTCACACCTATACAAGATATATTTTATATCATTTGTTGATGTAAAAAATACATTTTATTTCAAATTCCACATGATATATATCAAACGGCTATACAGAAGTAATCTATATGCAAGTACACCCACACCACAAAAAAAAGAAATGCTGCAAAACTAGAACATCTTTATACAATAGGTTCAGCTCAATCGCATAGAATCTATTTTTCTCTGAAAATTATCCAGTATTACACATTTTACAGTTCAGCCGTATTACGGAACACGTTTTCTGGTTCAGTATCATCAGGCAGAAACCTTTCTATCAATATTAGTATAAACAACTTCTCAGGGATTGGTTATCATAGAGAACCTTTAACTCCTCGATGTCATGCGGAGGAATTCTTCAAGGTTTTGCTATTGCCATGCCAAAACTTTTTCCGCCTTACCTTCATCGGAAAGAACCCTTGAGAGTTTCATTATTGTAATACAAAATCTCAGCCTGCTTTTACATCTGTCACAGTCACAAAATATATTTCCAAGTGCTTCTTTCTATTTCTTTGCCCATCAACATCCTAAGCGAATAACAAAAGCTCTCGGTAAACATTATAGTCAAAATACATATTAAGTTTTAAAAAGCACTTTTATTTATCGTGTTAGTGAAAATACATTATAACAAAATATTCCCATAATCGTCACTACCAATGTATCCGTTATCAAAATATATTTCATAGTCACATTTATGATTTAGTTGCTCTTTCATTACGTGCAAGATATTCATTGATCTCATGTAGGGCATTGTTTCTAATGCTATTTTTTCCAAGATAGAGTGCGGTCAGTGTCTAGATGAAAAAGGATAGGTAAAGCCATAATAAAGATGAAGAGAGATTCAGAATTACTGTGTTGTGTTGTAATGCATCAGCCAAATGTTGTGTTCCAACATCTCCAATATTATTACTATTGAGTTCTAGTGAGGTGAGTGTCTAGATGAAAAAGTGCAGGTAGAGACATGATATAGTTGAAGAGAGAATGAGAATCACTTTGTTGTGCTGTAATGCATCCGCCAAATGTTTTGCTCCAACATCTCCGATTCCATTCTTTGGAAGGTATAATGCGATGAGTGCCTGGATGAAAAAGTGCAGGTAAAGACAAGATATAGTTGAAGAGAGAATGATAATTACTGTGTTGTGTTGTAATCCATTCGCCAAATGCTCGGCTCCAACTTCTCCGATTTGATTCGCTCCGAGATCTAGTGTGGTGAGTGTCTAGATGAAGCAGTACAAGTAAAGACACGATATAGTTGAAGAGAGAATGATAACTACTGTGCGGTATGGAAATACATAAGCCAAATATTCGGCTCCAATATCTCCGATTTGATTATCCTCGAGATTTAGTGTGGTGAGAGTCTAGATGAAAAAGTGCAAGTAAAAGAATGCTATTGTTCAAGAGAGACTAAGAATTACTGCGTTATGCCGTAATCCGCCAGCCAAATGTTGAGCTCCAACAACTCCGATTTTATTACTTCCGACATCTAGTGTGGTGAGTGTCTAGGTGAAAAAAATGCAAGGAAACCCATAGTATACACGATGAGAGGATGAGAATTACTGTGTTATATCGTAATCCATCGGCCAAATATTGGGCTCCAACATCTCCAATTGCATTACCTCCGATATCTAGTGTGGTTAGTGTCTAGATGGAACAGTACAAGTAACGATATGGTACAGGTAAACAGAGAATAAGAATTACTGTGTTGTGTTGTAACGCATCGGCGAAATGTTTTGCTCCAACATATCCGATTTGATTCCGAGAAAGACTTAGTATGGTTAGTGTCTAAATGAAAAAGCACAGGTAAATATATAGTACAGATGCAGAGAGAATGAGAATTACTGTGTTGTGTTGTAATCCATCAGCCAAATGGTGAGCTCCGATTTCTTCGATTTTATTATATTGGAGGTTTAGTATTGTGAGTGTCTATATTGAACAGTGCAGGTAAAAACATGGTACAGATGGAGGGAGAGTGATAAGTACTTTGTTGTGCTGTAATGCAACAGCCAAATGTTGGGCTCCAACATCTCCTATTTCAGTACTTGCGAGGGAAAGATCGGTTAGTGTCTAGATGATAAATTGCAGATAAAGACCTTATATAGATAAAGAGAGAATGAGAATTACTGTGTTATATCGTAATTCATGAGCCAAATGTTGGGCTGTAACATCTCCGATTTGATTAGTATTGAGATATAGTGTGGTGAGTGTCTAGATGAAAAAGTGCAGGTAAAAACATGGCATATATAAAAGGGCAGAATAGTTCTTTAGCGTTAGCTCAAGTTAGATCAGTGTATTGAGGGTGATGTGACTGGGTTGAAGAGCGGAAGAATATGTGTCCGAATGTTTCTATAATTTTAGCTGATTTACCGTGCTGAAGATCGTCTCGTGAAAAGCTGGAGTTGAAAAGTAGCTGTTAAAGATAATGCATGGATGGCAGTTTTTTATATATGAGTTGGGAAATTCTTAAACGTTTGTAAAAGAAAGAAAAGCGTCTGGTAAATGAGTAATAGTTGGGAAATTGTGTGTGCTAAAAGTAATGGTGAAACGTCGGATATGAGCCAAGAGCACAATGTATTCCAGTTAATGGTTTAGAGAGTAATAAATCATAGTTCATCGTTTGCTAGTATTCTTTAGGTAAGACTAAAAATAGTTTTTTTGTGAATGGTAGATTGACGAGTTTCTTAAATATTCGTTGGTAAGACTGAATGTGTGTTTGGCATTAGAATTTCATGTGAGTTATCTAACTGAGCTTTATTGATGCGGATGAATTATATTGGTGGAAATGTTTATTGACTTTTATTGTTGCTTTTGATCAGTACCATACAGTTGAACTTATGAAACAACATTGATTTGTCAAAAGGGACGAATCTTAAAATTTTATTCCATAATATTAGATTCGTTATCAGTTGAGGACGAATAATTGCTAAGCTGTTTTGCAGAAGTAATACTTTATTAATGCCTGTCAAGTTTTGTATCCGGTAATGAATTATCCTCGAAACTGTGTCCTTGGGAAAGTAGACTTCAGTTAAAATGTATTTCAAAACAAAAACTATGGAAAAACATTTGCGTAAGAATCAATGTGTCTTGAATCAATATTCCACGTTGATGATATGAGTGTAGGTAATATGTTTGGATGAAAATGTGGATATTGTTATAGATCAATCGGCTTTCCATCCACATTCGCTGTCAACTATACCTACAGTCACCTATGGTCTCAAAGAAGAATTAAGAGAAGATATTTCTTGGCCGTTATTTATCACAAAATAAACTTGTTTATACACCGTTCATTTCTTTCAAAATCTGATTTTTATTATCGAAATATTATTTAAAAAAGCGTGTTTGAATACACGTAAAAGTAAGTAACAATGTTTTGTCCCTTTTTTTTCTTTCTTTCTTTCTTTCTTATATAAACATTTTATGTTCATGACATCATATCTGGCTTGAAACATGGAATATTTAGATAAAATTAAAGAGAAAGTAAAAAGGGTATTATTTTCATTTCATCAAAATAGAAAAAATTAATTTTTGGGGAGAGTGATAACTGGTGTGAATTATTTTGAGTGACAAATCGTTTATTTATATATATTTTATTGGAGTTGTTCTATTTAAATTGATATTGTAGGCGTAAAAAATAATTAGAGGGTCAATAGACAAAGATTGGACTGTGGTGATCCGAAAAAATTTACCTTATACCAGTCATAACTATCTATGATGTCGTTGAATCGTTGACACACGTTTCTCATTGAACATATAATTGTCAGATCCGACTGGTGATCCAGAATTCGGTAGACAAGTTCTACCGGTAACGTTAAGATTGTAGTCATGGTAAACTATTGACGAAATGTGTGTTGTATAGCTTTAAACGTCGATTTATATGATGTTTTGGTATTTTTTTCTTCCGAGTAAAGGAGTGGGTGTTTTTTATTGTCATATATTTTACATGATGTTGTAATTACTTGTTGAAAGAAAAAAAAGAAAAAGAATGATGCCAATCACAAAATCACAGAATAAACATAACAACTGTACACAACTTTTTTATAAAGATTATTTTAGCGATATAAAATGGTTTATAATAGATATAAATATTGTATTCTTGAGTATTATGAGCACAGATTAAGCAATTTTTGTTTTTATTCATTTTTTTTCAAAATCGAATGAAGATACTCTATAAGATAGTACAGAATTTGTCCTTGAGGAACAGTGACAAACGACTGCATCGGACTTAACGAGAAATTGGATTTGTTACAAATTCAAAAATATTCTTAAGTTATTAACGGAAACATCGACAAAAGTAATCAGATATCGGTAACATTGCATACTGAAGATATGATATCATACCAAAAATTTGTGTTCTAAAAAACAAAACTTTTAAATACAGGGAGCGTGTGTGACACCCCGTTTGTCTCCTGGACACTAGTTGTTTCCAAAAACTAGGATATTATTTCTGTAATATGTAGTGTACTGTTATTTTTTCTTTTTCTTGAATAAGTAGATATTTGTTATATATCATATATTTTACAGGATGATGTAAATACATGTTGGAGAAAAAAATGATGTCACTGTCAATGACAAAATCGTGATAGCAACCATAATTAACGTTTTGATTATGATTATGTCCATAATATAAAATGATATACAATTGACATGACTATTGTACACATATATTTTCTATTAGACAAATAAAATATCTTGATAATGAATGATATTTAGTCCAGTTTTATCCATCAAATACACTTAAGTGTATATATTTATTAATATAAAGAAAAATGTCAAGTAATTTATCACGGAAAAAAGTGAAAGATAGTGAGGAAAAAAAATGGCAAACCACTGCAAATCATGAGATAAATGAATATCTAAATATACTGTATTTTATCGATCCGTGACAAAGAAAAAAGGTTCACAAACTTAAAGGAAAAAAATGCTTAAATAAATGATTATCAATGTCATCAGTTTTGTTCGTTGTATTTATCAATCGTGAGAAGACATATGAGATTTTAAAAGACGCGAATCATTGCCATACGATCTTTACCAACACCAATCCATTTCACAGGTACGCCAAGATATTGTTCAATAAATTGAACATAAAGTTTTGCATTATTAGGAAGTGATTTGAATGTTCGACATTCTTCTGTTGATCGTCCTCGCCAACCAGGAAAAGTAACATACTCAACTTCAATATCATGCATTGTATCAACCGATGCAGGAAAATTTGGTATTTCAACACCATTTCGTTTATAGGTTGTTGCAATTTTGATTTCAGCTAATTCATCGAGTGTATCAAGTTTTGTTAAACATAATGCCGTAAATCCATTAATCATATTTGTATATTTAAGTAAAACTAAATCAAGCCAACCACAACGACGTCGTCGACCTGTTGTTACACCCCATTCACGACCACGTGTTTGTAAATGTTCACCAATTTCATTTTTAAGTTCAGTTGGAAATACACCATCACCAACACGTGTTGTATAAGCTTTCACAACACCATAAATATCTCCAATATATTTTGGTGGTAAACCAAGACCTGTACATGCACCACCAATACTGCAATTTGATGAAGTTACATATGGATATGTACCTAAATACAAAAAACAATTCATCGATCATATTGTTAAGAATGAATTTTTTTGAATATACCAAAATCAATATCAAGCATTGTAGCATTAGCACCTTCAACAAGAATTGATTTTGAACCATCCATAATAGCTTGATTTAAATAAGATATTGTATCAATTGTCATTGGACGGAAATAGTCAGCAAGTTTTTTAAATTGTTCAATTGTTTTTTCAACATCACCTTCCAGATCGGGAAATGTTAATTTATAGTAATTAAAAAGATTTCGTAATCTGTTATCAAAATACATATTTATTTATAAGAAGATCTTCCTAGAACTAACTTTTCAGCAAATATTGAAAAATCACCTATTAAATCAATCATTCGAATACCATTTCTTGTTGCCTAAATGTAAAATTTATTTGATTAAAAGATAATAAATATGTATTGGCTTACTTTCGATGAATATGTTGGTCCAATACCTTTTTTAGTTGTACCAAGACTAGTGAAATATTATTTTTATTTAATAAGAAAAACTAATAGAGTCATTACTTACCTGCCCGTGCCACGTCCTCGTTCAATTAATCCATCGGTCTGTTTATGAAAATCAAAAACTAAAAATCATTATGTTAATTTATTATCTTTTAATCAGAATAATAATTACCTAAATGTGCTCGATCAGAAATAAAGAGACGTTCAGACCAATTTGTAACACCACGAGATTCATTTTTTTGTATTTCTTCAACTAATTCTGGTAGATTGACTACACAACCATTACCAATGATATTAATACAATTTTGTAAATGAAAACCAGATGGAAGCATATGAAAATCATACTCAACTCCTTCAACTACAACACTGTGACCAGCATTATTGCCTCCCTATAACTATTCTATGGAAAAGAAATTTACATTAGATAGAAATTCATTTACTTGACAACGACAAACTATATCAGCTTCAGAAGCTAATAAATCGACCAATTTGCCTTTGCCCTAATAGAAATATTTACACTATATATTTTTTTGATGATTTAACGTACTTCGTCACCCCATTGAGCACCGAGAACAATGACTACCGTTGATGGATTTGGAAAGGGATGAACAGCAGCAGCACTAACACGTCGGCCGACAGCTGTAGAAGGTCGTGATTCCATCTGACCTGATCAATCTATAAAATTGAAATAAATCTTTTTGTTTTTCCTTCTATATGATATATTTTTGTTCATCCATGATGGTACGTCAAATTTTTTCAAGAAATAGAAAAGAAAAATGACAACTATTTTGAGAAATAAAGCAAGTTGCAAGATACATACACACACGCACACACACAGAAATAATACTTTACTATAATAAAATGAACAAGAATATTGATAACAATAACAACAACAATAGAATTGTAGACGATCAAAAAAACGGATCGATATGTGTCCTTTCGGTTAATTTTAGTTGATTAGTTAACGGCGACTACCAAAATTTCTGGCATTTCGACCGATACCTCGTCCTCGTATTGATGAATTATTATTGTTATTGGTATTGTTACTACTATATGAAAACGTTGAAGTAGATTGCTTGTTCATTGATTGATTTGGTCCACCACGTCCACGACCTCCACGACCACGAGCATTGTTTACACCGTTAGATGAATTATGCCATGGTGCTTGAGATGATTGTTCCATTTGATTTTGTTGTCCAAAAGAACCATAATGTGAATCTTTATTATCAAATGATGATCCATTTGATCGTCCAAACGAATTCGATGAACCTTGTGCAAATCCTGAAAACCCAGTTTCATCAAATGAACGAGGTTGTGAAGTGATTGAATTTTGTGTATTATTTTGTAATGGAGGATACATTGATGTATGAGTATTTGTCGTAGTCGGTAAACCGGATGACGATCGATAATCGGCATAAGAACGTACAGATGAACTATTATTTATTCCCATTTGATTCTGTTGTTGATTACCAGAAGATGAAAAATAATTTGAATTTGTATTATTGTTACTATTATTGACACCAAAAGCACCAACTGAATTTTGATTTTGATAATAAGTTTGATTCATTGGTGGTCTTAATGGTGGTTGAGAACGTTGATGATTATTAGTTGGAGGATACATAAGCTCATTGGTTGGACCAGTATTAGTTCGATGATGTGAACGATTAGGTGGACCACCTAGAAGAGATGAAGTTGGTTCTGGATGATATTCATTCATAGGCTAAAGAAAGGAAAGACATAATTTTCTTATAAAAATTAAAGGTCAACTAACATTTGAAATACTATGGTTATTATATGGTCGTTCATAATTTGATTGTTGATTACTAAATCCACCATTAAATTGTAATTGTCGTTCATTATTATAATTATTTCCTCCAGACATAAGTTGTGGTGGTCTATTATCATAATATCCATTATTATTATTGGATGGTAGTGATCGTGTTTCAAAATTTGGTCGATCAAAAAATTCCGGTCGTTGTTGTTGTTGCTGCTGTGGATTAGCAGGGTAACGGGATGGCCAACGATCATTGCCATTATTATTATATGGTGCTGATTGATTGTAATTAAATTGATTTGTTTCATAATTTCTCATTGGTCCTGAACCACGATTTGCACCTGGAAATGAATTATTCAACAAATCTGGACGAAATCGTTTACTAGATACAGGTGTACTTGGAAAACTTCGTTTAACTGCTCCTCCTGCAAAAAAATAATGGTACAATAAATAATTAAATTTCATAATATTCTACCTCGTCGTGTAGTTGACATTTGAAATTGTCCTCTACCTGTTCGATTAAATCCACCATTTCTTCCCTGTTGACTTCTCATTGAAATATTATTATGATTATAATTTCTTGATTTTTGTGCTGAAGATGTCGAAGGAAATGATTTCTTTTTTCGTACTATTTTATTATTTGTAAGAGGAGTAGCAGCTTCGAATTGATCAAAAGGATATTTTTGAAGAAAAAAATCTGTATCATCATCAAGTTGTTTACGTGTTACACAAGACCATTCTTGTTCTTTTTTAATATCACTTGGAACTTCTGATAAATCTTTCATACCATTAAGTTTATAAACACTTGGAAGAATAATAATATCAGCAAAATGCTAATAAAAATAAAAATTTATACAAAAGAAAAAAAAATAAGAATTCAATTTCATACCGGAACAAGTTCTTTATGATTTGTAGATGTTTGTTTTGTTTTATGTTCAACAGTATGTAGATGCTACAATCAATGAAATTTTATTTTTCAATGAAAACAAAACGCCCAATATCAAATTTTACCTTTTCTAATAGCCATTGATCGGGAAAAACATATTCACAATAAGCACAACAAAAACGTCCATGATTATGAATACTATTTGGTGCAAGATAAAGTGCCATAGTTGCTTTATACTTATCATATGTATTTGTATCCATTATTTCTTTTAATGTTTTACCAGTTATTAAAGACTAAAAATATAAATTTAGAAAAAAAAGATAAAATATACAAAAAAAAATAAACAAACTTCTTGCATAGCTCGACGCCATGGTAAAAAATTTGTTTCATAATGACGAATTTTTTCTAAATGTTCTAATCCATTTCGATGCTAAAAGAACATATTAATTGATTAGTCTAAATTATATATTTTTATTAAATCTTTACTTCTGTACAGAAATCTTCGGTTGTTAGAAAAGCTGAACAAATATCACAAAAGAATGCTTTTCTTTTCTTATATCTTCGTCGAGCAATACCAAATAGAAATTCTCGTTCACGTTTAGATTCATCAGATTTAGAGTATACACCAGTAATAACATGATTTAATACATCCTAAATAATAATAATAAAGGTTTCTTTTTATTTCTAGATACAAAAAAATGAATTAAAAAAAAGAAAAATCCTAAGATTAATATTATTATGTACTAAATATCTATTCTCATATGTCGAATTCGAATATAAAATTTCATATAATTACCTTGCAGACGTTCATAACGTCATCATCAATATCGATATTTTCTGCCGTCGATATCTCATGTGTGGTAATAGCAGTAACCTGTTCCACACCGTTGTCTTCTCTGCTAATCTCAGCAGAAGACAATTTACCGTTTATTAACGGTTCTTGCTGCTGATGCTGCTGCTTCTTTAGCATGACCTGTGACTGTTCTTCGGCCATATTTAATTTAACGGAGCTATTTTGAATATTGTAATAAGCGTCATCGGGCGCAAGATTTTCTATAAAATTAAATATATACACACGGAATATATATGATAACAGTAGTGAAGAAAAAACTATAAAACAAAAATCATTATATAAATCTCTTTTTTTGTTCATTCGAATAATGAAATAGATTGAGGATATGTCAAGACAAATTGTCTCGATATAATAAACTGACTATGATATTTGTTCGTATTTTGAAATAAAAAAAAACAGATATTTTCTTTTTTTTTGTACATGCTTACTCTTGGCATAATATATATCTGCAGGTAATGCGGCTATGTCAGCAGCTCGATCAGTAACCATATCTTTGAGAAGTTGTTCTCGAATTTGTGGAATAATTGTACCAATTTTGGAATACTTTTTATCTTGAAAGACAAGTGTAACCTGTATATTCTTTTGTTTTGTTTTTTGTTGAGTATTATTATTAGTTTCCATTTTCTCTGGTTCCGTTTCCGATTTAATAGTTGAATTAATTTCTTCCTTGACATTTTTATAGAGAAAATGAAATTTCTCGCTTTGATAACAAAACTAAATGAACAAGGAAATCAAGTTTAATTTAATTACAAAAAAAAGTTACTATGAATAGACTTAATTATCAGCAGGAATCTTTTTTTTATTAACAATGGTGTCTCCTTTCTCAAAGCGGAAAACATCATCGAACAAAAATATATCTGTAAGTCTTTAGCCTTGTACAGACTATACAATTATCTATTTTTGTTCGATAACCAAGGTTATATATCACGCGCTATAAACAGCATTATCCTTGTCTGTTATGATAATGATCGGGAAACAGAATAGGATTAATATCTGATGTTTTTGTCAATCTAACTCTCGCTATCAAGAAAATTCTTTTTTTGAATACATACATTATTATGAAAAGCTAAATGAATTGCTTGTTCATAAATTGTTGGTGTAAAACATTTTTCATCATATAATTTTTTAACTTTTTCACGATGATTATTATCTAATATATGTTTACAATATAATAAGAATGTTCCACGCATTGAATTACATAATGAACAAAAGATTTGTTGACGAATACGTACAACATCAACTATATCATTCTAAACAAAACGAAAACATTTTTTAATTCATTTAAAAGTAAAATTAATCTATTTACATCAGAATCTTTATAACAAACAACTGAACAATTATCATCATCTTTTTGTAGACTAAAATAGAATCGGAAAAATATGTTTTAATTTATTTTAGTTGTATAATATCTCACTTATTATTAGGAGGATTATTAGTTTTATTTGTTTGTCGATGATTTGAGAATTTTCCTCGATGTGTCATTTGGAAATATTTCTTTCTAAAAATGAAAACGACAGTTTTTTAGAAAATTTAAACAACTACGAAATCGTTAGTTATGTTTAAAAAACGTAAACAAATATATTTTTCTCTAAACGTTTTTCTTTTGTTCTTCACTTTACGACGAATAATCGAATTTATAATCTTCGTAATAAAAGATGGAGGCACTATTTGATATTTTATTGGATAGATTCAACTCGAATAGAAGTCGATCACAAGAATTCTTATCTCATTCAACCTAAACGAAATTATGCTTTCAACTCGTTTAAATAATCAATTAAAACCATCGTTAGTTTTAATTATTGGTAATATATTTATCAATTCATATAAAATTTATTAAATTTTTTTTTCTTCTCTAGACGAAAGTCCATCAAATTCATCATTAGGCTTTCAATTTGCCTGTGCATATGCTTGTGAAACTCTAAATAAGTAAAATTTTGTTGATAAGTATTTCAAAAACTTTTTTATTATATTTAGATTTTCGAAAATTCATGTTCTTTTAACAGAACATGATGAAAGAAATTGGTTTCATTCACATGTATTTGCAAATCGTAATGAATTGAAATCAAAGTATTAATAAAAATATTAAATATTAAAAGCAAAAATGTTATTTTTTAGAATGAATATTATTGACATATTTGATGATAATCATTCAACAAAATCAATCGAAGAATGCGTTAAAATAACAGATGAAAAAGATTTAATTATTATTGAATCTCTTCCTTGGTTATTATTACGAACATCAGAAGGAAGCTTATCTCGTTTATTATTCAATTGGAGTAGTAAGAAATGAAGATATTTATATAGAAAAATATTTTATTTTAAAATAGAAACAAATATGGTTATGGTTGTTGTTCCATTTGATTGTGTAGATGAACATTCAACTCTTAAGAATCTTATATCGATTTCATATATAACCATACGAATTAACTATCTTTTGAAATCGGAAACAATCGAAGCAAAAATTGAACAACGATCACGAACAAGTGTTAATACAATTAAATCTGTTTGTTATATATTTGAATATTTAATAGATAAAATATTTTCTCTTATTAGTCTTTAACATTCTCAATTGATAAACAATTCAATATAATTAATTTACATGAAGAAAAAATAAGTAATCGAAAATCTAAACCTACGAAGAATACTGATGGATCTTCTAAAGTAAAAAATTAATTTCATTATATTGATAAATATAGAAATTTGAATGTTAGACTGATGTTACCGCAAATTTAACTTTCAATCTCCGTTTAAAAGATGATGAAGTGACTGCAAAAAATAATCTCGTTCTACCATATACAAAACAACAGTATGATTTATTTTAAATCTAAAAAACAAAATATTTCTTATTATTTTTTTCTCATAGTATACAAGCATCTGATGATGGTTGTACAATTCATTATTCATATGATAAAGAGGATGATATTGATGAAGATGAAGATGAAGATTTAGATTTATAATCAATATATTTTCATGTGAAACTTCTTTTTTTTTGTTTTTATTTATTTCAGATAAAAATAATTAAAATGACAGAAGAAACAATAACATCCAATAATATCCGATCAGATTTGGTATGAAAAATAAATCCCAATGGAAATAAGATAAAAATCTATGATTTTAAGCGAATGATAAATATGCATCGAAGTCTCTGATCTGATTTTTGTAATGATTGAAATCAATATACACGAAAACCTCCCTAATGTGAACACCACTGGGGAGTAGCTGTCTAATTCAAGTTCGAATATAAATGGACATTAAAAAAAGAAAAACTAGTACCTACTTCTAAGAATAGATTTAGCTTTAGAATAATTTTCAAATAAATCCCCCTCACCCACCCGTCAGTCGTATATATAAATCTTAGAGTAAAACTAAAACTGAATCTATTCCTAAATCTCACCACTTATTTTCGAATTAGGCAGCTCATCTAATAATCTCAGACTCTTATATATAATTGTTCACAAGTTATCGAAGCCTGACGAGTAACTTATGAGCCACTTTATATATGAGAACTGAGTTGGTTCATGTGAAGTGTAGTTAAGAGGACAAAAGCTTTGAAACTTTCTGTAGACGTTGTTAATGAGATATATGAGATGAATGAATACTTCAATTAATTTTGAATGAAGTGTGAAGTTTATCGAATCGTACTTGTATTCAATTAATGTTTAGTTTCTATTGACAGTAATATTGAATTGTAGTTCTTAGACATTAATCTAATTGTCATTTATTTTTGCTGTGATTTTACATTACTATGTTTCTTTGTTTTAGGTTGATACAGCAATTGCTTTTCTAAAGAATGCTAAAGTTGCTTCTGAATCCGTAGAGAAAAAACGTGAATTCTTACAAAAGAAAGGTAGATTTGGTCTATAACATATTTCAAATCATTTTGTAAACTATTTCATATATTCTAGGCCTTACCGACAACGAAATTGATTATGCATTCAAACTCATTCCACACAAAGGTTAGTTGCTCATTTTTTCGATAAACCATTTCATGAATTGTTTTAATAGAAACAAACAAGAAAGTCGTTTCTAACAATCGACCATCATTTCTTCGTCGAATATTATCTGATTTAATCTTAGCTGGTCTTATCGGATTTGCATTTAAATTAATCAAACGTTGGTTTCGATCAGTATGAAGAAATTTCTTAATGCTTTGTTTTTCATATCATTTTCATAATAGAAACAATCAATAAAAGCAAATGATTTAATTGAAACAATCAAAAATTTGCAAAAAACCATCCAAGAAATGCAAACAAGTGTTAAAAGACTTGAACAAACAACTGAACAGTTACATTTAACTTTACATTCATCACCTGCGAATGGATCATCATCATCATTAGAAGAAATTAAACGAGAAATTCAACAATTAAAAAATTTATCTTTAAGTCGTTCGCAATTTCCATCAATACCAAAAGTACCACCAACAATTCCTGCATGGCAATTAGAAGAAGCAGAAAAACGAAAAGCTCGTGCATCACCAATCGTAGTTGAAACAAATAAAAAAACAATACAGGATGATAATAAAGATGATGTTGATAGTATTGTTGTTGTTTCGGAAAATGATAAAAGAAGTGATGATGAAAATCAATTATCAATAAGTCCATCATCGGCATCATCCAATGATACATACGCTTAATTTTTGTGATCGTTTCTTTTTTTTATATTTTGTCATATTTGAATACTAACATTAAAATTTTAAACTTAAATTATTTGTTTTTTTTTTCAGAATAAAAATGCCTATCGAACGAGGTCTTCAGTATTTAAGACATATGCAAAGAGTTACTCTAAAAAATTTACCAATGCCATTGGAAAAAACAGACAAATGGAAAAAAGAAAATGTAAAATTTAATTTTTTTTTCTCAAATCGATTTCCTTTATATATAATTTGATTTTCTAGCCTGATGAAAATACAATTAAATCTATTATGAGTAGAAAAGGTCCAATATCAAGAAATTCATTACCACCTTATGGTATAGATCCAATACAAGCTGAAGGACGTTTACCATGGATATTAACTGTACCAAAAGAACCTTATTATGAAGGCGTAGAGTATGTTTTATATTATTTCGATTAGTTTAATCAAGTTATTTATTTAGAGAAGCAAGACAATATTTACCAATTTCTTTACGTACACTTCAACGTTTAATTGATTTACGTCGAATAAATCCTGATAAACCAGTTGATTTACCAGTACTTTGTAATACAAAATTATTTTCTATCCAACCTGATCAGCGACAATTTGGTTTACAATTAACAGATGAAGTAAATTCGTTTAATTTATTCTATTCTTATATATAAAAATGTTTTCTCACATGAATGAATATCCAACTATCTGCATGATTTAACAGATTAGAATCTAAAAATGGACATTAATCTATGGAATAAATTTGTTTCAGTTCGTCTAAAATAGAAATGTCAACATATGACTTTTTGATATATTTAAGAATCTACATAATAAATACGCATTTTTATTTTATAGTATACCATTAAATAGAAATAAAATTGATCTAGATTTTTCTCTGAATATAATTAAATGAATACGATCACTAATAGTCTGAGTTATTTTAAAAAACTTTATCTATAGGTTTATTGTTATTATTTTGAATCCTTTTTAACACGCAAAAATTATTTTAAAATTTTCTATTACACTAGGGTGCTGATCTATTTTCTACACCAATCAACCTTGAAATTCAATGGGTAGCAAGTGAATTAGCAATAGCTGCTATTGAACGATGTGGTGGTGTTTTAACAACACGCTATTTCGATCCAATTTCTTTATCAGCCTTGGTAGATGCAAAAAAATTTTTTGAACGTGGTGAACCAATTCCACGATGTGACACACCACCGATAAATGCTATTGAATATTATACAGATCCTAAACAACGTGGTTATTTAGCAAATCCGGATTTAATACGTGAAGAACGTCAACGTTTAGCACAAAAATATGGTTATAAATTACCAGATTCATCAAAATTATCTCCATTATATCATTTACGAAAAGATCCACGACAGATATTTTATGGTCTTGAACCTGGTTGGTTAATTAATCTCAAAGATCAAACAATTCTTAAACCAACAGATAATAAATATCAAACATTCTATCATTCTTGAATCAATAAAAAAAACCCAAACATTTATATATATATTTATATATCTGGCAATGTTCTAATAATCATCTAATTCAAGAACAAAATAAAAACAAACAAATGAGTTAGTGAGAATGAGCTATACAATTATGTCTAATAAGCTCCAGATAGAAAGAAGAAGAAGAAGAAAAAAAACATTTGAATTATAATCTGACTGATGTCAACTTTTTTTTGTTTCATTTTAATTAAAGACATCAAGTAATATTACACTTCAAATTCATCAGTCCATTCAACACTATTTCCCAGTAGTTTATTAACTTTATTCCATTCACGTTCACGTTCATATTGTGGATCAAGATTAAATCGTACTTTAGGTTTAAGAGAATTGTTTGCAAGTGCTTGTTGTTCATCAGTACTATCAATTGATTTATTTTGTGTTATTTTCATAATTGATGGTGGTAGTGGTCGATTTATTTGTTGTGTTGGTGTTGAAACAAGTGCTGATAGAATATCATCTTCTTGTAATATAAATATATCACGATCATTTGTACTCCATAAATTTGTCGTATCAGTTTGATCTTGTTTTTGTGATAATTCAAATTCATGTACAAGATCAATTTCACCATTATCAGCACTTTCATCTGATACATTATCATTTGTTGAACTTTCTTGTGTATCATCTTCTTCTAATATTGTTTGCGGGCATTGTTGTGCTGTTAAAACAATATCACTATTCGTTGTTGAACGTAAGGGTGGAGAACGTATAGAAATTTGTATTGAATCAGTAGTAGTAGTATTTGCTGAAGCAAATTTTTCTAATAATGATTCATCATTTTTATGATCAAGAGCTACACACAACAAAACAAAAATAATATTCAATTTTTAAGAAAAAGAAATAACTTACATAGTTTATTAATTGATATTGAAATAAGATTATGATCATGATTAATAGGTTCGGTTGAATGCATGGACGGATTAATTGGTGATCGATGTATAACAATGGGTTTTTGTAATTCTTTTAATTTATATTCATGTATGGAAAATTTCTGTCTATTTGATGCTATATTACCATCATCATCATCATCATCATCTTCATCACATGATGTTTCGGAAAATGGTTGATCCATTGATGATGATAATTCATTTGTTTGTTGTAAACCAAAATGTTTAACTTCAATATCAGGTGATGAACCAACATTTGGAAAACATTCATTTTTATTATTAATAAATTTATGATGATTGACTGGGGTAGTTATATCCCAGAAATGATCATCGACAGGTGATGACATCGGAAGGAAATCATCATCAACAAGAACACCGGATGGTTTTGAATCATCATCGAATTCAAGACTATTTGAACTACGTACTGATGTTAGAGTTGCAAGAGATGATGATGATGTTTCATAAATAGTGCTATTATTTGTATGATTCATAGATCGACCATGTTCATGTTTTTTATTATTATTGTTGTTATTATTATTGTTGTTGTTATTGTTGTTGTTGATAGATTGAAAATCCATTGAACGTGAATATCCATTGGTAGCTATCGTTGTTGGACGTGCAATAGGATTATCTGATGAATAAATATATTTTGAATGTTGAGATGGAATTTTAATAGGTGTTGAATAATGTACTGCTTGACGATAGTCATTCTTTTATAAGAAAGAAGAAAAAAAAGAAAACTATTAATTCTATATATATAATTCAATTTTTATAATCTTAGTAAGATTGTCGGTCTTTCTCTATAGAAAACAATGGGAATTTAATATACTTAGAGCGGAAATGATTTAAATAATAGATGAGTGTATATATATATATGTGTCGGATATTATATTTTATATAGTTAAAAGAAAATATTCACTGTTTTTGTGATAAACAAAATAATTAATCTAATAGAAAAGAAAAATGAATGTACTTACGATTTCTGGTTGAGATGTTATATTATTCACCGGCTTAGTTTGCGTTTGTTGTTGTTGTTGCTGTTGCTGATTTGTTTGAGCATGTTGCAAAGTTGTATTATCATTAGTACTATTGAGTATATTTAAATCTGAATAAGAACCATTTGTTAATATATCAGAATTGAAACGATCAATATATGAATTAATTTCTTCATCATTACTGCAATATCTTGAACGTACATAATCATCAAATTGTTCGATAGCACTTGTGATTAAATGATTACATGGTTGATGACCATTTAAACGATCAACGCTTTCAACAGGTGATGTTATCGTTGTCGTGCTTGATGCACTATCATCAATATATCGAAAACGTTCGATTTTCTGCATAAAATCTTTTCGATAAGATGTTGATGAAGATGTTATTGGTGTTATACTAGAAGACTTTTTTCGTAGATGAGATTTTGTATTTGATGATTTAGATTTTACTAAGGAATTTCGATCACTAGTATCTGAATCACCTGTACCTGATTGATTATGTTGTTGTTGTTGATGATTTGTATTATTATTATTATGAATTGGAAGAGACGTTATTGATGGTGTTATTATTTTATTTGTATTAGTTGAATCAATTGTTGAACAAAATGTTTTGAATTGTTTAGCAAATGAATTTCGACGAAAAACAGTTGAAAGTGAAGCTTGACGACGTGTTGTTAAATCAACACTATGACGATTTTTTTTGCTATCACCGGCAATATTGCTGTTAACAGCAACTGACGTTGTTGATGAGGAAGAAAATGGATGTGGGTTTGGTGGAGAACGTACGAAGGATGAAAAAGCATTGAGCGAATATTTACGAGTAGCACGGTTCGATGAATCCTTAATAGTAGTGGCAAGTTCCGATGTTAACAGTGGCGTATGATCATCACACTAGTATGATAAAAAAAAAAGAAAAAGATGATGATGTTGATGAATTAAAAGGAAAAAAAAAGATGATGAAGATGAGTGACATGATCATTTTTTTTATTATTACTCTCAAATTAATCAAAACTTGCATCTACAAAAGTACCTACCACATCCTCTTCGTTTGATCTCGTTATTTCATTTTCAGGTAATGATAATGTCAGTAGTACGGGTTCCAACACTACTTTTGTCGGTTTTATTTCCGATTTAACCGATATCTCATCATCATCTTTTTTTTCTTCTTCTATTTTTTCATTCGGAAGTGAAGAAGTCTCAAAATGTTGGTATTGCTCATGAGATTGATTAGCATCGTTTTCTCGTAAATATTCACTGCTGTGCACGACTGGTGGTAATGTTGATATTGGATCATGTGTCTTTGGAATTAATTCTAATCGATGTGTTGTTGTTGGTGGTGGTTCGACGATGTTATTCTCAGCAGTCGATGACGTTATAATTTGCCGTTGATTATTTTTTAATGTTTTACTTTTATTTGTTTGTTGTCGATTATGTTGATGACGATGATTTCGTGCTGTAATACACGGTAAACAAAGTTTTCGAAGAGTTGGCGACGACACTTTGATATATCTATTTGATGTATTACCACGTCGTTGTCGTTGATCATGCACGTTAAAAACAAGTGAATAACGAACTGTATTTGGACGACAAAATATATGTGGTGGTACCGTGCAGAGGATCAAACGACCCGATTGACGATGAATGGAATGAATTGTTAGAGCGGAAAAGAAAATACTAACAATGACAGGTAGTTTATCTTAGAAATAACGACAACAATAACGATGTGCACAGTCCAAACATGTCAATTGACTCGACAATGTTTCACTGTTCTGTTTGGCTCGACGAACGGCATTCTTCTTGTATCCACATTCTTTTTCATTAACATGACAGAAAGTCTTTTCTCGTCCTGTACGCTCTCATAGTATTTTCTACTCTATTTATGATATTTGTAGCTGGTGGCTGGGAGAGTGAGTGAGTGAGCGTAGTAACAGCATTACTGACTATGAGAAAGCGAGAGAAAGAGAGCGCGCACACACACACAAACACAAGAGAAAAGCATCTTCTCTCTTCTTCTTCTTCTTCTTCTTCTTCTTCTTCTTCCTTTTCTTTTTCTTTTCTTCAAGTTTGTTGACTGAGTGACGGGTAGCCGAGACATCACTCATACGCATCATCATCATCAGCAGCAGCATCATCATCATCATCAAAAACGACTCGTTGTTTCTTCTAGTTGTAACAACAATATTAGTAGTTCTAGGAACATCAGATAGATTCAATTTGCATTAACGAAATCATAAGTCAGCCTGAACATAGACACGCACACGCGGTCGATGATGACATAGAGCGCATGTATGTAGATGAGTTAATGTTATCCTTAACTAAAGAATAAGAACGACATCAACACTAAATCCTTTTCTATACTCTATGCTTATGATGGTGTTGTTGATGAATATATTTTTTTTTGTAACTGACAGTTAATTCTCTTAGAGAAACTTGATCTAACACTGTCAACAGTATGAGTCTCAAATGTTAGTGTAAGGAAGGATGAGTGATCATGCGCAAAAGGAAACGCTTTTCAGAGTTTATTTGAAATAGTATAAAGTCCATTTTGACTTAATGATACTATAATTTATTGAAAAACAAAAAATATTTTTTTTAGAAAAGAACAGATAATTACTCTTTCTTTCTTTCTCTTTTGTTTAATATTTTCTAAAGATTGTCAAGCACAAAAAAAATAGAAAAAAATGCTTTCAAACCTGGTCAATTATTTGCAAAATTGTTTGAATATTTTTCAATATATATAGTATATGTTATGATTAAAGTATATACTTAGCTACTAAATCGAATTTCGATGACTATCAAGATAGAAGAAAATAAAAAAAAAGGAAAATGAGTGGGTGATAAAACGACTTTCTTCTTTTTCTTTTAGTTAATGTTATTGTGCGTTTTCGTCTTCATCGAGGCTACAGTTAAATGAGTTTTCATATAACTACTAGTTTGCTTCCATGCACGCACAGGAAATTGATTTTCGTCCCTAGACGAATTGACATCATTATTTTGTCTAGATCTATGTGTTAAACATACACTAACAACAACGATGGACGGAATTTAATGGCATTTATTCATTAACACTACATATATATGTATATACAAATATAAACCGTGTGCCGATATATATCATGTAAATTGCCCTTATTTGCGTTCATTTTTTTTGTCTGGTTTATCTATTCTATAAAGATTGACAGTCTCGATATTTGTCTAATCGATCGATGTTATTCATCGAAGAGTACTCTGTGAATAAGATGATAATGAAATATTAATGACTTCTTGTGGAATGAATTATATAAACAGGAAAAAAATTGATTATCCTTGAAAGAAAAGTCGTCGATAAACAATCAGTTTCAAATGATTATTCACCTGGTATTTAATCATGTATAGATAATCGTTCGAACCGTTAAAAATAATGACAAAAAAAGATACTTTTTCTTTTCTTTTTTTTTGCTTTTCCAATAATATAGATATATGTGTACGATTGCTGATCATTAATCTTGTCCATCTTATCATTTTATGTATATTTTCTGCAAGAATGTGTATGCATAAATGCTTGCAATACCACGATATATACACATGAGTAAAATCGATTATGAGAAGTTATGCATAGTAAGATAAACAAGTGTGCGTGCGTACATTTTAGCAACTGATTGACTTATAATTGCTGGTGACATGCGTATATATATATGGACTGATGCCTATTGATCTTAAGATGGCGCCTCTGGTCGTTCAAAAAGTGATAAAAGAAGAAAGAAAGAAAGAACTTTGAACCTACCCGACTAATTCCAATAGTTGAAAATGATTTGCGTACAATTGGTTTTACACATTTAGATACATGTTGATTATTAGTATTATTTGATGCATGACAAGGAGGTGTAACATAATGAGGTTCAGTAATTATTGATGTTATTAATGATTGTTTTGGAGAAGATGAGAGAATAATAGTAGCTTTTGGTTTTATTGTTTGATCACAAGCTGGAACACTTGATCGATTGATATGTATTGCACTATTTAATTGTTCGTCAAAACGAAAACTAGGCGTTCGTGTATATTTACGTGTATAATACTAAAAGAAAATTTACGTAAATAGAAGATCAAAATCATACGATGTATATGTATGTACAAAATACACTCACCATCTCTGACATATTCTCTTCCCAACTAACGCATTTATTTAGGTAAAGATGAGATATAAATGAATAAGAAAATCTATATCCTTTTTCTTATGCTCTCTTGAGTAATAGAACGATCCGAATGCTCATATATCGTATATACAATCAACTAAAGAATATACATATCAATCTAGCTATGTAGTTGATTGCACAACTAACATGTCATCATCATCATCATCATCATCGGCACACGTTCATTCTGTCAATGTTTTGAACATGCACTAAGATAAAAATTGATTTACTCCCATTAGCTTTACTCATAATCAGATGAAAATCGACTCTTGCAGAAACGAAAGAAAAAATTGACTATTAGCCAGCTTGCTTGTATACACGCACAACTATTCTATAGAGAGCCTGAAGGATATAAAAATGAAGCGATTTAGAAAAAATAATTTTCCACGTAAACGCCTTACAACTTTCTCGTTCTCTCTTTATTCTTCTTTTTTTTCTCTCTGTCTCTCGTCTCATTACAATTGAACGAGTAATGACAACGTAATACTAGCTTACTTGTTTCAAAAAAAAAAATAATAAATGAAAAGTGTTGAGCCATAAAGAACAAAAGAGAAAGAAATGTTTAGACACCTTGCGCTGTTACACATAGGAAAAGATTTCTAATGATTTGAACACTCACGACTAACAATCTAACAGGATGTATTCTTCATAGTGACAAGGAATGACAATTGTTCACGATATCATTATGATGAGAGAACAAGTTTTTGTCTTGTTCCGTTCTTTCTTATAATCATATATAAAAAAAACGAAGGAGAAGAAGAAGAAGAAGAAGAAGAAGAAAAGTCATATGAAGAAAGAAACATAGAAAAGCTCAATCTAGACAAATGATGAGAAATATGCATGTTGCTGTCTATCTTGCTTTTCATATAGGATATACACGCAAAAAGAAAGACAAGTGATGTTGGTATTATATGTAGTATGTCACGCAAATCCAGAACGGAACAAGTTAAATTTCCGTGATGTTCTTTCTTTCAAGGTCGATATGAACATGAGTATATTGAGTATCTAACTTTATTTTGTTCTCTTCTTTATTCATCATCTCATTCTGCTAAACCGATCATGATGATTGATATGCATATATTAAAATCTATCTATGTTTATGACTACAGAATTTTTCTTTTAGCTTCAGGCATCAAACAAAAAAAGCATTACGAGTGATCCAACTCAGAGCATATTTTTCTTCTCACGATATAAAATATATACATATCATCACTCGTCAATATGATGATCGATCGATACATATTTATTATTTCAATTTTTCTCTACTCGATCCATCTCAATATTTTACTAATAGTTCTTTTTTTTTCTTCCACTAACTAAACAATCATAATTCTATCTATTCTATGACAGTTATTACTAAGATATTATATGAGAAAAAATACAGACTAGATATTATTACATATCTAAAGCAAAAAGTGATGTAATAGAAAAATATTTCTTTTTTTTGTGTTATTCTACTAACTAAGTATACACTTATAAAAATAAAAGAGAAATATTATCTTGTGAATTCCCTCTTTTTTTTCTTCTTTTCTAATTACTTTCTGTTTATTATGATCAATGATATTACTAGTTGCGAAATATACATGTATATATATATACTTACAATATAATACCCCTAGATAGAAAGGCTACTTGAAGCATCTGTTCGATTCTCTTTCCTATCTCTTGAATGTAGGCGTAGGGCACTTGATTATAAGAATAGATATAAATGCAATAGAAGTAGGTTCCTCGAGACCGATTTATTACTTTATATTTAGGATACTTTCAACAAGTGATAATAGTAAAGGCTTTTCCTTCGTATGACAATGATGATGATAAAGAGAAGATAGGGAATAGAACGACGCGAATTTATCGACTGACTTAGAACAACATCGACATTATAGAAGATGTGTATGCATAACTCGCACATATACACAATAATAAGCGATGACGGAAGAAATAATGCGTTTGAGAGAGTTGATGCTTCGACTACGTAGTACTGCTTACTGCTCATCATGCAAAAGCCAATAAATAATAATCAGCATTGATAAACAGACACGTCTCTGTTTCTATTCTGGATTTGGTAAAGAAAGCGGAATGCTATGAAGACAACAACAACAACAAAAAAAAAGAAGAAGAAGAAGAAAAGAATCGAATGCACTCTAGATCAACGAGGTGTCTAATGATTGAACAATATGCTATGCGATTTCTATTATTTTCAACACATACATACATACATACACAGATCGTGTGTAGGTCTATAAGTCGCCGCCCTCTAATGTTAGTCGCTTTTTGCTATTCCTCTCATTTTTCTATCTTGCTCTCTTTCTCTAATAATTTTTTATGTGTTTTTGATATTTGTTCTGTTTCTATAATATCGTTTGTAAGTATAGATCGATGTCTTCATTGCTTTTTTTCTAAGAGGAAAGCGACAGCTCTTGTAGTTATTGACGGTTCTCGGGCATCAAAGACAGAACAAGTTGTATGCATTTAGATCTTTCTTTCCTTCTTCGTTTTTTTCTCTCTTCGTCTTTTCTTATTGAATCGTTATGTTGTATGTCACAGCTGTTTGCTCACAAATTGACCTTGAGCACTTATTTCTGGTTTTTCTTCTTTTTTTTTTATATATAATACTTACTCCAATACTTCCTCGTCTTGAACTTGGTTCACTATATTGTGAAGCACGACGTCGAACAATTTCTGTTTGAATTTTTTGTGTTTCTTGATCGCGACATGCATTTCTAGAATAAGAAAAAAGAAAAAAGAAATACTAAATTGAATATAAACGAACATATTGACCATAAATGATAATTTGATTAATAATTAGACAATGTTCGCATCGCTCATAGAAAAGAGATAATGGAACTAAGAAAATACATCTTTCATTTTATCAAATAAAAGAAAAAATTTCTCTTTGACCGGGTTGACAAAATAAAAAGAAGAAAGCTTAAAAGAGAATCAATCGGATTTTCTTTATTGTTTCTTATATCTATACACGCGCATAGCTAAATAAAGAAAAAAAAAGAAATAGAAGACAAATCATCATCGTTATTATATATGACTATATTAGCATATTATAATAAAGACTAAAATTGCATTGATAACATTCTTTCTTCAACATAGATAGTAACTAACAAAAGAATGAATGAATGCATCTATCAACAAAGAATATTATGTATATATACATTGATATATACTGACAATCAACAAAGAAATATAAAAGAAAACATTTGCAGATACGGATAGTTTATTTGTACTGTTTATATCGAAAAGATTTTGTTCTAACAAGGATACTCAATAGAGAAAACTAATTGTATGCTGGCAATAACACCTTCTGTTTTGTTTTATGTCACTTCTAGCAAGGAAATTAAATGATTATATAATAATTAATTATCGCTAATATTTATATTACAGATGGGTTATTCCTCAAGGAAAAGGATTTTGAAGATGAAATGAATATTAATATAGCTATAAGATATATAAAAACTCCTTGATGTTATTAATCAAGAGCCATTGTGATTATTTCACCGGAAAACTATTTATTAAGTATAAAATTAAAATCAAGTACCACATAAAGTGCCTACAGTTATGGCAATTATCAGATTTAGGAATAAAAAAAATTGATTAAAATCTTATCTTTGACTTATAATAACAGATGATTTTGTTCATATCTCTTTGATTATAGAAAAGAGAATCTATATACAGGGTAAGTCAAAAATCATTTTATCGCATGAATGGACTGAATTTATCCTTGCTTAGAGAAGGGGACTTGTAGTCCGTTTCAAATTATAAGTGTTGACTTCAACAACAACAATTTGACTTTTGATATATCGGGAAAAAACAATATACAGCGTGATACAAAAATTACCTGTCGGAAAAATTTTTTCTCCGATTTGTTGAAGGTCAGACCTTATACTTTGAAACGGACTACAATTACTCTTTTATCAGTAATAAAAAATTCAGCTGATTCGTATGAGTCATTGCAAAGATATTCAATACTTTATACGGTGAAGTAGTATTTAGTATCGAAATAAACAAGAAAAGATCGATGGCCAATAATCGGATTTGGTCTAACATAATAGTTGAAATCTGATAATTTTCAAGAGAATCTAGTCGGCGTTATTTGAATCTGATCGAATCCGATTAACTACGGTTGACCTGAGCAGTTGAACAGAAAAAAAAGAGTGAAAAATAGTTAGACTTATATCAAAAAAAAAGAAAAGGGATTATCTAATGTCACTTAAGTTTTATCTTTTGAGGTAGACAGTACATATACATCCACTTGTCATATTTTAGCTTCATTTAATCTTTTCCATTAGAAAACAAAAGAAAATTAGAAATCAAATTTTCTTTCTCAAACTTAATGAAAAGATTTATTCTACTATTTTATATATAACATGAATAATAAAAAAAAATGGTTGTCAAATTTGATTCTAATCTATAAAATTCTTAACAAGTTTTTGTTCAAGTGCAATTCTATTAATAAAATGTTTTTTCATTATGATGATTAAATAATATATCAGTCTATAAATTAATTTATTCAAAAGAGTTGATAATGTGTTCTATTGTTTTCTTTCTTCATTCGTTGACAACATCAACGTACAAACAGATAACAATACGATAGATCATTCGTCTTAGTAAGTAAAAACAGTTGTGTATGTTCAACAAATAATCAGGTTTGCGAATATCATTGAACGACGAAATATTTTCATATTAGAAGAAAAAAAGACGAAGTAATTCAATTAAAATAATTTAAAATTTTTCATGAAGAAATAAATTAAAATCAGTAATTATTTCTTTTTAACAATCACACTATAAAAAGGTGATATTAATGAAAAAGTGTAGTTGTGCGGACTAAGTAAAATATTTTTATTTCATTATTAATAGAAGACTTAGAATTAACAGCTAAGATATTTGCTTAGTTATACTTTGATTATAATCTTTATTCTATCAGTCTTCGTCTAATTCTTTTTTATTAAAATAATACATCAATCGTGATCTCTTCTTTTAATATGCAAAAGATAAATAACACTTACAAATAAGTACATATAATAGGTGCCAACTTTTTCTTATGTAGATCCATCTTATTTTTTTTACATTAGTAAATGCAAATAATCGATTCAAAAATGTTTTATTTGTACGATAAATAAATGTATATATATATGTCTGGACGAAAATTACACTCTTTAATGATAATAACTCTTTATAATTCTCTTTCTTCTCGATGATGAACAAATCAAATTATAATAAGATACATATGTATAAGATCGAAAATAGACATATGAAATTACTCACTTAAATCGAAATATAGCAATAATAAACATAATAAAACTAATAATAATTACAACAGTTACAATAACTTTTATTTGGGTTTTTGTTAAACCTAAAAACAGAAAAAAAAATCTATAAAAACAAATTTTCGATGTTTTTTTTCTATTAATTACCCGATCCATCTTTAAGTGCATTATATTCATCTGAATTATCATAATTTGTAATTCCATCATTTGCTAATGATGGTCGACTAATATTATTTTCAATTAAATCATCAGTTGTATTTAATTTTGTATAGATTAAATGTACAGATGAACGACGTCTTAAATAATGTTTTATTAATGATGGTGGTGATTGAATAGTAGCTAATATAAGCATTGTTGATGTGCTGTTATTAGAAGAGTTTATTGAATTGATCAATGCTAAACATCCGGTAGATAATAAAATAATCAAAAGAATAAAACCGATGTTCATTTTCTATGAAGCATACACTCATTTCGATTAAGATTTATTTTTTTTGTTATGTCTAGAAAATAAAATAAAAAGCATATGTAACTATATGTAATTATATATATTTTTTTTCTAGAAATAATAAACTAATGAGATGTAGATTATATTAACCTTTATGAATTATTATAAAGCGAAAAAAAATACTCACGTCTGATTAAATCAATTAAGTCATTTAAGAAAACAAGTTTTGCAAAGAAATAATGTGTCTAGTACTATGAAATTCAATACAAGCTTAAGGACGAGATGAGATAGAAAATGAAGAAATGACACTATCACTTTTCACAATATGTGTCTGTTCTCTTTCTCTTCTTTCTTTTTATAGGAAAAAAGATCATCTTGTCGTTAAACTTCTTCAGGCAGCACTCAACAATGTCAATGCACATGATGCAACACATCACACATACATACAATAAGTTATATGACCTGTTAAATTCAATTATTTTTAAATCCTACAGTCTATTCTTCAATCATAGATTATTTAAATAAATGTAAATCTCTCTCATATCCTGTGTCCCTTCTTACTTCATGCTGCTGTTGTTATTATTATTTATCTGATTTATTTCTATTGACAAACTCAAAGAAGAAAATCTATAATATTGATCAATGAACATAACATATTAGTCTTTTTTCTTATTCTTATTCTTATTCTTTTTCTCTCTCCCTATTTTCTTTATTATATGCAGCACGTAGACGTTTTTTTACAAAACAGACTGCTATAGTTTAATATATATATATTACTGAATAACACTATCATTCTATATACATTATTATATTCAAGTAATCATTAGAATACATTGCCATGTACTTACTCACATCTCAACTATTGTATAATGGTTAAATGATGAAGAGAAGTGCCTGAAACGAGCAAACAAAAGAAAACCACAATCATCTTGCTAGAAAATATAGACTCCTCCTTTTTTTCTGTTCTTTTCTTCGAATTCTATGAAAAAAAATAAAGATACACAATATTTATCATAGTGTTTGTCTATTAGGAAAAAAAAAGTATATACACACTATCACAGGAAATAGTGACACTTATGTCTGTTGATCTTATAAACAACTGCATGCTCAATTTTCTAATTATAGCAATGATGAAGAGTTAATAGCAAATAAAAAAAATAAAAATAAAAACTTCTTTTTATAATCACTTATGTCAAAAAAGAGTTTTGTATTTTTCTTTCTCATTTAATTTAATAGAGTTCTGAAATCTGATAAGTAGATAGATAAATAAATAAAAGAATTTCTCGATTTTCTATTGTTCATTATAGATAAATATTACTTTATTTACCCAAGAATGATATTAGTAAGAGAAAAAATATTTTATTTATTTAAGTAGACATCTGCATACCTTCAATCGACGAATGCAATTCATAGCCGCGTTTGATCATAAATAAATTGTTGAAGAAAATTTTGTTTTTTCATTATCAAATATAATTTTCACCGATTATTTCAATACTACACTTACGGAAGACAAACAAAAAAAAAGAGCACATCTATCTTTATAGACAAGTTTCAACAATTCATTATCGTTCTTTTTCTTCTCCCTCTTCTTCTTCTTCTCCTCTAGATATAATGTGCGGATGTATGCAAGAAAAAAAAAGAGGAGTAACATGCAGAATTGTTATAACAGGAAAACAGGATTAAGACGCACCGTAGTGTAACAATCATCTAGTCTCTCTAGATAGGAAAAAGAAAATAAATGATATTGTTGTCATAGATCACTAATATTTTATATTCAAGAAAAAATGAATAGTAATATTAGTGTATCATATATTTCAATATGTCTTATTATGATAATTTGATTTATATGAGACAAAGTTTGTCACGTACATCATATAGATCTTGATTATGAAAGTTCTATTAATATTGTAATATATTAAGAAAGATTTATTTTAACATATGTAGAACAAGACATTAAATAATGCATGACTTTTATTAAATTTAGTCGGATGTTTAAAATTCCTGAAAATGTGTTTAGAAAAATAAACTCATAGGAAGATAAATAAATATTTGTTATAAAATATTTTATTAGACTAGAAAAAAGTAAGAGTTTTGTATTATAAAATAATAAAAATAATTAGAATAGCAACCATAGATAAAAGTAAAATTAATGCAGCAACAACTGGTTCACGTATTTGAGAAACTTCTGTTAAATCTTTTTGTAGTATATGTCGATTTATTCGACAATATCGATAAATACTATAGAATAATGTTATAACACCACAAGCAATTAAAATTAAGCCAGAAATCATTGGTTTCATGTCATGAAATGAACCAGTTAATGTAACGTCGATCTTATCTGATCCACCGAATCGTGCAATAGCACAGCCAAATGCAAACATACCAAGACTAGTTCTTGTCCATGCTAAGAATGTACGCTCATTAGCTAAATGATCAGTAAAAGTTCCTTTAAATTTTTCACATTGAGGTCTTTCGATAACTGGATCAACCATTTTAATCTAAACAATATTTTCAGTATGTAAAAATATGTATTAAAAAGCAATGGATACAAGTTTTCCAATCTTGAAACAAAATCAAACAGCGTATCGTAAGAAGAGATTACGAATGTTATCATATAAAATAAAATATTTATCGAGGTCGCTGATTTACGATTTTCGAATTCTATATTTATTTTATTTACTAATACATAAATCTAATGAAATAGAACATTCACATTAAGTTAAATTGTAACTGATAACATTGTTGTCATAATTTTTATTTATGCCGGAATATTAAAAAGAAAGTATTCTAATTATATTTAAACATAATGTTAACAAAAATGATCATATGAGGACGGAAAAGAAACACATGCTACCAAATATTTAACATTGATAAAAGTACATACAGAATATTTTACGAAAAGAGAAGGCAAACATTATAATTTCTCATTTAGAAAAAATTGTGTCAAAAATAATGAAGTACCTATAGTATAATCTTTATATCTTAGATAGATATTTCGTTATCATTCACTTACGATATATTATAATACTAATTGTTAGTTGTTCAAAATTCTTTTTCGTCTATGTTTACATTTGACTTTCAAAATCCGATAAATGTCTATATAGTCTGTATGTCAACATAACTAGATTCTCAATAGTTTATCTATTAAAACACCCAGCATGTTATAATATATAATATGTCGTTAACAAATCTCTATGCGACACATGTGTTGCCATTTATCATATGAAGTCAATTAATTTGCGTGTTATTTCTTAATTGTCATGTCTGGTCGTCACAATATGTACAATGACAATAATAATTGAAATAATATATAGAAAACAAATCATACTCCTCACAAAACTTAAGAATACCAATTAGTACAATGCTCAACTGTCGATAAAATCACGAGTATATAATTAAAAAAAAGTACTATTATATATCATTAACATGCAGCGCCTCCAAATATTGAATGGTTAAAGTTGATAGATAGATGATTCATCTTTTTTGGTCACATATATAAAACAAAAAAAAAGTCGTATGCGTACAATCGCTCATGCGTACAAACCCACTAAAGGTTAATATATAATATCGACTGCAATACCTTATTGTTTCATTTTTTTTTACAAAATGGCTTCTCGTATAATCCTACCAATTGTTCAAAATCTGTTTTTCTTACTCACAATTAGTTTATTTTTTCTTGGAATTGTTGCATATTTCTTTCGACATGAATCAAACTATTGTGGTAAATACATAGATTTTATTTGAATGATCATTAATCATATTCATATATTTAGAAATGACATATATGTTTGAAAATCCTACATATCATCGAATATCAATGCCAGATGATATTGAAATTCGTTATCGTCGTTATGGACTTTATTCCTATTGTGAAGGTAGTCGATGTGAATTACATCGACAAAATGTATTTACAGGTTCTCCTGTTTTATTTATTATTGGTAATGCTGATAGTTATCGTCAAGTTCGTTCACTTGGTTCGGTTGCTTATCGAATGGGTGATAAACCAAATCATTTAGATTTTTTTTCAATTGATTTTAATGAAGAATTATCAGCTTTATTCGGTGGTGTATTAGAACAACAAACTGAATTTGTTGCTTATGCTATTAAACAAATTTTATCATTATATAAAACAGAGAAAACTATTATCCTTGTAGGAAATTCTATTGGTGGTCTTCTTTCTCGTAAGTTTTAGTCATATTCAATAATGAAGAAGAAAATTTATACAAATTGTAGGTGCTGTTTTTCTACAACCATCTAAACGATTTGATCCAAATACAGTACGTCTTATTATTACACAAGCAACACCTCATCAAGCTCCAGTTATTCATTCGGATAATAATGTTATTGAATTTTATTCTCGTGTTAATAACTATTGGAAAAATGAATGGAATAATTCACTTCAACATCTTGTTCTTGTATCGTTAGCTGGTGGTGATCGGTAAATTTTTAATTTTCTATTCTTTCGAAAAAAAAATGAAATGAAATTTTTTATAGAGATCATCTTGTACGAAGTGATCTATGTTCATTAAATGGTTTAACTGATGAAAGTCGATCGATTGATGTTTTAACAAGTTCTGTACCACATGTATGGACATCAACTGATCATCGTTGTATTGTCTGGTGTCGACAATTAGTCTTAACAACAACACGAGCATTACTTGAAATAATTCAAGATAAAAAACAACATCCTCAACAATTTATGAAAATACTTAAAAAACATTTTTTTCCAACAATTGATTTTAATCTCGGCCATAATACCACATTAAATTCCAAAACAGAACCTATTCTTATTACAGAATCAAGTACATCAGTTACTGGCAAAAATCAACATGATTATTTAATTCGATTGAAAGATGCAAAATTTCATACGATTATTATTCATTCAACTAAAGCAAAAATATTTTTAAAAAATGATAATAATATCATTGATATAACTAAAACTTTAATACCTATTCCACCAACTTATAGTGATCGTAAAATGATTCGATTTAATCTGAAAAAATTAGATCATGATATTAAAAAATATGATTCAATTCTTATTCATCTTGAACATGTAAAATCTCAAGCTGATATATATCAAATTGAAAATAGTGAACAAACAGTTGAACTTTCAACGTAAGTCACCTAAATCTGAATAAAATAATTAAAAATATCGTGTTCGTTTCTATTTAAAGTTTTGGTTCACAAACATTATCTTTCAAAAAAACGGGCTATGTAAAACTTGTCTTTCCAACATTGACACATCTCTGGCAAGTTTATAATGTTTATTTATCATCAAATAACGAACAAATCCCATTAATACATTTTCATGTTCCATGGTCAAACGAAGATTTATACAATTTAGTTTCATTACGTAGTCCTTCGGAACCATCAAAGAATCTGCCAAAATCTCTTCATCGTCAAATGCGTTTAAAACTTCATCGTTTACCTCAATCTTCATCTAATAATAATCAATATCCATCTCTTGAACTTTTTCTCGATCCAAATTCTTCATATACACTTGAAATTAATTATTCATTTCTTGATATATTATCTCAATTAATACGTTATTATATATTTTTATTACCAACATTTCTATTTACTGTTCTATGTATATCATATTCACTTCAAATGAATGATACTCGTCTTCGAGTCTATCAAACAATGCTTGCATGGCAAATACATTTACCCATAGCTTTATTAATATCAATACTCTATAAAATTATTATTGAAATATTTCCATCAGCAAATTTTGTTGTTAATATTCATTCCAATGGTTATTATTTTTTCTGTTTACCTTTAATCATGTATTTCCTTGCACTTAGTATATGGGCTATGATATCATTTATAATTGATTATCTTATATTGGATTTCGTTCGTGAATTATTAAATCCAGCACTTGTTCTTGTTCATAGTGAAATTCATCAACAAACAAAATATGTTCATTTAATTCAATGGGTTATATTAATATTACCTTTATTAACAACAGTTACATTTAGTGGTTCAAATGGTCATATAACATTATTTATATTAGCGTTAATCCATGTTGTTTGGCGTGGAACACTTAATCGACGTTTAAGAGAAATTTTAACAACACTACTTTTATTTCATGGACTTTTAGTTGCTCTTAATTTAACAGGATTTATTGTTCATGTAAAAACTGTTTTTGCACAAGGATTATTACCATTATATATAATTATGTCTGATCCATCATTTTTATCAGCAATATGTTGTATAGGAGCATTCTATCTTCGATTTATATTAGATCGAACACATTTAAATATCATTCAAAAAATAAAAACAATACTTTATAAACATAATCGACTTATTTTAGTTTCATTAGCATTGATTAGTCAATTTTGTTGTTCGTATTCGATGTATTATCTATGGATATTAATTTCATTTATATTTATTCATGCAGCTGTGATATTCTTTGTTCCAATACATCAAGAATAAACTAACAATTGAACTTTTTTTTCTTTCTTTCTTTTTTTTTTCTAAAAACTTTATAGACAATTTTTTTTGATTAAAATAAAATATAAGTTATCTTAAATTGATTTGTTCATTATTTTCAATCAAGATCACGTTCTAGAGGACCTAAATATTATATAAAATTATTATTTATTACAAATTTATATTTACTTTCACTTCGTTCATCTCTTGATGTACTACCGAATTGTCTTGATGAACGATCTAAATTTGAAAAAAAAATAATTTCGACTATTTCCTTCGTGTTTCATTTACCTGATGTTTGAGGAGATGTTTTATAAGGATTTTCAAGAGGTTTGAAGTAAAAGTTTCTATGAGGATTAGTATTGCTGGGGGAAGGAGTTGTGTTTTGAGGACCAACTACATTGGTGGGTCTTTGTGGTGGTGGTGTTGTCGTTGGTTGAGGCTAAAAAATATTTATTAGTAATGAAAAAATTGAATAAAAATCTTATGTGACTCACTCGTGCACTTGGTGGTGCTGGTGCTGGTGGTGGTGGTGAAATTTTTTCTATATATTGATAAATGTCGTCAACATCTTTACATGTTTTTATAATCGAAAGAAGATGATCCGACTTGTCAGATTCAAATTTTTTTCTAGAAATAGCTTCTACTGCGTTATGAGCATCATCATATGTATATCTATTTAGTCCAGGAGCGAAATGATACGCTTCACTGAGAAATAAACGTTCAGCACGATTATTACCATGTCTATTGATATTATGAACGGCACGAAATACATTTGTCAATGGAGTTCTTTCTAATTCGCTGCGAAGTTTTCTCAAAGGTTCTGCAATATTCTCAAGTGAAGTTTCCATAGGATCTACATTTGAATTGATTTCGTTCATTTTTGATTGTATAACTGATTTGATCTGATTTGGATTATCTCCATACGCCATTGATACACGTAAAATACTATCGGAACAATTTTTAATTTCATACGGAAGTTGTTGTTTCCATTGTTCGAGTTCATATCGATTAGGATTTCTTTTACGTCTAATTTTAGCAATTTCTAATTCCATAATTGGTTGACTAATTGGTTGGCGTTGATCAATTTTGTTTTGAACAAATTTCTAAAATTTACTAGATTAATATAAACCAATTATACAAGTCAATTATTACCTTAAAATCAGCAACTACATCATGAGTCATATCATGATTAAGTGAATTTTGAGATCCATAGAAACTATTGTTAGATCCTCGTGATGAATAATCATTATCATCATCACCTCGATACATGGATGAGGATGATCCATATCTACTGCTTCTTCCATCACCACCTCCTGAAGCCATTTGATCAAGATTTTATTTATTTATATATGCAGTTTAATTTTAAATATCATCAACTTTGCAATAAGAGTAAAATTATATGTAAAAATCTACAAAATGAAATATATATGACATAATTTCACGTTTGAATAATATTGATTATAAAATTGTTTACAAAAATAAATTATTATAAAAAAATATTCTGTTTTTCTCCCGTAGATTTTTATTATCATATGCATAGCGATAAGCATCAAGGTTTTAGTTTTTTTGGTTTACCCAATGAAGTATTTAAATTTTGTTGACATAACTAAAAGAATTTAGAAAATAGAAAAATAATTATAAACTTATATGCATACTTGTATTAAATTTTCACGAGTTATATTTTCTGGGATAACAATTGATGCTTTTCTAAGCATTTGCGCAAGATTATTGTCTTCATAAATTGCCCTAAAATAGAAAGTTATTGAAGATATTGTATATTTAAATAATAATTTACCATGGTTCTATCTGATGACGCCAAATAAGAGAACAAAGGAGTTGTCGATAACACATTCTATTCAAGAGATATTAAACAATCCAAAAAGATATATAAATCGAAGCTTCATACTCGCATAGTCGATCTTCACAAATTGTTGATGTTGCCTTTCCACATTCTTCTACAGGACATATTTTAGTAGTGGAGATTGACTTATCTTGAAGTTCTTTTGTTACATCTATACTATGATCCTATAAAAAAAATAATGAAGAATTTAATAAAATAGAAATTAATACGAACAGTTAATAATTTAACAATTGCATTGATATCACCAATACGAGTTTCTCGGAAACAATTCGGACAGCAATGAGCATGAAGGGTATTCATTAAAAGACAATTATCTTTGGGACATTTCTAAATAATAATGTACTATATACATATATAATTAAATATATATTTTACCGGTTCTTTCGAAGGTGAATAGAAGAATGCTGAACACATTCGACAAAAGTCTGTGTGACATTGCTTACAGGTAAAATGTTCACAGCCTCCTGCTTGACTACAAATACAAATAAAGTATAAATTTTATCATGTGATTCCGTATTTAATATACTATTGATAAATGGCAGAACAATTTTCATTTGGACATTTGATGCCGGATTCACTCAAATATTTATATGCCTGTACAGTTGGATCATCAGGGTCGTTATTTATTAACCATTCTTCATACTTTTCACATGTCATCTCAGTATGTTCCGGATGCCACTAGAGAAAAAAAAGATTTTACTTGAGTTAAGAAAATGTGTAGTCATTATCTACAACTCACTTTTCGATTACATTGACGACATTGACCAAATTCACAATCAGGACAATAAATTAAACCAATGCGATTATTATCGTCAACAATAAAATAACTCGGACACTAGAATAAATAGGAGATATAGAATGAATGAAGGAAAAAAGCAATTGATAAATGTACCTTCGGACTACCACATGGTTTTGTATGTTTATCTCTGTTTGCAATAAATGAGTTATGATGATATCTTTCGAGAATATCTGGTTCATCACGAAACCATTGACGAAGCTAAATAAATAAAATTTCAGCAATTTTTAAAAAAATTATTTTCGCATACTTTTAAATCTAAATATGCAAAAAAGTTGTCTTTTGTTTCATTTATTATTTCATGTGCTTCTTGAAAACATGTTAATTTATTTAACGATTGAAAATCTGTAATTTCATTTATCGTAATTTTGTAATGACTTTTAGCACATTCTAAACAACATTTATGATTACATAGAAACATAGTTTCCATTTGAGTTTGTGGGAAAGAATTTGTACATATTGGGCACATCATAGATAATGCATTCATTGCATGAGTTTCAAAACCATCATGTAGATCATTACTTGAACATAAAATATTTTTAATCGATGCCATATCAAGATTTTCAATACTTTCCGATAATGATGATTGACATAGAATACTTGCAAACATTTCAATTTTAACAGATATTTGAGGACCAATTGTATGTGATAATTCAGAGTAAAGTAGACGATATATTTTCTAAAGGAAAAATAAAGATTAGTAAATCAATTATTGTTTTTATGGCAAATACCGATAGAAATATATCTTCAACATTTGCATTAGTATATTGTTGATGAAGTTGTTGAATAGCTGGTACAAGATGTTTACCATTTTTCCATTTCTGAATAATAATAATCGACTTATCAGTATAAATTCTATTCTAATGAAAGTTAATACATACATCCGTTTCATGTAATAATTGTTCAGTTGGGTTATTTTCACTCTTATACTCATTCAAGAGACTCCAATGTAGTTTTAAATGTTCTGTTGTGTTATCAACTGATGTCGTACTAGGTTCATCTATAACTGGAGTTTGAACAAGTGGTATCTAAATGAAATTGAAAACAACAATAATGGTAAATATCTTAGCAAGAAAACATACTAAATTTGGTCGTTTCGAAATTAATATTTCTAATGCTTGATTTTCATTAAAATTCGATCGAATTAAACATTCTATATAGACATCATCTGTTCGAGAGACATCTCTCTGTTTGTCTAGAAATTGCAATGCGATAATATGTTGATCAATAACTTGTTCAAGATAATTTTCATCATCGTTTTCGATTGAATTTTTCTTGTTTTGTTTTAATAGCAAAATTGCTAATTTTCGACGAACGAAACTATGTGAAATAAATGCATTGTAATTTGTTCCTAAATCTTTCTAAAAACAAATAAGATACATATTTCAGTTTTATTCAAATAATTAATTTTTAACCTTAAATGCCTCAATTGTTCTTAATGTTTTTTCATTGCCTTCTTCAATTTCTTGTTGTCCTGGTGGCGACGATAGCAACCCTGTCTAAAATAAATTTTCAACTTCCTTTTTATCAAAATAAAGGATTATACTAACATCTGATGGTGAATTTCTACTTTTAGATTCTGATATATCTTCAGCTAAAAATGCAATTTTTATAAAATTTCTTTGAAATTAAGATACTTACAAGAATTATCAGAGATAATATTACTATCCTAGTTTCAGAAAAATAGAAATGAAAATTATTTATTTTAATAAATAAATTTACTTGGATAAATTTTTTTAAATCATCTGGGGAACTGCTTGTTATAGTTTTGAGATCTGTGAAGAACTTTTCCAACTCATTTACACCATTTCGTCGTCGTTCAATTTCATTGCCAGATGTTGATGAATGATAAATATATTCACCTTGATTATTTTGTTTATAACCATAATAATCTAACAAATTCAACATATGATTCTTAAAAAATATAAACATAATTTATATAAATGATGAAATTCAACAAACTTTTGATGCAAGTTTATCCACAATACTTCGATTAAGAGATGATCCATCGGTTAATTTTGATATTGCTAAATATTTAAGTGGAACTAATGTTTTAATTAAATTTATTAAATCATCTGGAATCTATAAATAACAAATTAAATGTATATCAAAATAATGAATTATACATACATGATCAACACGAATATTTGATTTAATAATATTTTCAACGGGTATTAATTGATAAGATGAAGATAATATCGACATCTTCAAAAACAAAATTATATTAAATTAAAAAGGAAGAAATATTATTATATGACCTTGTCCACTCCGTTATTTCACGTTATATTTCGCAAGTGACATAGACGCAAAAAAAAGAGAAAGTTTGTTTTGAGTCGTTACCTTTTATCGTTCTCCGCTATTATTGACTCTTTTTATATGTCACATGTTTTCTTCATCCTCCAGTTGACGAAGCCGAGTGGGGAAAAAAACTCTTAAAATGAAATCATATGTATTATAAGCAGATTTTCAAGAGTTTCACATTATTTATTAAATAGTCAAATGTTCTGTTAAAATTTCCAAATTATAGGCATTTCAATTTTGTCTAATAGTCGGAATAGAAGCAACAATTATCACGATCTATTGTACAAGTTTTATACATCCTCAATATGTTGTTTTATTTTTCAAGATTCAAAAATGATACTTGTCCATTATTTTGCTCAATATCAAACCAAGTTCTATGATATTATATGCATATGTTAATAAATAGAAAAAAAATGACGTAATATAGTAAATATATTAGATTTTAATAAAAACAAATATAGATTAATTAGCATGACGAAGAGCAGCTAAACGACTATTTTGTGCAGCTATTTCTTGTTGTACTGGTGTTGCTATTGAATGTTGAATTGTTGGAATAGCATCAAGTTGAACACGAATATCTATTTGATTCTCATCAGCTATTTGACGTAAAAGATCTTGAACAGCTTCAGTTGGTGTACTAGTTGCCATTGCTTGATTCATTGCATTATTGATTACTTGATCTTTAATATCGAAATCTTCAAATGTCTATAGATTTCAAATAACAAAATTGAAATTTTGAAATAAAATTCTAACTTGCTCGAATTTGTCCATAATTTTAACTAATTCATTTGCATTCATATCTTTATTGACATTTTCAAGCATTTTATTAACTTGTTGCATATTTTTAACCATAATATTTTGTGCATTCGCTTGTTGAACCTAGAAGAATATGTATATAATGAAAGAATAATACAAATATTTTTACTTTTGCAATAACACTATCAATACGTGATGCCATCATAAGAAATTGATTATGTGCTGATCGATTTTGAATTGCTGTTTCAGCGTAAATACGAGCTGTTTCAATATCACCAGATTTTTTCAATGCATCTAATGCTTTTTTTCGACTTGTTTCATATTTTTTCTCAGCTACAGATGCTTCTCTTTCAATCATTTTTTTCGTAAAACGAAGATTAAATTCAGCATTTGTACCCATGATAATATAAATAATGATATATCTACATAAAAAATCATCAATTTATGGACAACAGAACCGGTATAGACTGGAAGATATTGAACTATATGTCACATGTGACTAGTAGATGGCATTAGCTCACTTAAATTCGATTAAACGATATTTTCTTTTCGATTGATATGAACAAAAAAAAGGATGTACTTTGTTCATCTTGAGTATTGATTTCAGATTTTAATTAACATAAAATAGAAGTTAATTCATTCTTTTAACGCTATTATACAAATACTTCAGAAGGATCTATTCAGATATTAATCGATAGTATCGATGACAATGAAAAATCATTTTTTCAATTGATACTTCGAAACTACAATTGTTTTTAAAATATCTTTAAGCGCCTTCTTCTTTTACTTTTTCATCTCGATTTTCAAACATCATATTTTTTTGCGATTTATCTTTCTCGATATCGACGTTCAATTATGTTTTCATATAATTATACTAATCCATGTAATAATGAAATAACTAACAATTGTTATCCATCTAGTTGTTATCGTCCTTTACAACAAATTTATAAAACAACCTATTCACCAATGTATGGAAATAATAATGCATCGAATGTAAATCTCGCTTGTATTTGTCGTCCAGCAGAAAGATACAAAACAACAAATATGTCTTATGGTAGTTTTTACTATGATAATCAACTATCAACACAAAAAGATCGAGCACTTAATTATGATAGAGCCATATTTGCACGATGTTATGATAATAATAAAAAAATGGGATATCAAACAATGAATAACGATCGTAAAAAAGAGTAAGAATAAATTTCTTCTGGATAAACAAATGATAGTCATATTTAGAGCTTTTACAATTTCAAATCCATCTAATGTACAAGAAAATCAATTATGGACTCAAACAACAAGTGATGCTTGTTGTCCAACAGATTGTTGTACTAATGTAAACAATTGTTCAACCTATCAAACTAATAATCCATGTTCTCAAATAACTGTTCCATCAACAATAAACAAAATTTCCGATCAATTTGTTCCTTGTTTATGAATATCTCTAAACTAATTTTCATAAATAAAAACATTTCATTCCACATTCCTAATTTATCTTTTCATTTCATATTTTTCGCGAGAAAAAGACGTAACAACAATAAAGACGAACAAAGAAAACACACTGTACACAACACAGAGAACCACGTACACAAGCCAGTAGTAGTAGTAGCATAAAGTTTAAATCAGATTGTTTATGTTGATGTCTGTTTAAGATAAGAATGAAATCTTGGAAACGCATTCGAACGTAAAGCCATTGAATATAATTCATCTTTTGTTAATTGTCCATTACCTATGTATACGAAAAAAAACGAAAATTAAAATAAAATAAAATAAAATTTAGAAAAAACAAAACCATCTTCATCAAATAATGTAACCATTCTATCAATCATTGCACGACGTTGTCGTTCACGTCTTAATTGTAATGTATATTGTTGTTCATTTGAATTTTGAACATAGATTGTTGGATTTTGTTGGCTATGAACTTGTACAATAGCTGCATTCGAATAACTCGGAATATTATTAAATTGCTGTTGTTGTTGTTGTATTTGAGTAGGAAAACGTCGATAGACTTTAAATGTTTGTTGAGTGGGATATATAGAGCGATCATTTAATTGAACAGGTACTGACGGTTGATTATAATTCACTTAAAAAATTAATTTTTAGTTAAAATATTATTTTTAAAACAAAATGTTTACTTTGAGTTGGATATGCAGGTAATGCATTTGTATGTGTTGTTAAAAATAAAAAAATAAATAAAATTAAACGAAATCGATTTGTTAGTAGTATTTTTATGTTTAGATCTTGATCCGAATTATTATGTTCATTTGAATGTATAATCTGTTTGTAATACTCATCATTATTAATACAAATATTATCTTGACATCGATCAATTTTTGTATAGTTCAATGATCGATTATTTTCATCGTTGAATATTTCTTGCATCATCGTCGTCGTCGTATACAATGATTATTATTTACATTGACATACATATTAGAATCGATAATAACAAGCTGAAGAAGAAAAAAATGACAACGTAATCCAATGATTATGCATTTGTATATCTGAAAAAAGAAGAAAATAATGTAATCATTAAAAAATAAAGCTGAGACAAATTAAATTCGTCTAATAGCTATCTTTTGATAGACAGCTGGTGTATAAACATTCTTCTTCAATTTCTCACATTAATCCTTTTCGTCGGCAATATTTTTTAAGTAAAATATGGTGTTAAATTACCGCAACTATATGCCGTTTTTCTTTACACACATATTAAAAAAAAATATATATTTCATGTCGATGTAGTAGAAGAATCCTTGAATGTGTCAGTTTATACATAAAAATAAAATTTATGTTTTTTTTTTCTTCTTTTACCTGCGATACCACTCGTTTTAGTTGCTTCTATAAATGAAAATGAAAATGAAAATGTCACGTTCAATAAATAAATCGATCAACAAAGAAATATATAGATTTCTTCTTCGTTGATCATTACATCATTAGAAGAGAAAAGAATGTTTAAGAGGATTAATAAGTGAAATTGACTTATATTGTTTTAAATGATGATAATAATGCTAGACATGCGTATATATATTTATAAACATATATATTCTAATTATCTTGAGTGTTATAGATAACTATAAATAATAATATCATAAGCATATCTTGTCACCTTGATTGACATGAAACGAAAAGATAGGTCGATGATATTGAGAGAGAGAGAGAGAAAAAATGCACAATGCATTAATTCTTTATGTTATGCAGTTTGAAGGTAAATCTATGTCTGATAATAGATAATGACATACACTCTCAACGTAAGAGTCAATCGTTCTTATCATTCCTCAGACAATATTGGAAATGTTGGTGTTGAACCGAGGTCATATCAAAATACTTATAGAGACTAATGGATGTCATTGATAATACGCATCGATTACGTAAATGATATGGAACAGGTCGTAGTTTACAAGAATATCATTTTAGTAGTTAAAAGTCTAATCTATGTATATATATATGTCATAGAACAATAAAACGAACATGGTCACGCGATAATGAAATTTTCTATGATAAAATAAATACTTAATAAGATAATCTATTAAACCGATTAAATATATTATTCTCCTTTTTAAATAACTTCAAGATTAATCATATTAAATGATACACGAGCTAACAGAAATTCTTATCGAAAAAAAAATCTTACCTACAGAAGATCGAATAATTCTATAACATTATTGTTATTGTAAACGATAGATAAAATTTTATTTAAATGAAAAGAAAGTGATATAGCAGTCGTCACCTCCGCCTAGTTTGTCTCGCCATAGTGTATCGGTTATCATCTTTCCCTATTTTCATACGCCACACTGATCATCGTCATCATTGAATAAACGTGTCATTTTCGTGTAGACAAAATTACATCTATATCAAAACGCTTTAGGTCTCTTCTCGCATTCAAAATATCCACATACACACTTTTCATATTCACATACATCTGATCAATCCCTCCTATCATCCTTCACAATCAACAGAAAAAGATATGAACGATGTAACACACTCGATAATGACATGTCATCATAACGATGATTCGAAAAAGTAAAAAAGAATGAAATAGATTTTCAATATATATTTACAACTTACTTGATTTGATTTCAACAATCATGAAACATACAAGATCTTTGATATATATATATTTTCTTTTCGGCTTTCTAATAAATGAAGAACGTAGTATATCCTAGAGATTATTATTATCCTTATTAATTCGACATTTATCTTTTTTATAATTAATGACGGAAAAAATATCATCACATTCGATGACAAATAGTTAAAGATATCTTCTTCTTTTTTCTAATACTACTTGTAGTAATAGTTGTTGTTGTTGTTATCGTTTTTATAGTATTTATCAAAAGGTCAATTCAACAACGATAAAGAAAAAATGATGTATTATTTCTCATATAATGATTAGAAAACGAATAAATAATAAAGTATCTTTCTAACTTACTTGATTTCATCCAGGTCTCTAAACCGCAAAAAAATGTATATATCGTCAGTCAGATGAGTAATGTCCGTTTTGCTTTATCTAAACTTCCTCTCTCGTCGTTCTCTATCTCTTAACATATACATTTTTATTCACTTTCTTTTCTCCCTCTCTCTCTGCGTATCTTACCTACCTTGCAAAAGCTGCATATCCTCTCTCTCTCTTCTCTCTGTCTCTTTCTCCTGCTGCTTCTGTCTTTATACTCTATTTTTTTGTCATCGAATCAGTGGCTGTCGATGTTGATCATGTATATATGTATATATACATATACATGCATGTTATACAAGTACATAAATTTGAGGGCCATCAAATGTTCATTCTTGTGTAAAAATTTAATTATTAAAAGAGCGTGTATTATACTATACGACAGAAATCCGAAAGAAAAACGGAGAAAAGACTCACTCTACTATATATATGCATATAGTGGAAGTTCCAATCGTTTTCATCAGCTGCAGGTCATATGATATCAATCGGCTTTATTTTATGGTGCATTTTTTTGCTATGATACCATCTATCATTCTTTTCATTTTGCATACCAATATTTAGTATAAAGAAGGGAATGTTAAAGTAAGTGAGAAAATTGATCAGTTCCTCAATGCACTACGCGTCTATGTGTATTTACTCGATAATCGATTGTTCAAGGTTAAAAAGACGTTATCTTTTTTTCTTTTCTTTTGCTTCCGTGTATATATATGCGTGTATGTGATGAGAAAACCTGAATGATGTTCACATTCATTGACATGAATAGCATATAAGCACTTTAAAGTAACAAAATATAACCCTTATTGTTCAATGTACTATGCATATATTATCATCATCATCATTTAGCAATTTCAAGTACAAATTAGGCATGCTCATGAGATGCTACTGTTGTATATAGAGTACTTAAGACGACGACGAAGAAAAAGAAGAACATCCAGTCTATTGATTTTTCTTCTATATCTTACAAAAAGAAAAGAAAAGAAGAGAAGATACTTGAGAAGAATGAATGTATATATTATTAAAAGGAAGGCATGTGAAATATAGATTCGAAACAAAATATGTTCTAAAAGTTTCCTTCAAGAAGAAGAAGAAGAAATATGATAAAATCATATATCGTTCAATGTTTGACTTATATTATATGTATGTTAAACAGAATTGGTTATTCAAGAAATGTGAAGTGACGATGGTTGTGTCAGCAATACCATTAGTGATAGAGCAAACGAGTTGTATATTCGTGTCAACACTCATGCATATACGAATATAGTGATATCATGCTACGTTAAACAATCTATGGCAATCTTAAGAAAATGAAGAAAGTGTGATGTTAGCAATGCCGTGTGTGTAAATGGGTGTCATTGTTGTGAATTATTCAAGGTTCAGTTAATATTTAACTTAATGTTTCGCTTTTCAAACGGTAAAAACTGATAGTTATATTTATATATGTCTGTTACCATCAAAGTATAAGAAGAAGAAGAAGAAGAAGAAGAAGAAGCTATAGAAAGTCACTACTATGTATAATATTTGTCAGTTTAAAACCACATGAAAAAAGGCCGAGTCTTTTATAAAATAATGACTGTTACTATAAAATTAATATATCGTATTCAATGATATATAGGATCAATATTTGATTCCAAAAAGTATGGTATAGATTTTATTCGTCCTTGAATAATATTCAGGTGTCAAACAAATGGTAATATGTTGTTTCATTATACTTACTTACATGAGTTAAATAACAAGTGTATATAAGAATTAATTTAACATTAACGAAAATGAAAGATAATCATAAGGAAGAAAGAAAAGATATAGTCTTCATTCTCATGCATATAGCTATTAAATGATGTCAATCAATTTCAAACAAATGATTGATTTTCTTTTCTTTTCCTCATTGAGAAGAATATGGCATTTGTCTATTTAAGCAAAGAAACCATGAGAAATCTACTGACATTGATGAACGTATGTGTTCTCTATTAATTGACCATGAACACTCTACTTCATTCATCTGGCAAACATTATTGAACAGTGTCTCAAGAGTTAGAACTTATATTTGCGCATAGAGAAAAAAAAAGGAACAGTGACCGAATACAAGACAAAACAGACAGTCAAATAAATCGATAGACATAAACGAATATCAAAATTTATCAAAAGAAAAAAAAACAAAAACAAAGGAATGAGAGTTATGTTCCACCGCCTCCTCCAGCTGCTGGAGCACCACCTTCATTAGTAAATGCACTTTGAAGAACAACAATAACGACGATTGGCAATAAATATTTCCACTAAAAGAAAAAAGAATTTAGATAATTTTCGAAATAGATAAAATTAGGGATGTGCAGTGTCAGTGAAAAACGGACACTTACAATATCAGTTCGGTGCTCACGGTGCCACCGAAAATAAGTGTCGGTATTCACCGAACACTGGATATCAGTGTCAATAACACTGCTGACTAAAATATTTTTGTGCTAAACCTTAGTATTTACAACAATATCTTTGTGTTCACCGAAAAACTGGCACAGTGATCACTGAAACTAATACCTTCGGCGTTTAGTGAACACTGACACCGACATCTGCAGTGGCACGGTGAGCACCGAACACCGAATATAAGTGTCGGTGAAAATCGTTGTCAGTGAAATTCAGTGCTCAGTAAACCGACACTGCGCATCCCTGGGTAAAAGGTAAAAGTTGGATTTCGAGAAAATCCTTTCTATAGTCTATCAAATAATCGAATAGATGCTTAAAAAGATGATTTGGAAAAGCCAAAAAATTTGTCTCTTTTTTTTTTCAATCAGTAATAAACATCTACTAACATATTTAAGAATAAATGGTCGATTATCAGCATCTTGTGAATTTATTTTTGCTTCTTGTTGTCGTTTAAGTTTTTCCAAGAAACGTTGTGTATCAGGTCTAAAAAATTAAACCAAAAAATCTATATTTTTTCCTTTTATTTTCTTTCACTTACTGGGGTCCAGCATCGTTTAATTGTAAACGCATTGTAGCTTTATAGTTATATTCAGTTTTTTGTTCTATTTGATTTATATTCGATAGAGTACATGTCGAATTTCCTGTTGTTACTTGTACGCCAACAATATATCCATTTTCACTTACAAATAAAGTCACAGTATATTGAAATTGTGCTTGTAAAACAAGACACTAAATAAAAGAATTAATTAATAAAATAAAAAGATAGATATATATAAATATACCATTGGTATAGATGTCATAACATAATCTTGTGTTGCACCACGTTTAAAATGAACTTTTAATGTATAATAAGGATAATCACTTTTAAAATCAATTAATCGTTCATATTGCGATAATGGAATAGTACGTGATGGTGTTAAGTCAAAATTTGTTTGACTTGAAAGATGAATATTTAATTTTGAAAATGATGAGAATTTTCCATCTAAACATATAAAATCATAGATTGTTTTTTTTCGACTATTTTCTTACCAATATTATCCTCAAAATTCAGTGATACGGAACCACTATTCGCATCATCAAACGTCTAAAAAAAAGTGATATTTTTTTATTTTTTTATTTTCATTTAATTAACATACCAGAATTAGTTGTAATTGTACAATTAAGACTAATAAAACAACTGAAAGTTTATTTTGTTCAAACATCATCAAATAACCACACGCAGAAGAAGAAGAAAATAAAAAGAATCATTATATATTCTTTCTAGCAAACTCATTCGATAGAACATCTACCAATCAATAATTATAACATTCATATAATATATTTATTTCGTAAACGTCAGTCGCCATTTGATAAAAATGGAATTAGATAACGAATTTGTTGGAAAAACTGTTATATTAGGAAATAAAGTACGTAATTATTTTTATTAAATTTTTAAGAAATTATTTAAACATTTTCTTTATAGACATATGAACTAGACAAGCTCAGTCCGGAAGAACGTTTTCGAGTTCGACATGAAGCTATACATGAAAAACACAAAGGACATGAATCTATGCATATGGAAATGGTACTCGTTCTACTTCTATCACTTGTTATATGTCAATTCGTAATATTATTCTGGAAAAATTATCATATAAAATCTTTTCAAGTAAAAAAATTAAAAACATCATTTTGAAGGCTTTTAATTTCTTTCTTTAGTTTTTTACAATGATTGCAATGTGGTTAATACCATTTGGTTTATCAATTAAATTTTTTTATATACGTTTTATTATTATATGGATTTGTTTTACAGTAATAACAGCTTATGTTACACGAGGAGCAACAAGACAACCTATTGAACCAACTACACCAAGGTTTATAAACAAAAATTTGTTTATATATAATTTAATTCCGTTATTCTAGATGGGTTTATAAATGGTTTCTTTTAGTTTATAAAGTTTCATATGGTCTTGCGATAGGTGGATATTTTCTAGTCATGATGACATTTCTTGGAATCAATAATCTTTTATTAATACCTCCACAAGTAATTTCTATAAGATTGTATTTTGAAATTGATGAATTTGTTTTATAGTATGCACTTGATTTTGGAATTTTAATTATGTTCTATGGAATATACTATGGTGTACTTGGTAGAGACATGGCTGAATCATGTACGGATCGAATGGCATCTAAAATTGGGGTGATTTGGTTTTGAGAGGAGAGAAAAGTTAATATATAAAACATTTAAATATTTAGTATTATTCGGAAAGTGGCTTACCTAAACGAGCATTAGAATCGAATATGTGTGCTGTTTGTGCTAATCCAATCTTAGTACAAAATAATGATGAAGCTTTAATTGAGCGAACATATAAATTACAATGTGGACATACGTTTGTATTCTTAACTTTTTATAAAAGCTATTTATTGTGTATTGAATTAAATAGATTTCATGAATTTTGTATACGCGGTTGGTGTATTGTTGGAAAGAAGCAAACATGTCCTTATTGTAAAGAAAAAGTTGATTTAAAAAGATTATTTCCTAATCCATGGGAGGTATGTCGAAAGAATTCGATATTAAATTATAGAAATTTTTATTTTTCTATATTTTTTCTAGAAACCTCATGTACTTTATGGAAATTTACTTGATTGGGTTCGATATCTTGTTGCATGGCAACCATTAATATTATTACTTGTACAAGGTGTTAATTATATTCTTGGTTTAGAATAAGAGAAAAGAGATGGGTACAAGTTAGGTTTTTTTTGTCTCTTTAGTCAATTGAAACATATGTTGAATAGAACACAATACTCAAAAGTACATTCGATTTTTATGTTTTGTTGTTTTTCCATTGTATTGTCACATATAACACGTTTTAATAAATATAACCCCCGATGTTATTGAATTTTATTCCGATTGTAAAAGTAACAATTTAATTTTCCATCTAATATGAAATACTTGCATTTTCATCAAGTTTATCATGTAAAGATCAAATATCATACATATGACCTTATTCATGGTTATTAAGATTAGACAGGCATATATTATTCTCTTGCCGAGAAAAAATTTATTATCTGATCGAACCAAAACTCTAAGCATTCTATTATCAATACAAGATAAAATTCTCTGTTGATCCTTCAATGGATATTTAGAATTCGTATGTATAAATATGCCGATTGCTATTCACAGTATTCAAAATGAAAATTAACTTATTATGTAAGTTTTAGATGACAAATTATGCTGATCTTCCTTTGGTTACACTAATTCAACATGAAGGCAGTCGATATATTTTCCAAAACGAAAAATCTGAGTAAATAATTGTATAAGTTTTGTTTTAAAGAATCTATCCGTTCACTTTATATCATAGTGAACATGCTCAACTTCTCACTGAAACTATAATTAATTTAATTAAACAACATGGTTTCGATAGTAAGTAGTATTTACATTTTTTAATTGATTCTATTTTGATTTGAATATAGATTATGATTCACAATGTATACCTCTTCTTGAAACATGTTTAATTGATTTTTCTAAAGATTTAATTCTATGTTTTAAACAACGTATGGAATCACTTGGTTCTTCAATAACAATGCAACATGCTTTTGAACGAACATTAAACGATGTTATGTCAATTGATTTACATGAACTATATTCCTATATGAAAAATGACGTTAATTCTATGTAAATTATTTTCTTTCGTGTAGATAAAATAAAATATTTTTGATTGTAAAAAATGAAATTTGAGATAGATAAAAACAACTTCTATTTTTTAAGATTTCGCTTAGAATATTATGCAGGTGTGTGCGTGATCATAAAGGCTTGACAGGAAAAGATAAAATGACTATACTTTGATTAGTCATTCTTTTTCTTCTTTCACAAAAGAACATACAGATTAATTTCGCTTGTTTTTATTCATAAATATCGAGGTTAAAGGTAAGTTCTTCTGAATGATATTCATATATGACATATAGTCTTTTTACCAACCGAGCTGATCGATTTTATCTATTGACTTAATCATTTCTATTTTTTATAATATCGCCATCAAAGATTCCTTTATACCTCTTTCATACATGATTCACTTTTCTATCAAAAACATTAGTCTTTCATTGAAACCTATCAAAAATTTCACAATTAAAATTATTATTATGACTAGAAAATTATCCTTTGTAAATAGATGTAGAAGAGACATGACATAAACAAAAATACATATCCGTTAGTATTCATAATTATGTATTTATATTTAATTAAAATATTTGTTATCTAATAAAACGACATCTGATGAATTAGTAGTTTATCGAAAATAAAATTTCCAACATCCGTAAAATGGTATCTTTTACAGATAATATTGAAATATTTACTTTACTTTATCTCAACCTATTTTGAAGTGTGTTTATCTCGCTGATTGTTATTTTGATTTTTAACTAACATTCACGTGGATTTCTTTCCCATTTATAACTGGATAATAAAAGTACTTGTTTTTATATTCTTCATTATAAACAAAGCGAAACGTAAAATCTAATAATACGTATATTAAGAATAGGGTTTTTTCTTGTTTATAGTTGGAAGATTCCTTGCTCTGTCATTTGTTTGATGTTCTTATCCATCGAGCATATCGATGACACGTGTTAAAAACAAAATAGAATAAGAAAAAGATTTACTCATTATTGCTTTAAATAGAAAAGGTGATCGTTGAAACATTATTATTTTTGTTATTTATCTATAGGAAGAAGTACGACATATTTATAAACAAATATGTCGAATGATGGTGTGGATTTACAAGTTAATTCTTCGAATTTAATCGAACAAAAAATGAACATTTATATATTACGTTGTACAACAGCAGAAGAAAAATATAAAATCAAATGTTATGTTAATAATGATGTCAAATTTAACTTTAATCGTGATAAAGCATTTGATGAAAAAGGATCTATGAGTCCTTATATATATAAAGCTGAAGTAGATTTAATTATTAACAAACAAGATCATCTATTTCTTAAACTTCAAAATGGTTCACTACCTATTCAAAATTATCGATTACGTCTTTCACGTAGAATTCCTCAAACTGAGAAAACATATCGTGATTATAATGATGACAAAGAACGATATTTTGATAATCCTCGTTCTACTCAACATTATTTTCTATTTGATGTTAATTTCGCTAGAAATTTCGCGGATGGTCCTCCAGGTACAAATTTATTTATTAATAAAAAAATAATTTAATAACTTTATTTATAATAGGATATAATGTACCTTTTTGGAGTCAATTATGTTTATATACTTTTTATATTATTCGCTATGAAATGTATGATGTTTTTGATAGTTTAATTGAACAATTTCAAAGATTTATTCAAGAATATCAACCTAAATTAACACGTGAAGAATTTTGTGATTTTTTTCAAACTTGTTTTACACATTTATTCTATGCAATGTCCGGTAGATTCAAACAACATATTGCTGATAAATTTATTATTTGTATAAGCGGACTTTTACCAATAACAAAGACAAATTTTGATTTAATGAGTAACTTTACTCTAAATTTTACAAAAGCATTTATTGAAGATGTTACAGAACATTACGATCATATTTTCGAAACAGTTGAATCAAACGAATGGCCATTATTTCGTGATGGTTTCGTTCTGTTTCTTTCCATTGAATTATTATCTAGATCAGCAGATACCATAAATTTAATAAATCGAATGAAAAATGATGAATGTAAAAAAGATCTCGCTAACGTATTATTACAACGACTTGACGAATTACAAAAACCAATTTTGGGTTTAAATTGGACAGATTTATTTCAACTTGTAGATCCAAATATTCTGACATTGAGACAACTTAAATTAACAAGATCAATACAAGTATATATTACGTGTTTAATCCAAATTATAGCAATAAATAAAAATGAAATGGACATTAATGATACTATAATTCGCCAATTCGATCAACTTGTGTTTGATGATCATTTACCAAGTATTAATATTTATGTTTTTATATAATATTTAAATTCTCTTTTTTTATTTTAGTTGATCTCGAAAGTATTAAATTTTTACTTAAATTTTTACCAGTTGAATCAACTGAGTCTGACGAAGATTCAAAATATATTCTACAAACAGTCAATAAAGCTATTGAATCAAGTATAACATTACGTGCAAAAATAAAGAACTATTTATATGCATTAGAAACAACAATTCAACAATTTATTGATATTCGTTTTATTATAAGTTGTCAATCGAAATCAATTATATTATTTAATATTGATAAGCAAGATTTATTAATTCATTTATTATCTAATGCTCATACATCATACTCATATGAATTTTTCAAACAATGGTTTCATTCATTTTTGTTATTCAATGATCAAATAGATGATCGAAAAAGAAAAGATTATCAAGATTTACTTCAACATTGGTCTAGTCTCATTACAAGATCTCATGAAATAATGATAAAAATTATGATGGATATCGATGGATTAATTAATAATTTTGAAAATAAAGATTATCAATTAATTTTTATTCATCACATGATTAAACTTTGTTTTCTACAAGGTAAAAAAATACTTATTCATTATATTGAGAAATTAATTTTTTTGTTTAATGGAGACAGCTAGAATAAATGACTAGCATCTACGAATTATCTAGAGTGATCAAAATTCAACTTTCATTTAGAGAACTGATTGATAGTTGTGTTCGTTCTGTCTTACACAGTTTATAACAATACTTGTTCATTATGAATAACTTTTACTAATACAATTTCATTATATTTTAGGATCTATTTATCGTATTATATCCGAAGGTTTAGTTAATGTTTCTAATGAATTATTTCGTGATCAATTTAAAAAACAATTTGCATTAGATTGTCTAAATATTTCTCAAGATAAATTAAAACAAATATATAATCCTGAAAATCCTTTGTATTATTTAATTAATATATATAAAGAGACTAAAGGTACAAGTCAATTAGTTAATGATTTGATTTGTTTAACGACAAATAAAATTCAATTTAATATTAATGAAATTTTACGTGATGGATTTGAAAAACCAACTCGTACATCATGTATTTATGCAGTTTTATTTGAAGATTACTTTAAAGGTTCTTTATTAAATCAAACGATAATTGATCAATTACTTGCATTATGGAATACATGGGAAGATGAAGGTTTTCGCGCTAATCAACTACAAAGTTGGAAAAAATTTTCTGATGAAGAACGTCAAATAGTTCAACGTATTTGGAATTATGTTAGTGAAAAAGCTAAAAAACAATTTCAAATTGATTCATTAATTGATAAACATCGACGTGAAATGGATGAAAAAATTCAAATAAAAGAAAAAATTACAAAATGTTTAGATATTTATTGTCAAAATGCTTGTGATAAACAATTATATTTTGATCTATTTTCTGATATAGAAAGTCAATTTAAATCTGAAATAATTCGTTCGATTAAAATTCCAGATGAAATTCAAATACTTCTACCACTTGCTAATCGTCTTAATCCATTAGAAAAATTATATGCTTGGAAAACATTCTTAGCGGAAAATCGAACAGGTTAAATATTTATTAGAATTTAACAATAAATAAAGTTATATTACATATTTTTAGATAATGCAAATAATTTACCAACTACTACAGATTCACCTCCACGTCCTATAACAGATGATGAATCGTTGTTATATGAT